GTTTATATATTTGCATCTATTTTTACTTACCCTGAAAATAGTAGTTCCTAATGGCATAATATTTTTACTTACTTGCTTTTACCCTGCAAAATAAATAACGTAGTTTGAAAATTATGATATCAAGCCCCGGGGCTAGTTGGCATGAGCTGACGCAGTTGGGTTATTGGTAAGATACAGGGAGTCGAGCACAGAAGTAAATATGTTGAGGGCAATGAGAGCCTCACTGTTGTGGGCGGGAGGCACAAATATGGAAAGGGAGAGGACCAGAATGAGACACGTGGTTCTGCACTATAACTAGAGACCTCAGTATAAGGTTAGGGCTTCTAATGTCCTCAGACATAGAACAGATGCAGGTGTGCATGTGGAGTTGTTCGTGCCTGTGTGTGTATATGGATATAAATACGTCTCTTGGTTCTTTCCACTGAGAAGGACTGGAAGCAGTGACACTCGAGTAGCACATCAGCCCCCAGATCCTGCTTTCCAAATACCATTCTCCACTAGGAGGAAACAGAACTGTGTGGGGAAACGGCTGATTTTAGGCTGGTGCAGGGAAAGTACAAGATGGATCTGGAACTTCTCATGGCAGAAATAAGGAAAGTACTCCAAGGATTAGGAGGACACATGAGTCAGTTTGTCCAAACCTGGGACAGGTTAGGGATCAAAATAAATATGATTGGCAGTAGAGCATAACCCACTGAAGAAAATGGGAATTAGTGAGTTAATATGATATAAATTTAAAAAGATAATGGGAAGTCAGAGCTTTTCCTCACAGTAGAGCGGCTGCCAAGCATAGAGGGAACGATGGAGAATTACCATCGCAGTAACAGTTGATGTAGGAAGGATCACCAATGGATGCCAAGAGCGGTGGATGAAATCGTATAAAGAGTGGGACATTTTCATAGTCTCAAATTATCACTTTGTTAAAAAATTTATTAATTATCAACGAAAAAGCATAAAACACTAGTTAACTTTGTAGTGGAGAAACTTATAGACACCATTTCAACTACGTGATCAACGTGAACGTCACCAGTAAAGGAACAATTATGTGTGTATGGGATGCATTAAGTAGACACAGTGCCATTTCTGCAATGTTTCTGCTGGAAATGAATAACCTAAATGTCATCATGAGGAGATATGAGACGAACCCAAACAGAGGAACACTGCTCAAGCAACTGGCATGTGTTCCTCAAAATTAAGGTCATGGGGATCCCTGGATGGCTCAGCAGTTTAGCACCTGCCTTTGGCCCAGGGCGCAATCCTGGAGACCCGGGATCGAATCCCATGTCGGGCTCCCGGTGCATGGAGCCTGCTTCTCCCTCTGCCTATGTCTCTGCCTCTCTCTCTCTCTCTGTGTGATTATCATAAAAAAAAGATTAAATTAAGGTCATGCAAGGAAAGACTAAAGAGCAGATTGAAGGAGACTAATGCAAAGTTGTTTTTTAAAATTTTAATTTAAAAAAAAATTATTTATTTATGATAGTCACAGAGAGAGAAAGAGAGAGAGGCAGAGACATAGGCAGAGGGGGAAGCAGGCTCCATGCACCGGGAGCCCGATGTGGGATTCAATCCCGGGTCTCCAGGATCGCGCCCCAGGCCAAAGGCAGGTGCCAAACTGCTGCGCCACCCAGGGATCCCTAAAATTTTAATTTAAATTCCAGTTAGTTAGCTCCAAGAGTTGACCCTGGACCAGTAAAGAGCATTGCTGGAAAGGACGACGTATGTGTGAGATCTTGTGTGAATGGATTTGGATTCCTGTTAATTTCCTCCTTTGCTGGTTATTCTCTGGCTATGCAGTCACGTGTTCTTGTCGACTTGAGGAAATGCACAAAGTATTTAGGGATTTTTTTAAAAAAAAGATTGTATTTATTTGAGAGTGAGCAAGAGAGAGAGAGAGGGAATGAGCAGAAGGAGAGGAAGAAGCATGTGCGGCTCGATCCCAGGACCCCAGGATCATGACGTAAGCTGATATCAAGATTCATTCTTAACCAACTGAGCTACCCAGGCACCCTGATAGTTTGAAATTTTTATTTTTAAATTTTTTTAAAAAGGATTTTATTTATTTTGAGAGAGGGAGAGAGGAGGAGGAGGAGGAGGAGGAGGAAGAGGGAGAAGGGGAGAGAGAGAAGGGACAGACTCTCTAGCAGGCTCCACACTAAGTGGAACTTAATCTTAAGACCCTGAGATCATGACCTGAGCCAAAACCAAGAATCAGTTGCTCGATGCACTGAGCCACCCAGATGTCCCTTGAAAATCCTTAAGCTAAGGGGCACCTGGGGGGCTCAGTTGGTTAAGCATCTGCCTCCAGCTCAGGTCATGACCTCAGGGCCCTGGGATGGATTCCCGAATCCGGTTCCCTGCTCAGCGGGAAATCTGCTTCTACTTCCCGCTCGGCCCCTACCCCCTTATGCTCTCTATCTCTCTCTCAAATAAGTAAAAAATAATTCTTTTAAAAAAGGTAATTTTTAAGTTAAAAGGTTATGAACATTTAACATCTGTTATTATGACCAATAAACTACTGAGTGACTATTAGGATTTCTTTGCTGGTTTTTTTGGTCTCAGCCAAGTGGTTATACTATTACATTCTTGCACAGGTTCATTTAAGTTGGCTTTCAATTTCATGTTTTCACTTTTTGATTCTATTTTCGGTTAAAGATTTACATGATTGAGGGCAGCCCGGGGGGGGGGGGGGGGGGCTCAGTGGTTTAGCACTGCCTTCAGCCCAGGCTGTGATCCTGGAGACCGGGGATCGAGTCCCACGTCGGGCTCCCTGCATGGAGCCTGCTTCTCCCTCTGCGGGTGTCTCTGCCTCTCTCTCTCTCTCTGTCTCTGATGAATGAATAAATAAAATCTTAAAAAAAAGATTTACATGATTGAAAGGTCAAAACCACGGGGAGAGCTAGACTGCGGGGAGCTCCCTCCACCCCTCCTCTTCATCCCCAACCCACATTATTATTTGTAAACATTTCCAGTTTATCCTTGCGTAGTTTCTCTTTGCAAAAATAAGCAAACACGATGGGGGGCCTGGCTAGCTGAGTTGGTAGAGAATGTGACTCTTAATCTCAGGGTCTTGAGTTCAAGTCTCACATAGGGCATAGATCTTTTTTTTTTTAAGATTTATTTATTTATTTATCATAGACAGAGAGAGAGAGAGGCAGAGACACAGGAGGAGGGAGAAGCAGGCTCCATGCCGGGAGCCTGACGTGGGACTCGATCCTGGGACTCCAGGATCGCGCCCTGGGCCAAAGGCAGGCACTAAACTGCTGAGCCACCCAGGGATCCCCATAGGGCATAGATCTTACTTAAAAAAATATAAGGAGGGATCCCTGGGTGGCGCAGCGGTTTGGCGCCTGCCTTTGGCCCAGGGCGCGATCCTGGAGACCCGGGATCGAATCCCACATCTGGCTCCCGGTGCATGGAGCCTGCTTCTCCCTCTGCCTGTGTCTCTGCCTCTCTCTCTCTCTCTGTGTGACTATCATAAATAAAATATATATATATATAAGGAAACAATACTTATGAACACGCACAAGTGCACACACAGGGCTAGGAACAGTCAAACGTGTGCCAAAATGCACACACACAGCACACGTTCACACATGTGTGTGCACATACACATTGGTATCTCTCGTCCCCCCCCCCTTTTTTTTTTTACTAAACTCTGCCTAATGGGGGGCTTGAACTCACCACCCAGAGATCTAGAGCCACATGTTCTACTGGCTAAGCTAACCACGTATTCCTCTTCTCTCCTTCCTTACAGAGAAGATACCATGATATATATATATATACACACACACACACACACACACACACACACAGGCAGAGGGAGATGCAGGCTCCTTGGGGGGAGCCCGACGTGGGACTGGATCCCTGGTCTCCAGGATCACACCCTGGGCTGAAGGCAGATGCTCAACCGCTGAGCCCCCTGGGCTGCCCTTCTTTCTTTTTTCTTTTACTTTTTACTTGATAAATCCCGGACATCACTTCACAGCCACTATTAGAAATTGTCCTCATTCGTTTTTCAGGTGACAGTTCTCCGCTGTGTGGGTTGTCATGGTTCGGATCAACCATTCAACGCCTGAAGCTGGGCTGGTGTTTCTGGTGGTGGGAAGGTGAAGCTCCCATCCAGTGTAGAAAGCACCACTAGCCGAGTGTGGTCAAAGCCTTGGATGTTTGTCCACTGGGTAGGTGAGAAGTGGGTCTAGGTGAGGTTTCATTTTTAGTAGTGTTAAAATGCGTTTTTCTAATTATAAGTAAGATTGACCCTCTTTTCCGTTTTTATTTCTGTGAACTGCAATCTGACTCTATCACGTGTGTATCTGCTACTAGATCCTGAGCTCCGGGGGCAAGTGCTGTTGTATTAGAGTCTGGACACGTGCGTGGGTGTGTTAGGGACCCATAGAAGTTCTGGAGCGGAGGAAGGGAGGAGTGCAACGCGCCCAGATGCACCCCCCACTCCTTCCTTCCCGCATGGAGGAGGGACCAGGAGGCAGTACAAACTCCAGAGGAAGGAGAGAGCGCCACGGGGGCCCCAGGGACAGCCCGAGGGGTGGGGGCTCCACCGGGGGAATTCCCAGTTGCCCTCGCAGAGACCCTGGGGTCCGAGGGAGGATTCCAGCAGCCCCCCCCAAGCCCGCCCCACCTGCAGCCACCCGCCACCCGCCGCAGTCCGCCTCTGCCTGCAGCCCATCGACCCTCCCTGCAGCCCGTCTCCCCACCACCTGCAGCCTGCCACTCGCCCCTGCAGCCCCTACCCGCCCCTGCAGCCCATCGCCCCCCCTGCAGCCTGCCGCCCCCCCTGCAGCCCACCATCCCCTCCCCTGCAGCTCACACCCTCCCTGCAGCCCGTCGCCCCCACCCCCTGCAGTCCCCTCCACGGCGCCAGTGACCAGGGAGGCGAGGTAGACGTGTACTGGTTTATTGGTGCGTCAGCCAGGTGCGGGGGGGAGGCGGGGGGGGGGTCGCTGTGAGGTGCTGGAGCTGCGCAGGGGCGCAGGCGGGGGCGCTCAGCGGTACTTCTCGGTCAGGACGCAGGACACGAGCGACAGGAACTTGTCCCACGCGGCGTGGGCGTCGGCCGTGAGGTCGGCGGGGAAGTGCGAGGCCAGGGTGACCAGCAGACAGTGGGACAGCAGCTGCGCCGAAGGGAGGGCCTGGGTGAGCACGGGCGGCGCCTGGGGACCCTGGGGACCCTGGGGACCCCCCCCCGCCCACCTTGAAGTTGACCGGGTCCACGCGCAGGATGTAGGCGTGCAGCTCGCTCAGCCTGGACAGGGCGCCCGCCACGTCGTCGAGGCTGCGCACCGCGTCGCCCAGCGCGGCCACCACCTTGGCGCCGTGCGCCCGCAGGTGCGCCGAGCCCGCGCGCAGCTCGAAGTGCGGGAAGTAGGTCTTGGTCTGCGGGAAGCTGGCGAAGAGCCTGCGGGCCAAGGCGGCGCCACTGACGCGTGGGAAGCCCCGTCCTCCCCCCACGACACGTTGTAACGGATGTTTTAGGACAGAAACAGGGACGCGAACCTCCCCGTGGACCCGCACGCGCCCCGGTGTGGCACAAGGGCAGGCCCGCCTGGCCGACTCTCCCCGGTCCCCGGGCCCCCACCCCGGGCTCGGGACAAGCCCACCCCAGCGGCCCATGGCTCAGCAGTTCCTTCCTTCCTATCTTCCTTCCTTCCTTCCTTCCTTCCTTCCTTCCTTCCTTCCTTCCCTCACTGCGTGGAGGTGGGGGAGACCCGGGTGCCAGGCCCCTTCACCATGCACCTCCCCTTCTTGGGCACTGATCCCGTGCCCCCCCCATCCCCCCCCCCCCCCCCCCGCCCCCGGGCCTCACTAACCCGCACTGTCACCTCCTGGCCCCAGCGCAGCCCATCAGGCACTGACCTCTCCAGGGCCTCGGTGCCAATAGCATCCGCCTGCGTGGAGATCTTGCCCCACATGGACAGGATGATGGTCCTCTCGGCCTTGGTCAGAGACATGGTGGAGCTGAGTGGGAGCTGGGCGTGCTCAGGACTGGCCTGTGGGGTGCTCAGCCCCCAGCGTCCCTTTATATACGTGGAGCCAGGGTGGGGGCCAGGCTGTGGCCACTGGCCTGGAGAGGGGAGAGGGCCGTGGGGGTGGGGTGTCTTATCAGACCCAGTGAGGATGGCTGGTCAGGGCCTGGTGGGACTCTGGGCCGAGGGGCTCTCACTCCACCATGCCCCCCCCAACCTGGGGCCTTAGAGAGGGTGTTGGCCACAGCCTGACCAGAGTCCTGGAGAGATAGGGCCCAGCCAGCCCAGGAGGCCATGCCCGTATGTGTAGCCCAGCTCTGACCACGCTCTTGTATTGGGAGTCACAGAATGGGGGAAGCCAGAGGATTAGCCCTCCATGCACTGTCCTTGGGCTGGAACCTGCCATTCTGCTGGCTGTACTCCTTGGGGCCCCGCAGCCTGTGCAGCCAGGCCCTTTCCTCAGGTGCTATGATCCCTGGGGGTCCTCTGAAGAAGCAACAGCTTTGCTCAGCTTCGCTGGGGAGAGATGCACCGACTGTTCTCTGAGAAGCTGGCTGGGTGTCAGATTAATAAGAGTTCTAGGATCGTGCTATTAGGGATCGCAGTACTGCTCACCATATTATCACAGTAACTAATTGAGGCAAAATATTCCTTTACAGTTTATTTTATCACAAAACAACATTGAAATTTGCGGTGTACTGCTCTGTGAATTTTGACACATGTATAAATTCACCCACCCCAACCCCACCCCAGTTAGGGCACACGGTAGCTCTATGACCTCCAGGACTCCCACGCGCTGTCTCAGCCTCCTCCATGCCTGAACTCTGACGACCACCATAATTTTGTCTTTTTTCAAGAGTATCACATAAATGGAATCCGCAGCGTGTGATCTTTCAGGACTGGCCTCTCTCACTCGGCGTGACACCCATGTTGTTACAAGTGCCAATGGTTCTATCTATCGCTGACTCAGGCTCCACGGTAGGAACGTGCCACAGTCTGTTTTTTATTTGCTCACTCAGACGTTGAGGCTTTTTCCACTTTGGGGCTATTACTAATAAAGCTGCTATGAAAATTATTTTTTTAAAGGTTTTATTTATTCATTTGAGAGAGAGGGAGAGACAGAGAGAGCACAGGCAGGGTGAGAAGCAGAGAGAGAGGGAGACACAGACTCCGTGCTGACCTAGAAGCCCAACATGGGGCTCAGCCCCAGAACCTAGAGATCATGACCTGACCCACTTAGGCACCCCATGCCTTTATTTTTTTTAAGATTTTATTTTATTTTTAAAAATATTTTATTTTTTTGAGGGAGCATGAGAGAGAGAAGGAGAGGGGAGAGAAGGGGCAAAGGGAGAAGAGGTAGCGGGAGGGGGAGAAGCAAAGTCCCTGCCAAGCAGAGAGCACAATGTGGGGCTCTATCCCAAGACCCCAAGATCATGACGTGAACCCAAAGCAGATACTTAACTGACTGAGCCACCCAGGTGCTCCTTAAAGATTTTATTTTTGAGTAATTTCTACACCCAATGGCTTAAACTTACAATCCCAGGACCAAGAGTTGCACACTCCACCAACCCAGCCAGGCAGGTGCCCTGGAACTGCATTCTCTTACTCTGTTATAAGAAATAAGTTGACCAGGGGTGCCTGGCAGTGGGACACGGACTTCCAGTGTGGCCCAGCCGTCCCCCTCCTAGCTGTAGACCCGAGACCAATGAAAACATCAGCTCACACAGAAACTGCTATGTTCACAGAGCATCATCAGAGCAGCCGAAATCATCTGATGGGTTGACGATAGAACACGGTATAAGCCAAACAATGAAATAGTATTCAGTCATAAAAGGGAACGAAGTACGTGGGTGTGAAGGAACACTGGAAGCACACACGTGTGTGGTTCCACGCATCTGAAATGTCCAGAGCAGGGTTAGCTACAGAGAAAGAAAGTAGAGTAGGTTTTGGGTCGGGGGTTGGATTGTGTGGCTGCTGGGGCACGCGGTGTCTCTCAGCGTGATGAAGATGTTCTAAGATTGATCGTGGTGATGGTTGCACAGCCCTTTGTACGAAAATCCGCTGAACTGCACACTTTATTGACTTATTTATTTGCACGCTTTATTTTTTAAGGATTTTGTATATTTTATTCATTTGAGAGCGAGACAGAGAGAGCGCTTGCACACATGCATAAGAGGGGGAGGGACAGAAAGGGATGGAGATGGGGAGACAGAGGGACAAGCCAACTTCACACTGAGTGCAGAGCCCATCTTGGGACTCGACCTCACAACCCTGAGATCATGACCTGAGCTGAAATCAAGAGTCAGTTAATTTGCCCAACTGACTGAGCCCCCCAGGCCTCCGAACTGCACTTTTAATGAGTGCAGTGCGTGCTCTGTGAGTTATAGCTCATTGCAAGTGTGAAGGATGGTGTAATAATCCCCCCCACCTTGTTCTTCATTTCTACAAGTTTATTTTTTTTTTCAAATTTATTTATGATAGCCACAGAGAGAGAGAGAGAGAGGCAGAGACACAGGCAGAGGGAGAAGCAGGCTCCATGCACCGGGAGCCCGACGTGGGATTCGATCCCGGGTCTCCAGGATCGCGCCCTGGGCCAAAGGCAGGCGCCAAACCGCTGCGCCACCCAGGGATCCCTGTTCTTCATTTCTAAAATGGTTTTTGTTATTCTAGTTCCTTTGCCTTTCCATATGGATTTTGGAGTCAGGCAAGGAGGTATCTGCACAAAACCCTGCTGGACTTTTTATAGAATCAGAAGCAAATGTCTCCTTTACAAGGAGTTTTTGATCACAGATATTTTGCTGAACCATTTCTTAGAGAAAATTTGGCTTAGACAAGGCCTGTGACATGGAAAGCATGTATAAGCCAGTATTGAGCACCCTCCGTGCGCCACACATGGTGCTGGCATGTTACTCATTTCTTCTGTGCCTGAGATGTGAGATGGTGGTATCATCAGGCATCGAGGGCAGGAGTAGCATCTCACGGATGCCTCCTCTTAGCTCCACAGACCAGGTAGGGGTCTCTCCCGGGCTGCAGGTGCTGCGCGTCCTGGAGGTGGAGTGGGCCTCCCCAGAAGCCGCCTATCTCCCAGCAGGAGTAATGGGGGTGCCTTCCTGCCTCACCCCCAGTGGGCCTTGGGGCTTCCTCTCCCCTGGCAGAGCCTCCAGCCCGCCCACAGACCACTGTTGTGGGCAAACGTCCCATCCTTTTTTTCTTTTCTTTCTTTCTTTTTCTTTTTTCTTTTTTTGGTTGTGAAATATAATCCAGGCGCCACATGTAGAGCTTAATGAATTGATATAAAGTGGATGCTCAGCACCCCATCCTCCCCCAATGTGATCCCTACCCTGACTTACTTTCTTGCTTTTTGGTCACATTTTACCGTCCAATCATGCATTCTTAAGCTTCAGTTGTTTGAGCCTGCTTCTGACCTTCAGGTACGTGAAACAATACCATGGGTCTCTTCTGCGTCTGCCTTCTTTCACCCGTGTCCGTGACATCCCAGCCATGTTGTGGGGTGTTAATTTTCATTGCTGTGCTGTATTTCCTTTTTTTTTTTAAAGAATATTTTATTTATTCATTCATGAGAGACAGAGAGAGAGGCAGAGGCACAGGCAGAGGGAGAAGCAGGCTCCATGCACGGAGGACATGGGACTTGACCCCGGGACCCTGGGGTCATGCCCCCGGCTGAAGGCGGCGCTAAACCGCGGAGCCCCCCTGGGGTCCCCTGCTGTATTTCCTCGTAGGAACAGACTGCAGTTCATCCACTGCGCTGGGGATGGATATTGGCTGTTCAGGTCTTGGCTATTAGCAACAATGCAATGAACATTCTGGTATGTGCCTCTTGGTGGCCACAGGCCTGCAGTTCTACTGGGCCTATTTCCAGGAGTGGGGTTACTGTTTCCAGGGCTGCTTCTAGCTGTATTTTCAACTACAGTGGATAGTGCCAGACCGCCTGTCACCCCCACTGCTGTTGTGTGGGAGCATCCTTCCAGGCATTTCTTCAAGTCGGCCTCCTGCTCTCCTTAGGTTTTAGCTTTTCTGGTGGGTGTCTAGTGCTTCTGCAGTGCTCATAACTTGCATTTTTTTGATGACTAATGAGGTTGGGTCCCTTTTCCCATATTTGCTGTTCAACTGGATTTCCTCTTTTAAAATTTTATTCGATTATAGTTGACACCCAATATAGTTTCAGCTGTAACATTTCCTCTTTTTTGTAGTATCCAGCTCATGCCTGTTTTTCTGCTGTGTTGCCAGCCTTATTGTTTATAGAAATTTAAAATACAGTCTGGGTCTAAATTCCTGGTCAGGGACGCCTGGATGGCTCAGTGATTGAGCATCTACCTTCAGCCCAGGGCATGACCCCGGGGTCCCGGGATCGAGTTCCACGTCAGGCTCCTGCATGGAGCCTGCTTCTCCCTCTGCCTGTGTCTCTGCCTCTCTCCGTGTGTCTCTCATGAGTAAATAAATAAATAAATAAATAAATAAATAAATAAATCTTAAAAAAAATTCCTGGTCAGATTTCTGTCATATCTCCCTCAATTCTGTTGTTTACCTCTGCTCTATTTTTTTTAAGATTTTATTTATTTATTTGAGAGAGAGAACAAGCGAGAGAGAGACAGCAGGAGTGGGGTGGGGGACAGTGAGGGTTGAGAGATGGAGGGGGAAAGAGAAACAGACTCAATACTGAGCAGGGACCCTGACATGCGGGGCTCAATCCCAGAACCCAGGGATCATGACCTGAGACGAAGGCAGACCCTTACCCGATAGAGCCACCCAGGTGCCCCTAAGTCTACTCTTCATACTCTTTTTGGTTGAACAGAAGTTTATCATTTATTTTATTTTTTAAAGGTTTTATGTATTTATTCATGAGACACACACAGAGAGAGGCAGAGACACAGGCAGAGGGAGAAGCAGGCTCCACGCAGGGAGCCCGATGTGGGGCTCGATCCCGGGACCCTGGGGTCATGTCGTGAGCTGAAGGCAGACGCTCAACCCCTGAGCCACCAGGCGTCCCAAAGTTTATCATTTTAACAGTAAAATTTAGTTATTTTTTTGGTCCTATTTAAAAATGTTGTACCTTCCTATTTACAAAAGCCAAATGTCTATCAGTTGAGTGAATGAACAAATTACAGTATTTCCATTCAGTGAGACATTATCCACTTTATTCGCTTTATTTCTATGAAGCGAATAAAGTGAATATTTTCTATAGAATATTTCTATGAAGTGCTTTCTATGAAGCACTGACACCTGCTACAATGTAGATGAACCCTGAAACATTCCATCAAGTGAAAGATGTCACACACCAAAGACCACATGGTGTATGATTCCATTCATAGGAAATGTTAGACGGGAAAATGCTTTCCGACAGAAAGCAGATGAGTGGGTGCCAGGGGCTGTGGGGAGGGGAAGGGACAGCGATTGCATAATGGGTACTGAGTTTCCTTTTGGGATAACGAAAATACTCTGGTTATGGTTGCACAGCACTGTGAATATACAAAATGCCACTGAATTGTTCACTTTGGAATGATTAGTTTTGCATTATGCAAAATTTAACTCAATTTCCTAAAAAGTGATGTAATCGTTGTGGTGGACACGGAGGTGAAGAGAACCTTCCATGTTACCTTGTAAGAACTTTACTGTTTGGTCTTTGAAGTTGGGCAACAGCCCGCCTGGACTGGTCTTGCACACGGTGTGAGGTGAGGTGTGCTGTGGCTTTAGTAACATCTGTCCTGTGTGCTGTCTGAATTCCGGGTACGGCACCAAACACTCCCCATGTTGGGTGTTTGGTCCTCACAGCTCTCTGTGGGAGCAGTTTTTTAAATTATCATTACATGCTTTAAGATAAGGAAATCGAGGCTCAGGAGGGTTATGAAATGTTCAAAGTTTCAGTGAAGGAGGGAACCAGCCCCGTAGGTAGAGGAGACGTAGGTTTGGAGTGGGCCACATTGCTGGCTCTTTGGGGCTCAGGCAAGTCTCTTCTATCTCTCGGCCTGGGTTTTCCCACCTGGGACACAAGGAACCCGAGCTGGGCAGTGCTCCAGGACACTGGGACTTCCTGAACTCCAAGCTCTGGGCTCACACAGAGCTGGTGTAGTTTGGGCTGAGCTCAGAGGGCCCCTGGTGCCTCAGCAGAAGGCTGTGATGGGGTCAAGAGACCCTTTCCTGAGAGCAGCTCCTGGGTGGCCCTGGCCAGGCTAATTAACCTTGTAAACCCCGGTTCAACATCACCAACCTGTCAGGTGAGGTTTAAAATAGCTCCCGCTTCACTGCTAGGAGGGATGATCTGTTGCCACAGGACCTCAAGACACGGCAGCATGAATTCGAGATTAAAATATTTTTAAAAGGTTTTATTTATTCATGAGAGACACAGAAAGAGAGAGGCTGAGACACAAGCAGGCTCCATGTGGGGAGCCGATGTGGGACTTGGTCCTGGGACCCTGGGGTCACGCCCTGGGCTGAAGGCAGATGCTCAACCATCAAGCCACCCAGGTGTCCTGAATTCAAGATTATTGTAGTTACTATGGTGAGTGGGTGATGCTTTCTGGGCAGGAGCAGTGCAGCGGAGAAAGTGCAGAGGTTGAGGGGTCTGAGATAGGGAATGTGAGCCCGCTTGGCCCTCTGACAGGTAGTGGAAGCTCTATTGGGCCCAGAACAAGTGGCAGGACTGATAAGGCCTGACCCATCAAGTGGCCTCCTAGCCCTGCCCAGGGGGGGACCCAGGGTGAGCCGAAGGGTCGGGAATTTTGGTTTCCAAGAATCCAGTTATCTTCAAAAAAGTAGGCTACTAAACAGACTTATTTAAATTTAAAATGAGGATGTAGAGGCATGGGGTGTTAGCAGGGAAGTCTGAGGCTGTGAGCTAAGGTTGGCCCTGGGCATATGTCCAGGAGACTGAGGGCTTTGAGCTAGGACCACATTTAGAAGCCACCTGCTCCAACTGTGTCACAGATGGGGAGGCTCAAAGCAGGGCCAGCCTCCCCTGGGTCCCTCCAGCTGCCAGCACCAGACTGGACTGGCCAGGGAATGACAATGTACTCTGACTGCTGTAATAGCCCAGTGAGGCAGACGAGCGTGGACCCTGAGATGCTGTCAGGGAGGGTGGTGTGGGAGTCAGACCTCCACTCCTTCCAGTCCAGCCCTGGAGAGCCTCACACCTGAGCCCTGCTAGGGCAGCCTAGGAAGGGATGCATTCGGGACCTCTGTGGCCTGGGTCCTGGTGGTCTCCCTTTACGTTTCATGGGTTCCAATCTCTTGATAAAATATTAACCATAGAGCCAGAAAAATAAACAGCAGATGCTCTTGTGCAGGTTACTAGCAGAAAGCGGGCCCTGAGTCAGCAACTGGAGAATGCTGGGTTCCTCCAAGTCTGGGCCCTCCCCCAGGTCAGGGACAGCCACTGGACATCAGGCTTCCTCTCCCAAGTTCTGGAGTCACGAAACTGCCCAAAGGGGCAGCAGCATGGTCAGGGAACTCAGAGGAAGGAGGCCTGCACCAGAGTCCTGGACCCCATGTGCAGGTCCTCGCAGATTCCCAGTGTCCCTGTAGAGAGGCCGCCCTGATTGCAGCTGGCTGTCCCCCAGACGACAGTTTCTTCTTCCCCATCGCCCCAGCTCCTGGGGTGTCACCTCCTCCTCCTGTGCCCACATTTCCATCCTAGGGACTTTCCTGGTAACTGAAGAACTCAGAAACCTGTGGATTTTCCATAAAATCAAAATTTTATGAGACTAGTAAAAAGTCCTGCAGAATCTGTGATAATAAATAAATGATCTTAAGGAAAAAAAAAGGGGGGGGCAGCCCGGGTGGCTCAGTGGTTTTATTTATTTACTCGTGAGATACACAGAGACAGGCATGTGTGGAAGTGCTCTCAAATGAATAAAATATACAAAATCTTAAAAAAATAAAGCGTGCAGTTCAGTGCGTTTTCGTACAATCAGAAGGCTGTGCAATCATCAACACGATCAATCTTAGAACATTTTCATCATGCCGAGAGATGCTGCGTGCCCCAGCAGCCACACACTTCCAACCCCCGGCCCAAAACCTTCTCTATTTTCTCTGTAGCTAACCCTGCTCTGGACATTTCAGATGCGTGGAACCACACGCGTGTGTGCTTCCAGGGTTCCGTCGCACCCGCGTACTTCGTTCCCTTTTATGACTGAATACTATTTCATTGTTTGGCTTATACCATATTGTATCGTCGACCCACCAGCTGATTTCAGCTGCTCTGAATGATGCTGTGTGAACATAGCAGTTTGTGTGAGCTGATGTTTTCACTGGTCTCGGGTCTACAGCTAGGAGGGGGACGGCTGGGCCACACGGGAAGTCCGTGTTCAACCTCCTTCAGGATCGCCTGTTTTCCAAGGTGGCTGCACCATTTCGGGTTCTCAGCAGCAGCAGGTGAGGGCCGTGACTCCCCCGCACCAGGTAAGGGCTGTGACTCCCCCTGCAGCAGGTGAGGCCCGTGACTCCCGCCGCAGGTGACCCCGGGGTCGCCAACCCCCCTGTTCCTTGGGCTCAGGTCACCGCGCCCGCGGGTGTGCCGTGTATCTGCAGGGATGTGGGGCACCTTTTCATGAGCTTGCTGGGTATTTGTCTGCATTCTTTGGAGAAATGGCCTTTCACATCCTTTGCCCACTTTTTTTAAGCTTCTGTGTATGATTTTTGAATGCCTGCACCCCCGGCGTGGCTCAGACACCTTCTGCCCCGGCCACCAGCGCCCCGGGCGCCCAGCTGTCCGTCGGCGGTTCTGCTCTCTGCTGAGCCCTTAGGTCCGCTGTGTCGTCCGCGAGCTCCGGACACGACTCCCTCGCGGGACGCGCACGTGTTCCCTCCTCCGCGGACTTTCCGGGCGCCCCGGGGGACGGAGGTCTCTAAGTGCCACCTGACTTCTGCAGGCGGCGTGTCACCCACGCGCCCCAGCCCTGTGGGGTCAGGGGCCTCCTGGAAGCTGTCACCTGGGGCTCTGGCCCCCTGAGGAGGTGTTTCCACTTCTTTAACTTCCGTTCCTTTACCAACCTGGAGCTCGAGCCGCGGGCTCGCGGAACGCGTTCCGCCGCCTCCACGCCGGGGGGTGGGTCCCTTCCTCCCGGGCTGGCTGGCGGCCCCGCGCATGCGCCCCGCCTTCCGACCGGCCCCGCGCGTGCGCGCAGGTCGCCTGCGCACTGGTCCCCTGCGCCTGCGCGGACGCTCCTCCGCCCTCCCCCCCCCCCCCCGCGCAGGCGTGTTCTGCGGGGCTGCTTGGCCTCGTCGCGCGGGCCTCGGGAACTCGGCGGACGCGGGGGGCGGGCGTGGGTGTAGAGGCTCGCGGCGCCCCAGTCCCGCAGCCCTGGGCGCGACCTCGTCAGGCTCCTTCCGCCCCGCCCGGGGCCTCCCGCCCCGCGGCCCGGCCTCCTCGGGGACCCCGCCGGCCCGGCCCCGCCCCCGACACAAGCCCCGCCCCGACACAAGCCCCGCCCCCAGGTCCCGGCCCCGCCCCCCGCCGTGGCAAGATGGGCGACAACACCAGCCCCATCAGCGTGATTCTGGTGAGCTCGGGCAGCAGGGGCAATAAACTGCTGTTCAGGTACCCCTTCCAGAGGAGCCAGGAGCACCCCGCGTCCCAGACAAGTAAGTGAGCGCGGGCGAGGGGCCCGGCGCTCCCCTCCCCCTGCCCCCCCTCCCCCTGCCCCCTTCCCTCTGCTCCTCCCCTCCCCCCTCCCTGCCCTCCCCCTGCTCCTCCCCCCTCCCTGCTCCTCCCCTCTCCCCACCCTACGCCCCTCCCCTACTCTCCCCTCTCCCTTACGTCCCCTCTCCCCCTCCCCTTCCCTCTCCCCCTCCCCCCTCCCCTTCCCTCTCCCTTCCCCTCCCCCTCCCCCCCGCCCCCTTCTCTCTACCCCCCCCCGCGCGCCAGTGGGCACGCCGTGGACCTTGAGGCCAATGCCTGCTCCATGCGTTCGGAAAAGCACAGTCAGAAGCATCACGGTAATCCCACCCGCCGACGCCCCGCAGTGCCTCCAGGCGTTAAGTGTGTATCTAAGCATCCTATGAACGTTGTCAGCTTGAGTGACACAAACCTGCAGGTAGAGGCCCTAGAGGCCCTGCGTTCCGGGGACCCCCGCCCCGCCTTCGCGGGCGAGCACCTGCCCTCGGGCACCTGCCCCTGCTGTAGGGCTGCGCGCCGTCCTGCCACGGTCCCCTCTCTCCGTGGAGCCCTTCCCAGGGTGTAGAAAGACCCCCCCCTTCCCCTGTGGATACACACTGAGGTCGCTTGCGGTCTGTCACTATCACGAATGTGCAGTTCTTCATCTACATTTTGTCTTAAAATTACATTTAAATTCGTTAATATGGTACAGGTTTTAAAGGTACAAAAGGTATAGATGACGAAAGGGACGATCTTTCCCACACTCCCCCAGGCACTCCTTTTCCCTCGTAGGGGCAGCTGCTGCTACTGTTTTCCTGTGCGTTTTCCCTGAACCTTCCGTGTAAACACAAGCATGTGCACACTTTTTTAAAAATCCTATGTTTTTCAAATTTTTATTTTGAGTAATCTCTACACACCACGTCCGGCTTCCACTCGCAACCGTTAGCTCAGGAGTTGCATGTGCTTCTGACAGAGCCAGCCAGGTGCCCCCATGTTCTTTTTTCTAAGCAGAAGTGTCGCGGCTGGCGCGAGAAGGTCCGGATTCAGGAACCGAGGGCAAGGGGATGAGAAAGAAACAAGAGACTAAAAGTTCATGGGATAGGAGGTTCCATGCAGCTGATGGCCGCAATGGACAAGCTTTATTTTTGCATGTAGAGTTTATATAGCCTCTGTAAGCAGGCGGCTTATTTCTTTAAGGAGAAGTACATCTCGCGCACAAACATACATTGTTTTTAAGACTGACACCTGTTATTTGTTTAAGCAATAGAGCATGAAGGCCACATATAGACTAAACAGTGAAGTTTGTTTATTAAGTAATGTCTGCCAAGGCGGTCATGTGTCAGGCCACCTTCTTGCTTACTTTATGGGAACTTGTCTCGATAACATTTTAAAGGAGAAGCAAATATGTACATTTACTTCCATAAGGGGGAAGAGCTAGGTGCAGCCCCAGCAGGTTGGCCAGGTATGACAAGGAGCCTTTGCTCAACCCAGAACCCTGCCTCGCGCCGCAGGACTGCGGGTTGGCCAGGGACAACAGGGAGCTTTGGCTCAACTTGGAACCCTGCCTCGCGCCGCAGGACTGCGGGTTGGCTAGGGACGACAAGGAGCTTTGGCTCAACTTGGAACCTTGCCTCGCACTGCGGGACCGCTCCCAACACAGAAGTGAACACACTACACGCACTTTTGCCCTGTTGTTTTCTTATTCACTTTACATCTTGAATATACATTTGGGATTATGGTCAGAGTCATGGGATGAACATACTATATTTATTTAGTCCTCTGTTGATGGGCATTTGAGCTGTTTCCATGGGCGCCTGGATGTCTCAGTGGTTTAAATATCCACCCTGGGCTCAGGTCATGATCTCGGGGTCCTGGAATCGAGCCCCAGGTTGGGCTCTCTGCTTGGTGGGAAGCCTGCTTCTCCCTCTGTCTCACCTCCAGCTCCTTACCTTTCTCTCATTTTCTCAAAATATTTAAAAAAAAAAGTTGTCTCCACACTTTGGCTAATACAAACGGTATCAATGTATTTTTCTGTAAACATTATCATTTTTCCAAATAGAGGATGAGTTCCCCAAAGTAGGATGGTTGTATCTAGGGGATAATGAACATATCCCAAGCAGGCTCCGTGCTCAGCGTGGAGCCCCATGGGGGGGGGGGTCAGTCTCACCACCCTGAGAGCATGACCTGAGCTGAAATGGAGTCCCACCTGAGTCATCCAGGTGTCCTGATAGTGGTTTTGATGTACATTTGTCTTATGACTGAGTGAACATATTTTCCTCTTTTTTTAAAGATCTTATTTATTTATTTATTTTTTTTTTTATTTATTTATTTATTTATTTTTTATTTTTTTTTATTATTCCTGAGAGACACAGAGAGAGGCAGAGACACAAGCAGAGGGAGAAGCAGGCTCCCTGTGGGGAGCCTGATGCAGGACTCGATCCCAGGACCCCGGGGTCACGCCCGGAGCCAAAGGCAGACCCTCAGCCACTGAGCCACCCAGGCGTCCGGAAAATAAAACTTTTTTTAAAAAAGATTTATTTATTTAAGAGAGAGCATGTGCATATGTGAGCACGTGTAGTGGGGGGAGGCACGGAGGGAGAGGATCTTCCAGTGGACTCCTCTCGCTGAGTGAGGAACCATCTCTGCATGGAGCCTGCTTCTCCCTCTGCCTGTGTCTCTGCTTCTCTCTCATGAAAAAATAAAATCTTAACAAAAAAAATAAGCGCAGTATTTGTCCTTCTGTGTCTGGTTCCCTTCACTGAGTTTAATGTTTTCCAGCTCTCCATGTTGTAGCATGTATCAGGAACTCTGTTCTTTTTATGGCCATTGTGTATATACACCACGTTTTATTTTTTACTTTTTTTTTTTTTTTTTTTTAAATTCTTGAGAGACACAGAGAGAGGCAGAGACACAGGCAGAGGGAGAAGCAGGGTCTCTGCCGGGAGCCCGATGCGGAAGTCGACCCAGGGCCTGGGATCACGCCCTGAGCCAAAGGCAGACGCTCAGCTGCTGAGCCCCCCAGGCGCCCCTACACCACGGTTTAGAAGCTGTCACCATCCTCCTGGATGTGGTTGGATCCTGTTTTCTAGCTGCTCTCCCCTTTTTTGCCCTCACTCAGATAAGCCTCGTAGCAGATATGCCGTCAACAACACTGGAGACCACGCTGATGACCAGGACGGTGATTCCAGGTAAGAGCCTGCAGTCACTGTGATGGGGCTCGTCCTGCCCCCGGGCCTGGGACCCAGAGGTGGTCTCCCGTGAGAAACCTGCTGTCCTTTTCCCGTTGGGTGGGTATTTCAGGTTGTACAGAGCTGAGGGGGTGCCACCAATGTCTGACTTGCTGCATAGTTTGGTCACACATTCCAGCCGTGGAACTGGTTCTGGGTGAAGCCGACTGGAGAACAGATGAGACCAGAGAGAACATTTGTCTTCGGTGAGAGGAACAGGGAGAGAAGCAGACCCTGGTGCTGTCTTCAGACCTGACTCTTCAAGTGTGCGCCCAGAGGTCACATGTGGGTGCTTGTTCAGGTGGTGAGGAGGGCTGAGAGCCAGGGCTGCTGTGACCCTTGCTCCTTTAAGGCAGAGGTGAAAGGTCTTTTCTTTCCTTTTTAAAAAATTTTTTTTAAAGAATTTATTTATTTATTCATGAGAGACACAGAGAGAGGCAGAGACACAGGCAGAGGGAGAAGCCGGCTCCCTGCAGGAGCCCGATGCGGGACTCAATCTTGGAACCCCGGAGCCGAAGGCAGACCTCAACCACTGAGCTGCCCAGGCGTCCCAGGTCTTTTCCTTCCTGTGTGTCCTCCCCCTGCTTTTCCTGGGAAGTGCTGTCAGGTGGCAAGCATCAGAAATAACCACTGTGGTCATTGTCTTATGTTCGTTGTAAAGCCTAGTACGTGGTAACAGGCCCAGTTGAAGGAGGAAGGATTTTAGGTAGCCAGTCCTGGTGCCTCTGTACACAGCTGGGACATGCATGAAGGGAAGACAGCCTGCACCGTGCCATGGCGGAGTAGCTGAGGCCCCCACCAGGCCTTTGCCATGGAGTGGACGAGCACAGTCTCCTCAGTTCCTCAGTTCTCGTGATGAGGCACCACCCCTGCCATGGTATTGTGCAGTTCCGCAGGTCTGGTTTTTAGCCTTTTTGGTGAGGATATTGGGGGCCTCTGGCATGACCAATGACCGCCTCTGAGGGCAGCAAGCTTTGAAGGAGAGAGCAGGGGGTGCGGGGAACTGACCGTTGGACATCCATGGGTGGTCCTGCATGATGTAGAAGCCATGCTCACCGTGTCCTCTGACGTGGGCCACTTGGAACAAACTCCACTTGGCTACAGGTGCACAGAAAGCTTTTTGCCCTGCCCCGTGGGGTGGGTGCATTTTGTCCTCCATCTGTGGCATAGATTTGTTTAGAGGAGGGCTGGCCACCTGCTTGCCCTTCCCCGAGCTCCTCAGATGTCAGGCTCAGGCTGCAGAAGATGCAGAAAGTGCTCTGGGAAAGGTCTCTGTGGGATTCCTGGGAGGCTGGCAGTGCCTGACCCCTGCTGTTAACTCTCAAGGCTTGTAACAAAAGACTAAGAGAAAGTTTCTAGAGAATTATTTCAAAATTTGGCATAAAGAAGAGGAGAAACCATGGGAAGGGAGCAAGACATTGTGGGCCTATCGGGATCACAGATACCCTGTTCAATAAGAGCTGGTTCTCTGTACTCTCTCAAGTTTAAGAATTCCCTCCTTTGGTAATTGTAGCATATTATAGTATCTGATGATCCCACTCCCCACCCGCCCTTGTTTTCAGAGATACGGGTAATACCTCTGAGCGCCCAGCTGTATTTCATCACGTTGGCTTGCCAAGCAAGCCTCTGGTGCCTGAGGAGCCGTGTCATGGCTCAGACATCTTCCTGGAGCAGTACAGTGTTCTCAGGGGTCTAAGGTGCTTTTTTTCTGGAACCAGTAGAATGTCCCTGCTTGTTGTTTTGTCAGACAGAAGCCATGTTAATAGGCCACTCGTGCAGCATCTTGAGTGTGCAGAGAGATGGGCCCTGCCCTGGAGGGATGAGGATGCGGGCTGTGCTGCCCAGGCGTGAAGTCACCATTTAAATAGAAATGAAATTCAAAAAAAAAAAAAAAAAAGAAAGAAAGAAATTCAGTTCATCCGTCGCATTTCAGGTGTTTGGGGGCTGCAGGTGACTACTGGCTACTATCTGAGTAGTTCAGATTTAGAGTATTTCCACCACTGTAGAAAGTTCTGTTGGACAACAGTGGCTTAGTGTGTGTGCTGGTTCAGGGTATAAGAATTAACTGTCAGGTTTAAAAAAAAAAAACACAGTAAACTCTTTTATTTTAAAAAAAAAGCCTCATAGAATTCAGTAGGAGAGAAGAAAATGGATACTGTCCGTTGTCTTTAAGGTTTGAAATTCAAATGTAGGAAAGTTGTAGCACTCCTGTTGGATGAGTATTGGGGACCAGGGAGCTCATGCTTTGCTTTGTTTTTTTAAGGTTTTTATTTATTTGAGAAGGAGTGAGTGAGACATAGAGCACACCCTGGGGCAGAGGGAGAGGAAGAAGCAGGCTCCCTGATGAGCAGGGAGCCTGACATGGGGCTCGATCCCGGGACACTGGGATCATGACCTGAGCCCGAGGCTGATGCTTCACTGACTGAGCCACCCAGGTGCCCCTGGGGAGGTCATGCTTAATAGCATTTTGCATCCACCACACTTGCAGGGGCAAAAACCATCAGGAGAGGTCCTGGAGAAAGCCTGCTGTCAGTCACAATGGGTGTCACTGGCACCATCCCTCCCAGTCGGATTGTTCTGGGTACTGTCTCAGAGAAGGGGAAGCTGGTAGCTTGGAGAAGAGTCGACTTCATTTTGAAACACTCAGAAATCATTTTACTTGGGATATCATCCAGAAGACCTTGGAAGCATGAAAGATTTCTGGCCATACCTTTTAATTCTCAGTTGGTGTCGTGGGGGCGGTGGAATCAGGTGGCAGTGCTGCCCACCCCTCTCTAAGTAGTGGGTCAGCTTTGGGGCACATCCACACCCTCCGCTGGATGGGAGGGTTTGCACACTGACACGCCGCTGGTCCGCTATACCAGGTGCACCGGGGGCCCCAGCAGGCCTCTCCTGATAGCTTTGCTATCAATGCACAGAAGACAGATAAGCAGTGTTGTCCTCAAGCTTGGGCATCCCCCAGCCCTTTCCTGGCCCAGCCAGTACGTCTACGCTGGCGCATCCACACGGGCTCATGCCTGCAGGCCGTGTGCTGGGACAAGTAGTGGTTTGGGTTCTGGGTGTGACTCTCATTGTGCACCTGCATTGTGTGATCTTGGGCCCCTTCCTCGTACCACAGCCTCAGTTTACCACCACCCTCAGTCTTAAGTTGCCTGAGGGTGGCAAGGCACCTTGGCCTCCCCCTCCCAGGTCTGCTATTGTGGGAACATCTGGGTCTTGGTGAGAGTACTGGCTGGTGCCTCTGCCTCCCTCAGAGGGGCGGACACAGGTTCATGGAACATGCTGCGGGGGGTAGGGGGCTTAACATGTCACCTCTACAGCATTAGAAAAGACGGCTGCTGATACTTGGAAGCCCCACATGCTTCTTCCCTTTTGAAAGTAGAGGGGTTTTGTTGTGACCTGTCTGCTTGCCGAAGATGAAAGTTGTAGGAGTTGGACTTGGGCTTCTAGGGGATTCTGACCAGGGTGATCTTGGGAAGGCCCCAAAACGTCTTACCCCTTCCATACTGTGCACACTGATGAACTGACCTTTGGGAGCTGTTGAAAACAGGAGCTCCCTGTTGTGTGTTTCTCTCACGTGGGTCTGTGGCTTGTGTGCCTTGGTGAGAGCTGTGGGAGCAGCAGGCCCCGCGGGGCGGCCCCGCGATCATGGCACAGCAGCGCAGCCGGCTCTTGTCCCTCCAGTGCTGTCTCCAGTCTGGGGTCTGGCCTCCTTTCTGTGTCCTGGATACTGGGAAAGCAGCCTGTCCCAGAACACGGTCCGCTGCACAGTAACGTGACTCTTTTAAACATAGTCTCTAAAAAACTTAACGTTGCGCAGCGCGGAGGTCCCATACATCATGTACAGACTCGCCACAGCGTTCTTGCTGCCAGAGGGCCCGTGGTTCTGTGCTGAGCAGAGGCTCAGTGAGCGCGGGTGCGTAGGCAGTCACAGTATCTCAAGAGTTGGGGCCGAGTGTTCAGTGGCATCCTGCGGTCCTCATAAGGCTTTTCTGGACGGGAATCTCTGCGGACCTTCCCGAGATGCAGTGCTTGTGCGTGGGTGTCCGGCCAGTGTCTGTGGTGCTGGGCTCCAACCCAGATCTTCTAGCCTCGCTCTTGCTTCTGAAAACGGGCTCTCACTTGTGCCCAGGCTCTGTTTACCTGTGGGAGTCTGAGCTTTTGTGAGAAAACCGTGGTAAGTCTTCCCCTTGGCAAGCGTCTGTCTCTTCTTTCTTGTCCGGTAAGTTGCTCAGCCTTGCTCTCCGCAGTTAACGTTTACGGTGGTGCTTCTGCTAGACATTAATACCGTTTTAATGAAACAGCCTTGTAATGATTCATGATTTTTAAAATTGGTGTGTTTGTTTGGTCTTGATGGTCCTGTTCCCATTCCAGCGAGCCATGTCCTCCAACCGATGAGCGATTGGTTGCAGGGTAAGAGCAAGACTTCTCCACCACCTGCCTGTCTTGATTCCTGCTGCCTTCTCTTGTAATTGTGCTTAACTCCTGATCGCCCTCAGTGTTGAAGAATGACTAACGAGGCACACAGGCTCTGGCTCGGACCTCACTGCCCAATCCCCCACGAGCACGCAGGCTTCCCATGGCCCCTGCCCTTTCTCCACCTGGAGTTATTCAGCTTTTCCACATTACCTGGGAGGCCAAGACAACATTGGCCAGGGCCAGGGAGACTTTTGGGACCAGGTATGCACACAGACCTCCCCTCCTCCAGGAAGGCCCCAGTGGCCCCAGGAATGTGGTAGGCAAGCAAGAACAGAGCTCCTTACCTCTCTAGCAGCCTCCCCCTACAGAGACCCTTGTTCATTGCTTCTTGCCTTCATTTCTCAGAGGGGTTGTAGGAGGCCTCTCCTGAGGACCAGGTGTTGAATGTGATGCTTGGACTTAGATGTATGTGTGCTCGTGAGAGGCAGACGTGTTCCCGTGGAGCTTGTATGGCCCTTCCCCTGTGCCCCTGATGGGGCATCCCCCCCGGTTATTGGGGGTGCCTGGAGCATCTGTGAGCCACCCCTCTCCCCTTAAACGGCCGGGGGCAGAGGGGAGTTCCTTTCCACACTGTCTCTCTCTCTCTCTCTCTTTTTTTTTTGTCAAGCCAGAGGAAAAGCCCCTCCTGAGTATCCCAGCAGCAGTGGACGGCCCTGCCTGTTTTCCAGCTGGGCTGGTTCATCTCAAATGCTTTTATGTTTTTTGAACTTTGAAGTTCTTTCGGGAATGTTAGTTTTTATAACAGTTGTTTTATTCTGTTGTAACACATTTCCCAGGCTGTTCCTCCTCAAAGCAAGGGGAAAGGATTTTTGTAAATTCTGAAAACAAATATTGTCAGTTATTTTTGTTTTACTTTGCTGTTTCCATCAGTTATGTCCCCTCCCCCAAATCTCACGATAGAACTCTGACTTGGTGAGTGCTACGTCGGCAGATGCAGAACGTGAAGTGTAACCCACTCAAGTATTTTTTTTTAAATTGTAAATGTGTGATATTAGTGTCCCGTGAGCAGGTTCCTGTGTGGGTCACACTAGCTCAGACACGCAGAGCAGCTGAGCGCCGTCCTGCTGGCCACCCCGGAGAGGCCTCCCTGACGGGCCATGTAGGGCAGCGTGGCTTTTCACTTCAGCAGTACACGGCTCTCAAGTTGGCCTCCTCTGTTCTGTCCTTTCTGGACTCAGACGGGGAAGTGCTTTTTATTTGGCTCTTGGAAGGGTACCTCTTGGGTTTGGATATTTACAAAGGTGAGCTGGGCCGCCACCGTCTGCCTCTGAATCTCACAGCCAGACTTGGGTTCCTGGACTGGTGGCTAATGGCCAGGGCCGAGGCCCGTCTATGGCTCTTTGTGATGGAGCAGAGGTTTTTAGTGGAGATTTTTGGATATCACAAGAAAAAGTGAACCCTCTGGAATGGTAGGAAGTTGTTCTTCTGTCTGTTATCTCTGTATCCCTTGTATCACCGGGTGGCAGAGTGGAGGGGTAGTGTGTGTTTAGATAGCATATGAAATATTAGCACTGGATCAGTTACTAGAGCTGATGTGTTTATTAGGGTCTTGCCATCCTGAGCCCTCTCCACCGTCACTGTGTCCCTTAGGTGGGAGTTACAGGACAGAGTGAGCCAGGGAGTTTTTGAAGAAAGCATGTAATGCCTCCTGCCTGAGACTCTGGAATCTTCCATCTCTGGTTTATTCACTCCCAGAGAGCGGTATTCCTGGGAAGGAATGACCCACATTGGGCAGCCGAGGGCTTGAGCTGTGGGTCTCAAGGTTCCCAGAATGTCTCTGACAACATTGGTATCAGGAGGTCCAACTGCAGTCCTGACCGTGCAGGAGGCAGGGCGGCCCGTTCTGACCCAATGCCCTGCATCTGGTTTGCTTGGGGACCACAGAGCAACCAAGGGCACCTAGAGGACCACGTAGGTCCTGGGGGAAGGCTGGAGGGCAGTGTGACCAGCCCCCCTTGGCTTCCGTCCTGCCTGCGGGGGAGAGGCCTGGAAAGAGTCCCACAGCGGCCTGCTTTGCTTTAGTGTAGGTGGTGACACAGCGAGGCCCTTGCTCCAGGCTGGTTTCAAGTGTGTTGGACAGTGAGCCCCGCCGAGTGTGGGAGCCCAGAGCACTGACCCCCCCTCCTAGCTCACTTCATGTCAGAGCCATTCATTAGCTATTTCAGAGTTGCCCTGTGGCTGCAGTCTGCCGCAGAGCTTCCCTTTGGGGTTTAGTTGCCGCCGTCCGTCCCATAGCAAGCTCCTCTAGGAGAGAAGCATCTGGTCCCTCATTCACTGTAGCTCCTCAGTGAAGGCCCAGGACACACACCGGAGCATCTGTCCTCATTGGCCTCTTCAGGACGGTAGGGGTCTTGTTGCCCAGGGGCAGAGCATGGCCTTGGAGGAGCTGGAGCCACCTTCCCCAGCACAGTGTGCCGTTCTGAGCTGGATATTAGAGATGCTTTTCCAGGTGGAGAAATGAGCACAGGACTTGTCTCCCTTCTGGCTCCTGATCAGACACAACACATGAGTGTTTCTAGAGTGGAGGTTTCTGGAGCCTGGGCTCTGAGATAAGAGTCTGCACAGCACCCCCAGCACTCTCTTCCCTCTGGTGACTCTCCCTTATCTGCATCCCCTTGGGCAGGAAGGCACAGGGTTGCTAGTGGGGAGACATAGGTGTACAGAGGCAACTTGAGAAGGGATGAGCTCTGTAGTTTGCAGAGATCATAGCCAAACCTGCTGTCACACTACAGCCATTCCCACTTTACCACGGCATCCGGTCCTGTGCATCCTCAAGTTCATATCACATCATCGGTCCTACAGATTTTGCACATCTTAAAAGTTTCTTCCCTAGTTAAAAAGTAGAAGGTTGAAATGTTCAGGAGGGAACGACTGGGCAGCTGTGCCGTGAGGAAGGTAATTAGCACACTGCAGTTAGTGTTGTCCTTTACACACCTGGGGGTGGTAGGTCCTGGGGGTTGAGGGGTCAGCCCAGCAAACCTGGGCCAGTCGGGAGCTCCCCCAATCCTCGTGTGCCTTAATGAGTGGCTACTTAGGGCAGTGTCGGCTCCAGCTGTTGTCCTCCCTTTAAAAGCAAACTGCAACTTGTTTTCTCTCTTGAATTTCATAGAGCATGCCAAGAAATGACAGCATGTGCCTTCAGTCTATGCTTTTCATGCCTTTTACCTTGTAATTCTGGTGATTTTATGTCCCTAATCTTGGGGATTGCTTCAAAAGGGCAACTGATAGAAGCTTCCAGGTCAGCAGTGGGGGGTAGAGCACTCCACGCACGAAGCTGCCATGTCCTGAGGCCTTTCCCCTCTGAGGGCAGGTGGGCATGGTACTGTGGCACTTTGTTTACTTATTTCTACTCTGCCCTTTTTTAATTTTAAGGTTTTCAGATGTCATTCTGGCAACAATTTTGGCAACCAAGTCTGAAATGTGTGGCCAAAAATTTGAACTGAAGATTGATAACGTACGGTTTGTTGGGCACCCAACACTGCTGCAGCATGCTTTGGGGCAGGTATGGCCCTCTGGGGGCGGGTGAGGTTCTCCCTGGGGCAGGTGAGGTCTCCCTGGGGCAGGTGAGGTTCTCCCTGGGGTAAGTATGGCTCTCCTTGGGGCAGATATGGCCCTTCCTGGGTAGGCACAGCTCTCCCTGAGCAGGCATGGTCCATCCTGGCTCTGGAGCCCTTGGGGGGCTGTGGCTCACACTGATTCTAGTGAGGGCCGCCATCGTGTCCTGCCGTGCATGCAGTTGGCTGCATACCCTCACAGGCCTCTGTGGTTTTAGTCTCTGCTCCTGGCTTTGGCTCTGTAATCTGGGTCTTTCCTGACTGCTGCCTTCCCCTGATATCTAGGACACCTGTTTCTAAAGTGGTGCAAGCATTTTTGTTATTTATTCAATGATGCCATAGCAAATCTGATTATTTCCTACATTTGTGCTAAACCCTGTATGTGCATTCTGTGATGAAGATGTTCCAGTACTGAGAGGTTTTAGCAAGATTGAATGCATTATTACCCAAGGGAATTTTTTTTTTTTTTTTAGATATTATTTATTTATTCCTGAGTCACACAGAGAGAGGCAGAGACACAGGCAGAGGGAGAAGCAGGCTCCCTGTGGGGAGCCCGATGCGGGACTCGATCCCGGGACCCAGGATTACACCTTGGACTGGAGGTGGCGCTAAACCGCTGAGTCACCCGGGCTGCCCACCAAGGGAATTTGACACCATAACCTGCTAGTCAGTCCTTTGCACGCAGGCTGAATCAAATCAGGGCTTTCATAAGACAGGACGAGATTTCGCTCCATTTATATGATCCAGAATGCAGTTCTCAAATCTTATCCATGAATAAGCCCAAGGAAGGAGCTTCTGAGGCAGTGGAGGTGTGAGGACGTAGGGCCATGGCTGGGTGCACTGGACCCCACGGTGGCACCTTCCTCCTTCCCCAGAGCCCTGCAGACAGGGTGCAGTCCCCATTGCTGACTCCTGGGTTCTGGGGTAGATTTGACGTCCTGCCAGGAGTTGCACCTGACCAAACTGGGGTGACAAGCAGGATGGTTAAAGAGCTAGTTGGGATGGCCCAGAGAGATGTGACCCCCCCCCCCCCGGCAACACGTGTATTCTGTTTGATGTTTGTGACTTGGGGTGGTTGGATCCAGGCATCCCCTTGGTCTCTGCTCGCTCTGAGCGTTTTCTTGTCTCTTAATTGTCCTGAGTGGTTGCCATACCTGGCTGAGATGGATAACCCAGGTGGATGCTGAAAACAGCAATGGGGGAGGGAGAGTCCCAGCAGAGAACATCCCATCTGCTTAAGCCTCTCCCCGTCTTGTCTGGAGTGGGCACCTTAGCTGACTTCTGTTGACTGGGGTAGCGTCATCACTCAGGATCATAGCATTGACTTTCCCGCTCTTGTCTCAGCTGCATCTCCTTCTGTATCTGCTGCCTTTGCTTGCCCATACTGAGGCACTGAGCACTTCTCAAAGACCCAAGAGCTCTGTTTTACTCTGGGTCAGCTCTATTCTGGAACCTTTCCCCGTGCCTGAAGAATAGCACTAAACAGGATTTCTTGGGATGTGGTGGCTCTTACTCATTACAATTCCATTCCTTTTACAGGTTTCAAAAACAGATCCATCTCCGAAGAGGGAAGCTCCCACCATGATTCTCTTTAATGTGGTGTTTGCACTGAGGGTGAGTGAGTACAAGTGGCTGAAGAGCATGGGTGGGTCAGGGAGGAGAGTCCAGGGAGAGTGACAGTAGCTCGTTTCTGGTGAGTGTGTCATTGGCTCAGACTGCTGAGCTGGCCCAGCTGCTGCCCGGCTGGGGTCCTGGAGGAGTCTGCCCGTGTTGTTTTTTCTAAATAAAATGTACATCACATAACATTTACTATTTCAACCATTTTAAAGTGTGCAGTTTGGTGGCATCCCATAGCCACATTGTGTAACTGTCACCTGTTTCAGTTCCAGAACGTTTTCATTGCCCCCCAAGGAGACCATGTACTCCCCCTCTTCTCTCCTCTCCCAGCCCCTGGAAACCAGAATTTGCTTTGTTTATGGATTTGCCTACTCTGCAATCTCATGGAAATTGGATCCTGCAATATGCAACTTTTGGTGTCTTGTCTTCTTTCACTTAGTTCCTCCATGTGGTAACACGTTTCAGGACTTCATTCCTTTTTGTGGCTGAATTCTATTCCATTGTTTGGATGGACTACAGTTTATGCATTCATTCATCTGTTGACGAGCGTTTGTGTTACCTCTGCCTTTCGGCCATTACGGACGATACATGTTCATCAGTGTTATACTGTGACCAGCGCTATTACTGACATTTGGGTCCAAATGTTTGTGTGGACACCTGTTCTCTTTTCCTTTGGGCATATATCTAGGAGTGCAATTCCAGGGTCATGTGATAACCTGTTGAGGAACTGTACCAGACCTCTGCACCATTTTACATCCCGACCAGCAGTGTGTGTGTGTTCCAATGTCTCTACCTTCACACCAACATTGTTATTTTCTTTTTAAAAAATATTTATTTATTTATTTATTTATTTATTTATTTATTTATTTATTTGAAATATTTATTTATTTATTCGTGAGAGACACAGAGAGAGAGAGAGGCAGAGACACAGGCAGAGGGAGAAGCAGGCTCCATGCAGGGGGCCCGACGTGGGACTCAATCCCGGGACTCCAGGATCACGCCCTGAGCCAAAGGCAGATGCTCAGCTGCTGGCATCCCATGGCATCCCATGAAAGGACGCCCATGAAATTGCCTAGGAAATTTATATTGGGTGGCTGTTACATAGCGGAATTCCTTTGAAATATTCCACTATCTGTTTGCAATAAAATACTCAGTAGTTCTTTCTGGCTGGGCACATGTGATCTCATGATGGCGTTTCATAGAAATGCCTCAGACAAAGTGACTGAGTCTCCATGACAAGGAACAGTGTGTGCTTTGAAAGTCTTCGGGTGGCAGAAACAACACTACGCAGGGCACCTGTAAAATTGGTGCATTTTAAGTTTCAAGGTGCTTCTCTCTTTTGAGGGCTCTGTGTGTGGAGACCACACCACATTCACTGTGAATGGCTTAAAACCAAAATAATGCCAGAGAAAAGGTCCTTTGGAATGGAGTTTAATTTTTAAAACTAGACGACCTTGCCGATAAATAAGGAACCATATGTTAAGACAGAATGATTGGTTAAGGGGCGCCTGGGTGGCTCACCAGTTTAGTGCCGCCTTCAGGGGTGATCCAGGAGTCCCAGGATCGAGTCCCCCATTGGGCTCCCCTCAAGGAGCCTGCTTCTCCCTCTGCCTGTGTCTCTGCCTCTCTGTGTGTGTGTGTGTCTCATGAATAAATAAAATCTTAAAAAAAAAAAAAGCATTGGGATGGTTAACACTGGCTGTCCCTAGGGTGTGTGGTTCCAAGAGGGACCTTTGCCTTAGTAGTTCTGGCATTTTCACAGGGTGAATAATATAGGGCATGATATGTGAAATTGCCTAATGCAGACACCCCCAAAGAGAACTCCAGGAAGAAACAAAAGACCAAAAATCATGACGAATGCGGTCTGTGAGCACTGATAGGCCCTGTGGGATGGGCAGTGAGAAGCAGCCACGGCCCCACCCTGCAGGCAGGCCCTCGGCTCTGGGAAACAGCATGTGATAGCAGAATGGGAGACACCCTGGCTGTAGCAATCAAGAAAACAACCAGATTCTAAAGTTGTATGAAGACTTTAAAAATAATCATTAGGGGGCACCTGGGTGACTCAGTCATGAAATGTCTGCCTTCGGCTCAGGTCATGATCTCAGGTCCTGGGATCAAGTCCCACATCAGGCTCCCTGCTTAACGGGGAGTCTGCTTCTCCCTCTGCCTCTGCTGCTGCTCCCCCTGCTTGCATGCGTTCTCTCTCTCTCTCTGTCAAATAAATAAAATCTTTTAAAAATATATTATAAAATAAATACTTAGGCTGGAAATAATCCTGGTATCCAGTAGCTGGGGATTGGTTAGACAAGGTGGTAATTATTACACTGGCACATCTGTGGCTGTTAAAGTGAGGAGTGAGGATGAGGCCAGAGCTGGGAAGAGTATAGATGCGTCGGCGCCAGGTGAAACCAGCCTGCAACCAGGTACTGGAGGACCTCGTGCAGCACTGGCCTCACTGCTGAAGAGTGGGAGGAATTTTAATGTAGTGTTGATATCGTAAGGTAGGACGTTCTTTTAATGGCCATGTAAAGATGTATACTTACTTTTTACTTTGAAGGCTTTTAAAAAAACCCCAAACCAATGACAGTAGGTGGTGAAACTCTGATGTCCCATGATGTCATCAGGCCCCCGGCCCTGCCCGTTGCTCCCGTGTTTCAAGGCAAGCCCCAGGCCTCGTGTCTGTTCCTTGTATGTACTTCAGGCGCCAGCTCTATGAAACGGGAACATTTATGTTACACCATGATGCCCTTTCGCACCCGATACAGCTGGTGGTCATGGGGTATCAGCTAGTGCCTGCTCTGTTGAAACTTCCCTCAGTTGCCATCCATAGTTTTTGCCGTTGGCCTGTCTGGACCAGGATGAAAACCTGGCCCTCCCAAGGGTATGGGCTGTGTCTTAGGTCTCACCGCCTTGGTCCCACTGAATGGCCCATGTTTGGATTCATCTCCTAGTACTTGCTCTTGTTCATGTATTGCCTGCAAATTGGACATTTGCTCTGAAGCCCTCATTACATTTTTGGTACATTTTTTTTAAGATTTTATTTATTTATAAAAGACCCAGTGAGAGAGGCAGAGACACAGGCAAGGGGGAAGCAGGCTCCACGCAGGGAGCCCGACATGCGACTTGATCCCCGGTCTCCAGGATCAGGCCCTGAGTCAAAGACAGACGTTCAACCGCTGAGCCACCCAGGCGTCCTTTGGTACATGTTTTGAGAGCAAGAGTCGCACAGGTCATACCCTAAATTTCCTGCTGTTTTGTATCACCTGTGGGGGCAAATGTGTTTCTAAGAGTTCCTACTTGGGGCTGGCCCGTCTTAGGTGGTACCTCTCTCACTGTGGCCGGACGGAACCTTGTGTTCTGCAGGCACCTTGAGTGGTGCCTGGCCTGTGAAGCCAAACAGGACACCCCCCCCACACCCCACCAGTGCAGGTCATTGGGCCTTGCCTGGGTGACCCCCCCCCTCGCGTGCCTGGGAATGTGGGACAGGTAGGCTCAGGCTTCTGACTTAAAACACTGTCCTGTCCCAGCCAATGGGACCTTGAGCATAGGGTCAGGCTCTCAGGTGTGACTTGATTGTTTCTTTAAGGGGTAACATCTGCATAGGATCATTCTCCTTCCTCTGCTTTGCTGCTGAGACTATTTTGACACAGATTCTTTTTTTTTGTTTTTTAAATATTTTATTTGTTTATTCATGAGAGAGAGAGAGAGGCAGACAGACAGACAGACATAGGCAGAGGGAGAAGCAGGCTCCATGCAGGGAACCCAACGTGGGACTCGATCCTGGGACCCCGGGTTACACCCTGAGCCAAAGACAGGCACTCAACTGCTGAGCTACCCAGGCGTCCCAAGACAGATTCTTCTAAAAGTGTATTTTAAGGCAGTTGTACATACTTTATAATGTAGGTCCTCCAGTTCCACAATCTTGGGGACATTTTGAGGGGCCATCCTTGACGTGAAGGGCGGGCACGGCACGAGGGCAGTGTTTACTCCTCTCCCAGCATAGAGATGCTGCTGCCAGGTGTGAATTCTGTTTGTGAACACGAGATCTGCTACGGGTTCAGGAAATCTCTCCAATTGCAGGTATGAAAGTGTTTACTGAGTCTGGGTTTTGGTCCAGAAGGCTGGCTGTGGACACCCTGCTGATAGGGCCCGGCCTGCCAGATAAACAGGAGGGGAGGCAGCCCAGGTTTTAATCAGCACCATGTATGCCTCTCACTCCTCCCACCTCCACCCTGGGTGACTCAGCAGCCCTGTTGTCCTCCTGCAGTGCTGAGTCATGGTTGGCCAGTTATCTGCTGTGTGGAGCATCTTGAGAGACCCTACAGCTGCCTGCCCCACCCTTGGCCTGGGCGGGTGTGCCCGCCTGGCCTCCCTGCGGCGTCTGATAGGTTCTGGAGTTAGCGTTGGGGTGCCAAGGGAGCTTGTGGGGAAAAGAGTGGCCTGGAGCCTGCTGTCTTTGTTGTTAGCCAGACTTGTTTCTGTTGGAAGAGCCTCTTCTGAGGACCGCATGTCCGACCAACAGTCGGCTTGGGGTCTGCGTTTCCGATGCTCCATGCCCCTGTTGTAACGGGGTCTGTGTGGTTGAGTTCTCACGAAGCCTGGTCCTGCCCACCAGCAGTAGCAGGACACTGGTGACTGTAAACACTGCCAGGGCTTGTGGTCTGCACAGGGTCTGTCAGACTCCTTGGGGAGGGAGCTGCCGCTGTTACACATTCCCAGATGGAAGCCTGTGATCACACAGTAGGTGGGTAGTGGGACCTGTGTCTTCAGCCACCCCATGGCCCCAGTGGGCTACCTCTTGTCAGGCCTGGTAGATGCTGGATCTGAGCCCCATCCTGGATGGCCCTGCTGGGGTGCCCTGCAGATGCTTGTGGGAAATGCCTTTGTCCCCTCACCAGCTGGGGGACCCCACAGACCCTTCTCTGTGTTGCCATCCAGGCATCTGTTCCTAAGATAGGATACTGAACACACTGGTGTTGGTGGATGGACCTTGGAGGGGACATAGGAAATGAGACAGCAGTGGCCCCTGGAGTGGGCCATGTGGAAAAGGAGGAGAGGGTTCCTCCATGGTTTGAGGCATCTAGGCACACGTGCTCCCTGTATGTACGCTGCATTTGACTCACAAGTGGCCTCTCCTGCAGGCCAATGCGGACCCGTCAGTGATAAACTGTCTGCACAACCTTTCCCGACGCATTGCCACAGTGCTGCAGCATGAGGAACGCCGCTGCCAGTACCTCACCAGAGAGGCCAAGCTGATCCTGGCGCTGCAGGACGAGGTGTCCGCGGTGGCTGATGGTGAGTGCAGCAGGAATCTCTCCTACCCCACCCCACAGCATGGCAGGCAGCCTTTGGAGGCGGGACCCTGGTCCAGGTTTGCAGAGGTGGAAACTGAGCACCGAGAGGTTATGTGATCTTGTGTCCTTCCCTTGGGCACGTGGGAGGACGCCCAAGGGACACAGTTGGAGAGCAGTTCTCCTGAACTGATGCCGGAATTGATCCCGCAGCCTGAACGGCGCCCCATGCCCCAGCTGCAGGATGGCTGTCCAGGCAGGTCGGGGGCAGGTCGGGCATTGCCCAGTCAGCCCTATTCCTGCTGGCTGCGGTTCCCTGCGGCAGGAGGACACGTGAGGGGCCAGCGGGAACATTGAGCTGCCAAGGTGAATTGAAGGCAGACCCAACTGAGTTATCACCTGACTGATTATTAAAGATACTTTTTGCCAGTAGCTCACTGTGTGGATTTAGGCATTCCATGAACACCTCCAGCCACAGAGAAACACCTGCCTGTGACGCACACTCCACCTCCATCTCGGGTCAGCGCCTCTGTACAAAAGAGAGAACTAGAAGCAGACTTGAGGGTGAACCCAGTCTAATTTTAGCAGTAAGGGGATCCCTGGGTGGCTCAACGGTTTAGTGCCTGCCATTGGCTCAGGGCATCATCCTGGAGACCTGGGATCGAGTCCCGCGTCGGGCTCCCGGCATGGAGCCTGCTTCTCCCTCTGCCTGTGTCTCTGCCTCTCACTCTCTCTCTCTCTGTGTCTCTATGAATAAATAACTAAAATCTTAAAAAAAAATAAAAAAATTTCTCTATGGGGCACCTAATATCTTCTTAAATACATTTGGATCTAGTAACTAACATTTTAGAAAGATATCTTTCCAGCAGCCCCGGTGGCACAGCGGTTTGGCGCCACCTGCAGCCTGGGATGTCATCCTGGAGACCTGTGATCGAGTTCCACATCGGGCTCCCTGCATGGAGCCTACTTCTCCCTCTGCCTGTGTCTCTGTCTCTCTCTCTCTGTGTCTGTGAATGAATAAATAAATAAAATCTTAAAAAAAAAATAGATATCTTTTTTTTTTTTTTAGGATCCTGGGGTCCCGGGATCGAGTCCCACGTCGGGCTCCCTGCATGGAGCCTGCTTCTCCCTCTGCCTGTGTCTCCGCCTCTCTCTCTGTGTCTCTCATGAATAAATAAATACAATATTTAAAAAATAAAATAAAATAAGAATTACCTTTAGAGTAAGAGAAAGCTGCTGTAGAGAAAAATATTGTTTAAGATTTTATTTATTTGCGAGAGGGGAGGGGAGGGCTGAGCACAAGCAGGGAGAGGGACAGAGGGAGAAGCAGGCTCCCCGCTGAGCAGGGAGTCCCATGTGGGGCTTGACCCCAGGACCCTAAGCTGAAGGCAGACGCTCAACCCCCTGAGCCACTAGGTACCCCATCACAGAAAATTTTTAAAAATTCAATTTAACTACATATTTTTAAGGCATTAATGAGAAAAGATTAATGAAAACATTTTGATCATAAAAATGAATTGAGTTAGTATGAATGAATGGGTGGAGACGTGATGGTGGCTGTGGTGGTCTGTGCTCTGGGGCCACCAGTGACCTGGATTGTCCCCGTGCTGCCTGTGGTTGCAGGGTCAGGGGAGCCACGGGTGAAGTTGCCACAGAAATGTCCTGTATAAAGACAGATCAGCCCAAGTCTTGTCTCCAGTGGTTGCACAGATTTTATAGGATGCAGTGGGGGAATAAATAGCCTAATGTTTGGTTTAAAATGACTTAAAATTTATTTTCAGCTAAACTTTTTTTTTAAGATTTATTTATTTTAGAGCGAGAGAGAGTGTGTGCATGAGTGTGGGAGGGTCGGGAAGGGCAGCGGGAGAGAGAGAATCTTTTTTTTTTAATTTTTAAAAATTTATTTATGATAGTCACAGAGAGAGAGAGAGGCAGAGACACAGGCAGAGGAAGAAGCAGGCTCCATGCACCAGGAGCCGGACGTGGGATTCGATCCCGGGTCTCCAGGATCGCGCCCTGGGCCAAAGGCAGGCGCTAAACCGCTGCGCCACCCAGGGATCCCGGAGAGAGAGAATCTTGAGCAGACTCATTGCTGAGTGTGGAGCCCAACACAGGGCTCGATCTCATGACTGAGCCAAAACCAAGAAAGTCTGATGCTCAACCGCTGAGCCACCCGGGCAACCCAGTTATTCTCATTTTAAAAGATATTTTCCAGGAACGCCCAGGTGGCTCAGCGGTTGAGCGCCTGCCTTTGGCTCAGGGCATGACCCTGGGGTCCTGGGATTGAGTCCTGCATCAGGCTCCCCACATGGAGCCTGCTTCTCCTTCTGCCTGTGTCTCTGCCTCTCTCTCTGTCTCTCATGAATAAATAAAATAAAATAAAAATAAAAGGTATTTTTCCATTCTAGCCTTTGCAAGTTTCCTTGCTTTGGAGATTCTAAATTCTCTGTTGTGATTCTTGCAGCAAATGATGGTCCTCAGTCCCCATTTCATCACATTCTGCCCAAGTGCAAGCTGGCCAGGGACCTCAAGGAAGCTTATGACAGGTAAGACAGGTGAGCGGAGTGGTCAATGCACCTGCCTGTGGGCCTCATTGCCTGAGCTGTTCTCCTGTCGTGCCCCTGAGATGGGGGTGAGCGAGGACTGGGAGTGCCGGCCCCTCTGCTCCAGAACTGAACCTGAGGTCACGTGTGAGAGCCTGAAGTTTCTGTGAGTCATCAGCTGCAAGGTCAGTGTGACATAGTGCCATGTTCCGGGTCTGAGGGTGCCCCCCGCTCTGCAGGACCTGGGGTTTGGGCCTGAGTGTAGGACGCACAGGCATCGCAGACACAGCAGAGCCTCCTGGTTGTTTCAGTTATTTTGGCGTTTCTAGTTTTCTCTGTGGAGAAGCAAAGAACTTCTTTTCTTTTTAAGAGTGTCTACCACTCTCAGACCCTGGGTCTGCAGTGTGGGTGGGAGGTGGAGGGGAGCCTGGGCAGGTGCCCAAGTGACCGTTGCCCTGAAAGTGTGGCCTTTCCACCATGCTCTAGGACTGTTGGTTCATGATGGGCCATGACTCACTGCTGAGGGGACCGCATGGCACCAGGCACGTTGCTGCACAGGCGGCACAGAGGTGCGGCTTCTGCTGCTACCTGGCATGCGGCCCAATGCCCTCTTCTGGCCTTCCCGGGGCTTCACTCCATCGGTGGACTCCACACCGCCCACGTATCTAAGAGCTGTGGCTGGCGATGCCCTGTGTCATCCAGGTGCAGAAAGGGTGGCTTGTCGGGGGGTCCTCTCCTTTTTTGGCGTTAATAATTTCCCCGATCTCACCAACGATACATACTTGTTATAGGTATGTAGGAAATCTAGGAAAGTAGAGAGAAAACAAAGCCTATCTATAGTCCCGGACCCACTCATAATCGTTACGAGCATTTTGGAAGTTTTCATTCTTTTTTGCTGTTTTAACTGAAGCTTTTGAGAAGATCCCCTCTCTGTCAAGTCCGCAGGCCAGAGGTGGAGTGTCTTCCCTGCTGTACCACCAGCAGGCCCCATCCTGGTGGCAGGATGCGTTTCTGTGGGCCATGTGTCTTGTGCCATCCCGCGCAGACAGGCTGAGGGCCTGGGCGAATGCGGACCCTTTGTCCCTTTCCGCTGCGCATGCCGACCACCCTCGTCATCTCGGTTGAACAGTGTCGCTTGGACCCTGTCTATACTGGTACATAAGGACTTCTTCTGTTTTCTTTTTTTGTTGCATAATCAGCCAGCCCTTGGACATTTCGTTGGTGCCAGCCTCTGGTGCTGTAAGAGCTGCTGGTCAGTGTCGTGCAGGGGTTGCTGTTGATTAGTAAGATGCATTCCTGAGAATGGGATTGCCAGGTCCACAGGTGAGATGCACTTGTAATTTTGGTGCATGTCCCTGCGGGCCTTGCGCCTCAGGCTGCACCCCCACTAGCAACACAGGAGATGCCTCTTCCTCTGGCTGTGCCGGCGCCGGTCTCGGGGGGCTCTCAGATCTGAGCACCGTGATGGGTCACAACGGCATCTGCACAGCCGTGTCAATGCACCTGTGCGTGTCCCCTTCCCTGTCTAGCTCTACTCAGACCTCCGTGCGTCTGTCTGTCGGGAGGAAAGGTGCCTTCGTTCAGGAGGCAGAGCTGTCTGTGGCAGAAGCTGTGGCTAGTGTTCCTTTGTCCTGATTTGGCGGCCGCTGGGTGTCCGGGCACAGAACTCTCGTGCCGCTGTCCCCCCTCCTCTTTGTCCCGTGACATCACCCATGACCACGTCGAGGTCTCTGCGGGCAGAGGCATGCTGCCCTCTGGTCTGGGGTTGGCTGGTGTCTGCAATCGCTCCTTGGAAGAGGCTGCCTTGCTTCGAGTGGTCCTCTGCCTGCCTCAGCTCCGGTCAGACCACACGCGATTGAGGCTAAGCAGCAGGTGAACCCCAAGCCAGAGCCACACTCTCTATGTCTAAGAAAGACTGGACTGTGATTTCTTGGGTTTGAACTGCAAGTTGGAGGCAGTGGGTTCTGGGGAGTCGGCCGCCGGCAACCACTCCGAGCTTGAGGCAGCTCAGCGCCCCCCAGTGGTCATTATTTCAGCGCCCGACACAGCTCCGTCTCCGGGAAGACTCACCTCCCGTTGTTGCTCTTCAGCGCTTGGTGCCCTCCTTCCTCTGGCGCAGGCATCCTGGTGTGTGAGGTTCGGGATCCCTTTCCTCGGGGTGAAACCCCCACTTCCAGTTCCCAGACCCCACCTTGCTGAGTCCTGGGTCCTGGGGCCGCCTCAGGTGCGCCAGCCGCCGTTGCCTCTCTGGGGAGTGGCATCCTCCCCTGCACCTTGTCCCAGCCCGCCGGTAGCAGAGGCTCTCAAGTCATAGGACCCCGTCCGGCCTGCGGCCCTGCCTGGCCTGCTGCTGCAGGGTGGGCTCACTCTGAAGCCAAGAAAGGGAGACCTGAGTTGACATGACTGATCCAGTAGCACAGGACGCAGAGCTTTCTTCTCCCATTGGCAGCTTTCCAGCAGATCCTGGGGAGGGTTTTCTCCGACAGAAGTGAGAGACGTGGAGGTTGGAGATGGGGGTGAGACTCCTCAAAGGAATTGTTCTGGCTTTGCTGTTTTAAGGGAAATCCGGGACTGTGGTGTGGCCGACTGGCCTGGTGCCCTCGTGTCCCGGAACCCAAGTCCGGTGCCTGTAGGCGGGCAGCACGAACCCCGCGGGAGCCCACCCTGACTGTTCCAGCATCTGTCTCTCCCCGTGGAGCTTGGGGGACCTCAGCGACCATGTCCACTCATCTGTGTGACTGTCAGCTTGTGTCCCCCATGGAGGCCCCTTCTGTAACATGGACCTTGTGGTTGGCCTGCGGGGAGCACGGCTCGCCTGCTGGTAGTTGAAGGAATGAGTAAGCAGGGGTTGTGCTGTTGTGGAGTGCGTGGTTTGACCGAGTGATTGTTGGATGGTTTTCAGAGCTAAGGGGCCTGTGTTGGGACCAGGAGGCTCAGAGCCCGGGGGGCTGCCCAGGGCCCAGCCGGGCGGGTGTGCTGGGGACTTTGCGCTGGTTCGTTGCTGCCTGTTCAGAGCAGAGATGGGCCCATGGACACCTCCTTTCATATCCTGGGAGTTTTAGTTCTTTGTTCCCTAAAAATGCACTTATATAAGCCTTTCGTGTGAAATTTGAAGGTGGCCCTCTTGGAGCTCACCTGGACCTCTTGGACTGTGTACAGCGTCCCACTCCATGTAGTAGGAAGCCTGGCCGCGTGTGGGACCAGAGTGATCCACAGGTGCTGGGCTGGCAGCAAGAAAGGTGACGGGGAGACCAAACCGGGGGCTCTCGGCTCGGCTGAACGTCAGGAGCTGAAGCTCCTTCTCAGGCGGTGAAATGCAAGGGTGATGGAGTGAGCTTGGAGGCAATGCGTTCTCTCTGGGATGGGAAAGATAAGGGCGTGTCTGAAAGGCCCGTGTGGTGCCCCATGCACAGTCATTGCCTTGGGGCTCAGGGCTCTGCTGGGAGCACCTATCTTGGGTGGCAGATAGGGCTGGGCGACTGTGTGACTGGCTGGATAAGCCTCCCGTGGGGGCAGCGCCTTTCGTCCAGTGTACCCAGACCGAATGCGACCGCCCACAGACAGAAGTACAGACATAGCAGGAACCTTCCAGGCCCCGAAGCCCTACTCTGCTAGAGTCTTGTCTTGTTTTTTTTTTTTTTTTTTTAAGTTTCCTTTTATTAACCATCTATAACACTTCCATCCAGATCACTACAGCTTAAAATAGATCACTACCCTTTTGCAGCTATTTAGTAGCCAAGAGCAATGGATAAGATCCATACAACAGTTCTGAAAAGTTCGCACTGTCAGTTCAGAACATCTGCTTCACCAAGCCTGATTATTTGAAAAGAATGATAAGAAATTAAACATCACAAATATGTTTTTTAAAAATTTTTTTTTATTTATTTATGATAGTCACAGAGAGAGAGAGAGAGAGAGAGAGAGAGGCAGAGACACAGGCAGAGGGAGAAGCAGGCTCCATGTACCGGGAGCCCGACGTGGGACTCGATTCTGGGTCTCCAGGATCGCGCCCTGGGCCAAAGGCAGGCGCCAAACCACTTGCGCCACCCAGGGATCCCACAAATATGTTTTTATTTGTCACCATTAAATGTCTGAATTTTAAACAGATTCTTGGACTGGTGGTTCATATCTATTAGCTCGTTCAACTTTACCACCGGTCTCATCCCCCATAGCTTTTCCAAAACTACTACCTTCACCATGAAGCTCCATGAGTTTTCCCGATTCAAACTTGGGCTTCGTCAGCATTTTTACTTTTCTAACAAAAACATCATGGAGTGGATAAATAGACTGAGAAGCTTTTTCTATATCTTTTCCGATGCTGTCTGGAATCAATTTATTGACCACTTCTTTCAAGTCATTTGTCTGCACCTCTCGGGTCATGATTTCCATCATCTTTTTCTGGATTTGGCGGACCTGTTGGTGCTGAGCGTAAGAGGTCTTCCGAATCTGATTATTGCGTTTTTTAGTAAAACCAACACAAAATAGACGAAGCAAATAACCATCGGTAGTCTTTACATCAACATGAGCTTCAATCATGGTCTGCCATTTTTTGACCATGGAGCACATTTTGTCACGGGTAAGATCCATGCCATGGAAGTTAGTCAGACAGTTTTTACCCTGCACATCCTCAGTGATTAGCTTGAATTTCCTAAATGCAACTTCATCATTCTGCAGATCAACAAGGCTAACTTCAAAAACGCGACCCTTGAGACCATCAGACGCAATTTTGGTTCCTTGAGTTCTTGTGACTAGTGTTTTTCCAATATTTCTTATATTGAACATAGCTGGCGCTTTCACATCATACCAATCTTTCTTAGAAAATGGATCAACCACTTTCTTCTTGGCTCCCTTTTTGCCGCCTTTTGTAAGGCACTTGTTCTTGCTGACGGCCATGGCGCTGCTCTCTAGAGTCTTGTCTTAAAGTGCACTTTATACGGCCCAGGGCATATGCTCCGTGACACTGTGATGATGTTATTTGGTGACAGGCGGTGAGCCCCGGGGACTGTGCAGGCCCACCAGAAACCCGAAGCGTAGCTCACTGTCAGCTGTGCTGCCGTAAGGATAATAAAAACAGGGAGAGTCTCGGAGGAGGCTCCCTCCACCCGGACGCTCCCCTCCTCTTGGCGGACCTCTCGCTGCAGGGGTACGACAGGGCTTCCCTGGGGGCTCCCGTGGGGGGCGTGGTCACGGTTCTCCTCACGGCATCTCAGCACAAAGTACCCAGTAGGTGGAGGGTGCGGAGGGTGCAAGGGAGTGAGCAGATGCCTGGCAAAGGGAAGTAAAATCCACCTGCAAACCAGGGAACCAACACGGGAGTGTCTCCCACTCAAGGAGAGGACTGCACGCCACTGTGTGCATGCACAGGGCATCCCCTAACTCCCGGGGGAGCAAAAGCCACTCCATGGGACATAATAGGAGCCTCAGTGTTTAATTCTGGTTCTGCGCTGATCTGCCGCTACTTGGAGCCATACCCTAAAGAGGACAGCTCAAAGGCAGACCTTTGTTTTCAATCTTCCAGCCTTTCTGTCCACGTATACAGTGAAACAGAGGAGGAGCTCGTGTTGTCCTTCTCAGCTCATTCTCCCTGCAGCCCTGCTGTTCCTCAGTCTTCTCTTCCCTCTTTTGTACGTGGAAGCTGAGAATCTCATCTTCTGTGCAGCCCTCACTGGATGAGCTTGGATCTGTGAGAGGCTGTTTTTCGGGGTTTGATGGGAGCTGTCCATCTGCAAAGACTCTTGCCCAAAGCTTGCTGAGGCTCTGGGAACCTCCCTCTGCACCCGGTTCTGGAAGAGGCCCTCCTCTGGGGCCTTGGGGAGGGATCTGGGGTCTCTTCCCCAGATTGTGACACTCTTCAGACCCACTCATGGGCTTCCCCCTGAGGGACTGTGGCATCGGCAGTGACCAAACGTTTGCTTTCCAGCCTCAGCCACAGCTGCAGCCCACACCTCTGCAGCCCTGGGTGCTCTGACTCTCCCTTTGGAGGACCACTCAGGGGACAAACGTCCTGGGAGTGCAGTATGGGTTTTCCTGATGCCTCGGGGCAGGGCAGGCAGAGGGTGTTCGCTGAGCGTGGGGCAGTTGGCAGTGAGCAGATGGTGGCGCTGGCCGGCATCCCAGGGGGTCGTGGAGGTCAGGGATGTGTTCTCTGCTCTTCACCCTGAGTTTTCTCCTCATTACATGCTTCCTGCGTGAGAAAACTGCTGACCACAGATTCCGCTGGCCCTTTGGGTGAACCCGTGGGGAAACCTGTGGTACTTGGTCTGCCGCTTGAGGCTTCAGGGAAGAGATGGTAGGAACAGCCTGTGGGTTTGGGCTGTGAGGGCCGTAGGGCCGCCTGCCAGCACCGTGGATTTGTGTGTCCCCGTGGGAGGTCTGAGACAGCTCCCTGAGCCATGGTGCGCCCCACAAGTGGCCGGATGTGGACGTCTTGGCCTCTCTGGCCACTTGGGAATGGTAGCGTGGGTTGGGATGTGATGGGAAGAACTGGACCAGGACAGGACAGGACAGGCCTTGGCAGTGGGCACGCAGCCCCTTCTTGTCCGCCTGCCAGGGGTGTGGTGAGAACCAGCCACAGGGGCTTTGCCCAAGCAGCCACGTCTCTTCTGTGTCGGGTACCAAGTGCTCTTGGCTCTTAGCACAACAGGGGCCATGCACCAGGCTTCGGGTACTGTCAGGCTGCTTCTCACTGGAGGGTTCAGAAGCCCCCCCCCCTGCTGGAAACAGCTCCTTGTGTGTGGTTCTCCGGTGCAGGGCAGACGGTGCCACCTGTCTACGGGGAGCCACCAGCAACCTGTGCTGTGGGCAGAGGCCTCCTGAGGGATCGTGCAGTCTGCAGCGTGGTCCTTGGGCCCCTTTCCTTCCTCCATCCATGAGGTTCTCAGTGCCCCCCACGTACCTGACACCTGACCAGCTGTGTGGGGAGCAGCTATGAGACATAAGGCCACAGCTGGTGACAGAATTCTATTTGGGGAAGCTGCATCAACTAGCAGACAAGTGGGTGCGTCCTGTGGTCTTGACCCAGATACACGTGGTCACACAGCAGCCAGAGTGCCTGTGGGGCTGCGTCCGGGCTCACCTCACGGAAGGTGGTGCTTGGGAAGAGACAGGAAACAGGGAAGGAACCTGGGGCACCTGGGCCAGTGCAGGTGGAGCCACATGGTCTGGGGTAGGAGGCGAGGTCAGAGAAAAGTGGGCAGGTCACGTGTGGCTCCTGGCATTTGGGGGCCGTGGCTGAGAGATTGCCAGGGTGGGAACTGGAGGGCCTGAGTAGGGAGGCAGGCAGGGGGGCTGGTGCGGAGGTCTGGACTTGGTACCTCCCTGCAGGTAGAGCTGATGGGACTTACAGATGGTCAAGGTGGGATGTGGGAGAAACAAGGATTCCGGGACCGGGCGGCTGTATGTGGCCTGAGCAGTGTTTGGCCCTGAAAGAGGCAAATTGCCATCCCCACGGAGGGGTGGGGGGCGTGGAAGGGTTGCAGCGGAGGCTGGCTTGGGCAGTTGCCGTGGTGCACTGGGGTGCTGCTGTCCTCTTTTGGGGTGGCTGCCGTGGGCTCCTCCCCAGCAGGATGTTTTGGGGGGCTTGGAGCCCGGCCCCTCACCCTTCCTGCCCAGCCCCCCTTTGTGCCAGGGCCTGCCTCTCATCCCTCAGCTTCGCCCTGGCACACCGAGCCTCTGGGACAGATGTCGGAGAGGCTTCCTTCAAGTCCTGGGACCCGATTGGATTCCATATTCCAGGGCTACAGAGAAACACGTGTGTGTGTGTGTGTGTGTGTGTGTGTGTGTGTGTTCCTAATGCGGCTTCTTGACTTGAACATACCAAGATCTGGGAAGGTGCTGTCCTGCCCAAGGGCTTCACTTGCATTCGCAGCAGCAGGAGTAGTGTGCTGGGAGGCAGCACCCTCAGCTGGGGTTTTGTGTGCTCAGTGTGTGGTTGAAGCGGCTGTGGACCAGCGATGGCACCTGATGGGGGTGGGGTCTGCTCTCTGCAGCCTGTGTACGTCCGGCGTGGTACGACTCCACATCAACAGCTGGCTGGAGGTGAGCTTCTGCTTGCCCCACAAGATCCACTACGCTGCTTCCAGCCTCATCCCCCCCGAGGCCATCGAGCGGAGCCTGAAAGCCATCCGGTGAGTGCCGGCCCGGCCTGCATGCACGCATGCACGCACGCATGCACGCACGCGCACAGGGTCTGTGGGGCCTTCTCTGTAGCATCTGCCTGAGGCCTCAGTGACCTCCTTCCAGAGTTGGCTTTCCCTCTTCCTGCCACAGGTACTGGCAGGTAAGGCTCTACTGTTTATAGAAGTAAAAATGCATATTTTGGGGTCTGTTTTTTTCAGAAAAGACCGACCGCAGGTCTCCTCTGGGCTGTCTTGGCACTGCCGGGGCGATGGTGCTCTGTGGGGGGGTCTGCGCGGGGCTGTTGGGGCCGAGCACCCTGATGAGAAGCCAGAGGGTGGGAGGGATCTTGGCCTCCTGCTGCTGCTCACCGGGCCTCCTGCGCCTGAGTCAGAGCTTGTGGGACCTGTTCCTTCATCTCACTGATTTTCTGCAAGGAAAGAGCTAAGCTCAGGTTTTACAACCCCCCCTCCCCCATTAAATTCCTCTGTCTCCTTAGATATTTTTATTTATAACTAAAAAAAGAAATCTAGGCACATTACAGAAAATTTGTAGATGAGAGAGAGCAAGGCACCGCCTAGCCTTCTGTGCTCCAAGTCTGTGTCCTTCCTTCTGGGCTTCCTTGCTGAGTATATTTTTATGTATTTCTATTCATAGCCTGTGGCAGAGATTTTGTTTTTCCATATTTGGGACTCTTTCCTTGGAAAAGATTCATGAATTTTTTCCAGTCAACAAATGTTTGCTGGGCAATCCCAGAAGTGGGAGGTGGAATTGGATTGTCAGGCCTTTTTCAGTTTTGCTCAGTTGGGTTTTTTGAGGGTTGTAGTAATCCTTGTGGCTTTTTATTTTTATTTATTTTTTTTAAAGATTTTATTTATTTATTCATGAGACACACAGAGAGGCAGAGACACAGGCCGAGGGAGAAGCAGGCTCCATGCAGGGAGCCTGATGTGGGACTCGATCCCGGGACCCCAGGATCACGCCCTGGGCCGAAGGCAGATGCTCAACCACTGAGCCACCCAGATGTCCCTCCTTGCGGCTTTTTAAAGGCCCCTGGACACACCACTGCCCCTCTGTCTAACCCTTCCAGTGACCTCCCAGGTTCGGTGTGTGCTCCAAGGACGTGCCCAGTCAGGGGGCCTGTAGCTTGCATGTCCCACTGACCTGTGACTCTGCTCTGCAGCCCGTACCATGCTCTGCTGCTGCTCAGCGATGAGAAGTCCCTGCTGGCTGAGCTCCCGCTTGACTGCTCTCCGGCCCTGGTGCGTGTGATCAAGACCACCTCTGCTGTGAAGAACCTGCAGCAGCTGGCCCAGGATGCAGACCTGGCCTTGCTGCAGGTAACCCCCGCGGGCCTGGGCACACCCTAAATGGGGGGGAAAGGGCAGGGTGGGGGAGGGCACATCAGAGCAGGTGGTCTTGGGTGAAGGTAGGAGGTCAGGGCATCAGGAGAGCAGGCTGCCTGTGTGCTCTGTCCCCAGGACCCCTGTCCAGCCAAGAGCCACTGCGCGGCCTGTGGTGGGATGGCTTGGAGTTGTGCAGTCTGAGTCGGGCCTGGCTTCAGGGCTGGCTTGTGCGCTGCTTGTAGGACTGGAGTTGTCCTGTGTCCAGGAGTTGTGAGGCGTGAGGCCCTCCAGGGGCTGGATGACCGGGCTGTGGAGGATGTGGTGCCAGGACTGGGGGCACGCAGGGTGTCGCCATGGAGAAGCCAGTGTGGGAGGTGAGGGCAGGAAGTTCAGATGAGGGCCCAGCTGTGTGCAGAACCAGACCTCACCCGGTGGCCCTGACGCCTCCCTCATGTGCACAGGCTGGCCTGCGTTCTGGGTGACATCCCTCCCTCTTCCTGAGCCATGTGCCCCTGGACTGCAGTTTCTTTCTCTCTCTTTCTTTTTAAAGATTTATTTATTTTATTATTATTTTAAAAAATATTTTATTTATTCATGAAAGAAAGAGAGAGAGAGGCAGAGACACAGGCAGAGGGAGAAGCAGGCTCCACACAGGGAGCCCGACAAGGGACTCGATCCCGGGACCCAGGATCACACCCTGGTGCTAAGCCGCTGAGCCACCCGGGCTGCCCTATTTATTTTAGAGAGAGTGCAGGAGCCGCGTGAGCTGGAGGAGGGGCAGAGGGAGGGGCAAAGGGGAGAATCCCAAGCAGACCCCCAGCCAAGCACGGAGCCCAGCTCGGGGTTCAGTCTCTACCCCGAGATCATGACCTGAGCTGAAAACAAGAGCCAGAAGCCCCAGCACCTGAGCCATCCAGGCGTCCCCACAGTTCCTGATCGGAGGGAGGGCCCCTCAGTCCTGCTGTGATCCCCTTGGAGCCGTGTGGGGACCAGGGCGTGAGCAGAAGCACAGGGAGATGCTAAGGGTCCCCAGGCAGGGGTGCCTCCAAGTGAGGCTGAGGGTGGGAGCGGGGTCTGGGAATGGTGGGCACCATGTGGCCGCCAGGGGGCAGCAGGACCCGGCGGGGAGCGGTGGCTCTGAGGCCGGGAGGCTGGAGCCTGGGCCCCCTGGGCCGCCCACCTTTGGCCTTGGTCCTTAGCACGTTGGGCGGGCTTCACTCAGGCCTCTGTGCTGATTGTCCTCGTCTGTGCCCCATGACCTTTGCCCCCCACCCCCCGGGATTGTTTCTTGGACGCTGCCTTCCTGGGTCTTCACACAGGCTCCTGAGCTGGGCGGGACCCGAGAGGGCCACGTCCGGCCTTCGTAGCCTCCACTGGACAGGACCTCCATGGCTGCTCTGTCCACACCTCAGGCTGGTGCTCTGACCGCTGCAGGCCACACACGCGGCCAAAGCTTTCAAGTTGCTCGGTCTCTTTGGACGAAGACAGAGCCGTGTCCCCTGGTCCTCGGGAGACCGCTTCCTGCTGGTGTGGTGGCGGGTCTCCCTGGCCTGTGCTGCTGCCAGTGGCCGGTGGTCCAGTGGCCCCGAGGACAGCCAGGCTGGCCCCGTTGGAGCCCAAGCACCGATGGCCTCCCGGGGAGGAAGTGTCAGCTTCAGGTGTGGCTGTCATCACATGGTTTTGTTTTTTAAGATTTTCTGTACTTGAGATAGTGAGAGAGCACAACAGGGGGCATAGGGGAGGGAGAGGCAGGCTCCCCTTCGGCGGGGAGCCCCACGTAGGGCTGGGCCCCAGGACCCGGGGTCACGGCCTGAGCCGAAGGGCCACGTGGGGGCCTCTCATCAGAAGATTTAAAACGACATTCGTTCCCAGGGCGCCTGGTGGGCTCAGCCAGCGAATGTGTGACTCCCGATCTCGGGGTCGTGAGTCGGAGCCCCACATTGGGTACAGAGGTTCCTTAAGAAAAAATAAAATCTGGGACACCTGGGTGACTCAGCGGTTGAATTTGTTCAGCTGCCACAGAGGCAGAAACGTCCAGTGCCCTGCCCTGAAGTTCTGCAGTGCGGCACTTGCAGACCCAGGCCCCCCTTTGCATGTCTGTGGCCCATCCTGTCAGCGTCCGGGGATGCTGGGCCGCACGGGGACGCGTGGAGGAGGTGCAGGACGGATTCACTGACCCACACCCGCTGCCACGAGGAAACCCATCCCCGAGCGGGGCTCCTGGTGGGGGTAGGGCTGGCCAGCCAAGGCCTTTGCTCAGCTGCTGACCCCGGGTCCTGGGCGCCTCAGAAGTCCCCGTGCTCAGGAGGCCTTCCCTCAGTGCCAGCCTGGTCAGGGTCCTATGGGAAATGACCGTCGGGGAGCACAGCAGGGACCAGTGCTCTGCCACGGGCCCAGCTAGGGAGCCAGAGAGTTGGGGAGCAGCCTCCCACCTTCCGCTGCCTGCAGGTTTTCCAGCTGGCGGCCCACCTGGTGTACTGGGGCAAGGCCATCATCATCTACCCGCTGTGCGAGAACAACGTCTACATGCTTTCCCCCAATGCCAGCGTGTGTCTGTGAGTACCTCTGGCTGCCCCTTGCTAAGCCGGGCCCTTGCTTGGGCTCAATTGCTGGCCTCTGCTGCGTCCACGTTCTAATCCTAGCCTGGTCAGTGCCATATGCGGGGTCTGTCTCCCCTATACCTGCTGGCCAGTGGGCTCTGGATGGGGGCCTGGTGGGAGCTGGGGGCCTTGACCTTGACTTGGGGGCTCAGAGGGGCTTTAGCCTGTGCCTGTGGCCCCTGCTGCCCCTTGAGGGAATCGCACCCATGCTGGCTGCCTGCTATGCTGTGTCTCCCTGCTGTCCACCCTGGGCTCATGCCGAGGGCACAGAGGTCACGGAGTGTTGCAGAGGTCTGCTGAGCTCATGGGCACGCACACCTCACCTGTCCCCAGGTACTCCCCGCTGGCTGAACAGTTTTCCCGTCAGTTTCCGGCTCACGACCTGCCGTCTGTCCTCGCTAAGTTCTCCTTGCCAGTTTCCTTGTCAGAATTCAGGAACCCCCTCGCCCCCCCTGTGCAGGAGGTAAGTCGCTGGAGTCCAGGGAGTCTGGAGACCACCCAGTTGGTGTCGGTCCCTTGTCTCAGAGCCTCAGTGCTGCTGCACCTGGGTTTTGAGGGCGTGGGCTTGCTGTGTAGGTGCTTCATGTCGTGCCGGGGTGACCAAAGGCTGGCTCGCCAGCCAGGCCAGGCCCCCTGCAGACATTCGGGCATTCCCAAGGCTTCCTGCTCACCCCCCGCCCTGGGGAGCCCACCCTGGCTGCAGTGAGCTGTTCTGGGGGTTAGAATGGAGTAAAGAGGCCCAGGTGGCAAGAGAGTGGTAACCTTTCCTGTTGGATGCAGAGTCACCTTGTTTTCACTGAGCTTGGGCCCAGCTCTCTCCTGCTCCGTGGTCCAGGAGGCCACAGGGTATGCGGGTCTCGTCCTGGGCTCACTGGTCCCCAGAATCTCCTCCAAGAGGATCTGAAGAGGACAGGCCTGGGTGAAGGCGAGGGTCAGGGGGTGTTGCTGGATATGGCAAGGGCTCATCCAGGGAGGTGTGAGGCATATGTGATGAACAGGTGAGTTCTGGGTCGGGTGCAGGCTGGACCCAAGAACGAGGCTCTGCCGTGTCCCCTGTGCTGATGCCTGGGACTTTGGGGCTCTGGGCAGGGACCCAGCACAGAGCCAACGGTGCAGGTGTTAGAGGGGGCTGGATGTTCTCAAGGCTATGTCTTCAAAAGGAAAATTTTGTGGGTTTTTTTTAATTATTTTTATTTTTTATTAAGTGTTAGGCAAAACCAGTCCTTAAACTCTTTCCCTTCTCAAGTTGTGAATGAGGAGGAGATCCTGGTGCTTGAGTTCATTGAGATGCTGAGTGCGACGGAGTTCTAAAGGCGGTGCTTCCTGGGGGCTTTGGCTTCCAGGAACTGTGCCAGGCTGTGCCAGCTGAATAAAAGACGCACTGTGCATCCGGACCCCCGCTTCCCCAGCAGAAGCTTCCTAATGGTCCAGACGGCGGGTGGATTTTCCAGGTCGTGCCTGGTCGAGGGGCCCAGATGGGCCTCGGGTTTGGTTCTGAGCAGTCCTGGGGTGAGGCACCTGCTTGTCACGCCTCCTGCTCCGGGGTCTGGAACGTGCTCATGAGCGCTCATTTATGAAGCCTCTTTGTTTTCATTCTTAAGTTTATTTTTTGACCAGGTCATAACCTGCCCACGTTCCATCCCTACTCCTTGGCTGGCTAGCTGTCCCCTCCCGGGAGGGTCCTCCCAAGGCCGAGCCGGCAGCCGTGTGACTGTCCCGCTCCCCCATGCCCCTCACTGGCCCTGGTCAGGGGCAGCCCCATGAGAGGGGAGGACTACTCATGCCGGGACCACACACTATTAGGGCTCCCTGTCCTTGGGCCAGCGTCCAGGTCGACCTGAGGAGAGGACTCCTGCTCTCAGGGCAGCTGCCTGCAGCCTGTTGGTGAACAGTGCTGAGGTCCCGGCAGGCCCAGCCCTGTGTGGTAGGGGGTCCGAGCGGGCTGGTGGACACGAGGCAGCGCAGGGGCCTCTGTGAGTGGGTGCTGCTCCCCAGCTCTGGGTGCAGAAGCCCAGACACGGGGCGGCCCGGTGTGTATGGGGAAGTGCAGGTGCGGCCCTAGTGCCCTTGCGGCCCTGCTGCCCTCCCTGGAGCAGGGAGTTGGTCTTGCAGCCTGGCTGGCAGCTGAGGTCTTTCTCCGAGGGGGGAGCCTTGTGCCACAGGGACAGGCTCCTGGAGTTCATGGACCCCTTACCTCTGGGATGACCCCCGGGGGTCGTGTCTTAGGTTTCTTTGATCGCCCCTGGAGGGGAACAGGGCTAGCCTTCCCCCACTAACCCCCGCCCCGGGCCTCCTGCGTGCTCTCCTGCAGACCCAGCTCATTCAGATGGTGGTGTGGATGTTGCAGCACAGACTCCTCGTCCAGCTGCACACCTACGTGTGCCTGATGGCCTCGCCCAGTGAGGAGGATCCCCACCCTCGAGAGGACGACGTTCCCTTCACCGCCCGGGTTGGCGGCCGCAGCCTCAGCACACCCAATGCCCTCAGCTTTGGTTCCCCAAGTAGGAGCCCCCTGCCCAGGGCGTCTGTCTGGTGGGTGGGGGTAGCATTTGGGGGGGTACTTGGGAGCGGCAGCCAGGACCCCGACATGGGCTCTGCTGGGCGTGACCAAGGCCGCCTCCCGTGGCCACGTGCAGAGCAGCGCTCCCTTGAAGGCGGGCAGGAGACCCCTTTCCCTCGCCCCCTACCCCACCCCTACCTCACACCTCCGGGCTCTGGGCTCCTGGGCAGGGGCTGGCTCGAGTCCAGGGCAGCCAGGGAGCAGAGCAGATGTCCCACATCCCTGGGAGGACAGTTGAGCCCGCTGGGATGGGGCCTGGGAGGAGACCCTGATGATCATTCCCTCTTTGAAAGAGCCACTGCGGCCATGGCAGGTGCCCAGAGGACGCAGCCTGAGCCCCAGGCTCGGGGGAAACGAAGGGCTGGGACGCTCCCGGGCCTGAGGCCTGACCTTGGCGTCTAGCTTCAGTGCAGGGCCAAGCCTTGCTCAGGGCCCTGCCTTGTCTGCGTGGGGGCGGGGAGCGAGCGGGCCTGGGGTGTGGCCACGATGCCTGGTGCAACAGACGGCACGGCTGGGGCACCAGGGTGTGTGTGGGGTCAGACTGCTCCCTGACCTGTGCTGCCCACAGCCAGCAGTGACGACATGACCCTCACCAGCCCCAGTATGGATAACTCCAGCGCAGAGCTGCTGCCCAGTGGGGACTCGCCGCTCAACAAGAGGATGACGGAGAACCTGCTGGCCAGCCTGTCGGAGCACGAGCGGGCGGCCATCCTCAGCGTGCCTGCGGCCCAGAACCCTGAGGACCTCCGCATGTTTGCCAGGTGGGGTCCGAACACAAAGTGGATGGGGACTTACCCACCACGGCCCCAGCTCAGTCCACTGGTGACCGGTGGCAGTCGCTGGTTGAGGTGGCGCCTCAAGCCCTGTGGGTGCCCTCAGTACTGGGTGTTGTTACTTCTTCGGGAGCAGCAACGGGTTCTCATCCTCACGGGGCTTAGTAGGGATCTTTCCCCACCAGGAAAGGCCCCCACGTGGTGACAGACGTGAAACCCAGCTGTAACTCGGGGGGCTCTGCAGGCGTATGGTCTTCTGTGTGGGGGGAGGCCCCCCGTTTAGAACCTCATGCCAGGCACCTCTTTGAAGCTGCTGGTGTGCCAGCCCCAGCCGCAAACAGCCCCTGGAACATGAGGGCCTCGCTCCATAGCAGAACAAGGAGCCCTGGCAGCCCCCAGCCCTGCAGGTCAGGGTGCTGAGGGCAAACGGGCCACTCCGGGGACCAGGACACTCACCTGCCCCCCCCCCCCCCCCCCCCGCCCCAGGCTCCTGCACTACTTCCGCGGCCGCCACCACCTGGAGGAGATCATGTACAACGAGAACACTCGGCGCTCCCAGCTGCTGATGCTGTTTGACAAGTTCCGCAGTGTGCTGGTGGTGACCACCCACGAGGACCCGGTCATCGCCATCTTCCAGGCGCTGCTTCCGTGAGGCCAGGCCACGTCCTTGGGAGCCCGAGCAGTGTCCAGCAGCAGCCGGGGCTGCGGCGCCCACGCTGGGGCAGCCTCAGGGCCTGAACTGAGGGATGGACAGAGTGGCCAGGACTCCGGCCTGGAGGAGAGGCCTGCTGGCTTCTCAGACTCGGGCCACCTCCTCCCAACCCACCCTCCCCACGGCCACCCGAGGGGATCCACAGAAACGTGTCATCACCACCCCTGCCTGAGCCGAGCGCGGGTGGGTGCCTGGCCTGTGCCCTGAGGCCCAGCACTGCCCTGGCCTGCGTGCACTCTGCTCCTCCCAGCATGTCCAGTGCCCTTCCCCGTTAGCTGGCAGGAGGCTTGCGACTGAGCCATCACCCAGCCACTCTGACACCTGACACACGAGGGCCTGGGTGAGTCCGCATGGGTGCCCCCCACCCTCCCTCCCAGGCCTGAGGAGCAACGCGTCCCACCTGCACACACAGGCCCCCAGCATCCCGTCTGGGGGGAGGGCGGGCCCCAAGCACACGTTGGCCGCTGAGTGGGCTGCTGAGGAGATACAAGCAATACCGTGTTCTAGACATAAAGTGTTTATTTGGTTGTTAAAAAATTAAAAAGCCTGGATGGAGGAGGCTGTCGCTCAGGCCTGTGCGTTCTGCTCCGCGGCTCTGTCTACCACGCTGACCCAGGGGCTGCCCCGTAGATAAAAGCGCAGGGGCTTCCGGGCCCACTCTCCTGCGTGGCCGATGCCCACTCTGGCTGCTGCCACCACGACTGACTCGCTGGGCCCCGGCGGGCTGCGCTCCAGCCACACCGCTCGGTCCTCGGCCAGGTCCCGCTGGTCAAAGCTCTTGTCGATGGCCAGGGCCTGGCACAGCTTGGAGGGGCCACTGCACAGCTCGCGGTCCTTGAGGGCTCGGCCCGTGGCGCCCTTGCGGAGGGTGCTGCGGAGCTGCCGCATGGTCTCCAGGCCCCCCAGGGGCTCCAGCGCTCGCAGGAGGACGCACGCCCCATCCCCTGTGGGACAGACACCTCGCCTGGAAAGCCAGACCTCCAGCTGCCTCCCCGAGCACCCCTGTGCGTGCTGCCCCCACCTCCCGCACACTTGCATCTGCAAGGTGCCCGTGCCGCCGGACAGGTGGGCTTTCCCCGTGAAGCCTCAGTGCCTGACAGCCACCCAGGGAGAACCTTATTTTTTAAAAAGCGTGGTGGGTGCTTGTAGGTGGCCGCCTCCCCAGCCGCCTATGGTGCAGTGATGGGCGGGAACTGTGAGGCTGGCAAGGGGCGTCCCAGCGGCCAGTCATCCCCGAGCACGGTCATCCCACCGGGAAGCCTCGGGCCTGGGCTGCATCTGACCCCTGTGCCTTGTCCTTCTGGAATCTGTTGGGCCAGCTGGAAGGCTGAGGCTGGGCAGCCCTGCCCTGTGAGCCAGCGAGGAGACATGCGGGGGACGCCAACGCAGCCCCGCCCCGGCAGGCCCTCCACCCCTGGCCCTTTGCCTACCACACCAACTACTTTAAGATTTTTTGTCTTTTTAAAGTAATCCCTTCCCCTCGACATGGGATTCAAACTCCCAACCCTGAGATCAAGAGGTACACGGTCCACTGACGGAGCCATCCAGGCGCCCCCGTCCAAGCTACTCTTAGAGACCAGAGGGCCTAGGGGATCAAGGGGCTCAGCCAGGAAGATGCCTCTGCCCAGATGCCGTCCGGGCTGCATGGCTGGAGACGACGACCCAGACCCTCCAGCAAGACTGCTCCCCTGGGATGACCAACACCTCTGGACACCGCCTCACGACACCCTGGTGGCGAAGTCCTCCCCAGCTGAGAGTGACCGATTCAGACCCTGTAAGTTACCACCAGCTGAGGCTCCGGCCGGAGCCCAACTCAACCTAAACTGATGTTGCCCTCGCCCCACAACCAGCTCCTCCCAGGTCTAGCCTGGGTCATGGGTGACCCCACCTTTGAGCTCAGTGACCATCGGTATACTCGTGGAGCCTCTCAGCTGTGTGTTCAGGTCAACCTACGACCCCTACCCAGTGGGGGCCCTTGGCACCTATGTCCCTGACACTGGCCAGAATCCCTAAACCCCAACCTAGCTTAGCAGTGATCCCTGTTTGCTCAGACACCTGCCCCGTCTAGGCATCCTGGGGATGTCCCAGCTGCCAGCTGTGGCACTGTGGTCCCACCTGGCACCGCGGCCCTGCTCACCTTGGCTGGAGACGTTCAAGCAGAAGTACATGCCGTAGATGATGTACACATACAGAGTTCCTGGCTTCATGAACATGCCACGGTTGCGGGGGGTCTGCCGGCCACCCCTAGAGTGGGCAGCTTCATCCTCTGGCCCCAGATATGCCTCCGTCTCCACAATGCGGCCACGGAGCTCTGTGCCATCGTCAAGTCGCCGGACTAGGACCTGTGGGCAGTCTGTTTGCTTCCAGGGCCAGAGGAGCAGACGTGCACTCAACCCCGACAGTCCACAGCCTAGGCCTCATCTCCCCAGTTCAGGAGGCACCGGGCACCTGGCCCAGCCAGGGCCCCACTGTCCCCTCTGTCCTGCCCACCAGCCCCGGGAACAGAGTCCCGATGGTCACCGAGTGTCCCATCCACAGAGAGCCGCTATCTCAAGCTCCAGCCAGGACCAGGCTGGAGAACCAGCACCAGGGAATCACACAGGCCCCGTCCCCTTGGTGGGGCCCCCCACCTTCCCGCCACCTCCTCCCCGAGTCTGCTGGGTTTAAATGCTTAGCCTGGGGCAGGGCAGCAAGGAAGGCACGGGCCCCAAAGCTGCCCCTGCCCACTGCCCCGGACACCCAGAGCCTGGACTGAGCGGGACTGACCGCAGAGGACCGGCCCCTTAGCTCCCACCCACCCGTCTGTGAAAGGCCTTCCTGAGCAGCGGGACCAGCTGCCCCGCAGTGCCCCTGGCCTGGACCGCAGCCGGTGCGCAGTGGTCAGCGGGGCAGAGCGCCAGGGAGGAGTGGGCCGCAGCTGGCAGGGGCGGGGCAGCACGGCCCGCTGAGGACGGGCTCTCGGGCCAACGGAGCACCCAGGATGCAGCCCGGGCCGCAGAGGAGCCGGGCGCCAGGGGGCCGAGTCTTCCTCGGCCTCGAGATCTTCCACCTGGTCCGTGGCCACGTTAGGTTACCTGTCCCAGAAACGCCCGTGCCAGGGCGACGGCAGGCTGGTCAAAGAAGTCCGATCCCAGCTGCGCAGAGTGGCTCTTTGGGCCAGAGAAATAGATGCTGCGCCGAGGGCCCAGGGTTGCCGGTGGCCCCAAGCAGGGCTCCCCAGGGGACGGCGTCTGGGCCCTGCCCTGCGGGCTCTCACGGTCTGCCTCCAACACTCGCTGCCTTTTTTGGCCCGTCCTGCAGGAAAGCTGTAACGGGAACAGATGAGACAAACCTTGTGAACAGCTTCAGTGCGGAGGTCAGACCGCGCGTGACTCCTGCCGCATGGGCCGGACGGCGCAGCCACCTGGCGGGCTGTCCCAAGGTGCAAACGGAGCGCCACACCTGCAGTCCTCAGCCCCATGCTGGGCCCTGCGAGGCCTTGGGAAAGGACTGCACAGAGGACAGGCTGTCGGAGGCAGCACGGCGCAGCCACTCCGACCCACACACCCTCCACCCGCGCGAGATGCGCAGGGTGATGGCAAAGGGCTGCCGGGCCCGAGGAAGGGACAGCAGGCACCCGGGCCCAGGAAAGGAGGGCTGGTATCCGATTCCCACTCATTACACAGACTCCAGACAAACCCCCGACCTTGTCTGCACCGACCCTAACCAGGAATTAATTTTTTACATTTTTTGCTCTTCTGACCGCGTCAGCCAGGTGCCCCTCTAACCAGAAGTATAAAGCACGGCCGAGATGCTGTTGGGGCTTAGCCAAGAACGCTGGTGACCGTGGTGTCCTCTGCAGTCCCTCCCACCCGGCTGACATGCGGGCAGGGCTCCCACCGTGCCATCCCCTCCTCAGAATGGCCAGGGAGGCCTGATACAGGAGGGTGAGCACCAGGCGCTCTTCTTTGCTCCAACTCATGTGCTGAGAGCATGACACCTGCGGAGTCCCCAGCTACCCTCCTTCATGACCCAGGAGGTCATAATGACAAGGAGCAAGTGGGGCAAAGCCGAGGTCTCCCAAGGGACCCAACCTCCCACCTGCTGCCAAGAGACCTGACCACACCCGCCCAACTGTTCTAGGGCCAGCAGCTCCACAGCCAGTGGGAGTAGACAAAGCGCAGCTGAGCCCTGGGCCTGGCGACAGCGTCCCCAAGGGCTGGTCTGCAGAGTCTGCCTCCCTGGCATGTGACCAACCCGTTATTTTTACTGTAAGTGCAACGAGACGGCTGGTCCACTGAGAGTGGGTGCTGACGTGACCGTCTCTGCGGCCCAGCCCATCTGCCAATACCCACCATGGGCTCGGACGCTGGGATGCTGCCGCCTGGAGTCCAGTCCCTGCCTGCCTTGCGGCGCTCAGGTCATTCTGGGTCGGCCCTGGCCCACCCTGGGTGCTGAGGGACTCCTGAAACTGCCCGGGGACTGAGGCTCAGACAGGCCTCAGTTTCCCTATCACAGACCTAGAATCTGAACCTGCCTCACAGGCCTTTGTGATGATGGTTTGGCCCCAGGACTGGGTATGGCAGGGTGACCGTGCTATTGTGCTCGGGTGAGCCCTGCCTGGCACCTCACAGGCATCCCTTGCCCCAGTCACAACCGGCGGCTCCCAGAACAAGGGGCCCTAGAAAGTGACCCGAAGCGTCTGTGCCTCTGTTTCCTCATCTGCCAAAAAGGAACCAATGTGTGACAAGATGGTCATGAGGATACGCGGGAGAAGCCAGGTGGGCACGAGGTGGGTACACAGCAGGGGCTCGGGGTCAGGAAGAGGCACCCTGCAGCCACCGTGTCCCTGGGGGGCAACCTGGGCCGGAGTGGGTCTGGGCAGCGGGCGGTGGGAAGTGGTGTGGCTGCGTGTGGGCCCACCACGGCCCCGCTGCCCTCCATGCAGATGGGGGCACGCAGAGGAGCACCGGCCGGAAGAGCACCGGCCGGAGCAGCACCAGCTGGAGGAGCACCGGCTGGAGGAGCACCGGCTGGAGGAGCACTGATCAGAGGAGCACCGGCCGGGAGGAGCACCACCTGGAGGAGCACCTGGCGGAGCAGCACCGACCGGCCGTCCGGACGCGGGGTGGGGAGGGGGGGAAGGCGGCAGGGCGGCGCGCGGGCTGCGGGGGCTCGAGGGCACAGCCCTTACCAGGGCTTCACGGGCACCCGGGTCGGGCCCCTCCGGGAACCGCACTCACCTGGGCCGCGCCGCGCGCCGTCATCCCACGCCTCGGGCGGGCTCCGAGGGGACGGGGTCCGGGTGCACGGGGTCCGGGTGCGCGGGGCTCCAGGCGGCCCCGACCCGCCCCAACCGCGCCGCCCGCCGTCCGCCCCCGGGCGCCCCGGAAGTGCCGGCGCCTGCGCGGAGGAGGACGGAAGGCGGGCGGGCTGGGAGGGGCTCCACCCCGGGGGCGGGGCTCATCCGGGGCGGAGGCCGCGGGGCTGCGGGGTTGCCGCGGCGGGCCGGGGAGGGGCGGGCGCCCGCGCGGAGGACTGGCCGGAGCCGGGTGGGGCGCCGCGGTGGCCCGGGGGCGGCCCTGAGCTGCGGGGTGTCAGGGGCGAGGAGGCTGCGGGGGAGGGTCCGGCCCGCCCGAGCCCCCCGGACCCCCCGAGGCTCCCTGGCCAGGACGGTGAGCGCGGCCCCGCGCCCAGCACACTCGCCCCTGCAGGCCCCCGCGGTGGCCCCCGCCCCGCGCGTCTCCCAGCCTGGCCCAGGCCCCGCCGCGCGCTTCCCCCGGGGCCCCCGCCGGGACTTCCTGGGCAGGGAAGGGCGCAGCCTTCCAGGCGCCCGCGGTGTGTGGCTCTCGGGCGGCTTCCGGGCTGGGCCCCGAGCATCCGTCCCGGCCTGCGGGGCTGGCCTCCTTGCGACTCCCTCCCCTTTTTTCCTTCTCACCCCTGCAGCCATCCTGCCCGAACAATGAGTCCTGCTTCCTGCCTTCCTTTGTGTCCAGTCCCTCTTCCTTTCTCTAGGGGGGAAGCAGGCCCCAGCTGGGCCCCCTCTTCCCGGTGGTGCTTGGGGCAGGCTGGGTGCCATTTGTATGAACTCTTACTCCCATTTCACAACTGGCGCATGGCCCTTGTGGAAACCCTGAGGAGTCTACTCGCTTCCGAAGGGGTGTTTGACCCCCACCTTGAGAATGAGGAAACAGAGGCTCAGAGCACAGCCCCGGCCTCCAGGAGGAGGACGCAGAGCCGGTGCCAGCAATGCACTCTCTCCAGATGTTCCAGCCTGAGTGCAGGGGTTGAGAAACCTCTCCAGGGTGGGCCCTGGTCCGCCCCGCCCCACTTCCTGGTTGGTGGTCTGAGGCTCCACCGCAGGCTGGAAGTGGTGGGCCGAGCATTCCCACTGTGGCCTGTTGGGTAGGCCGGCCGGGGGTGAGAGAAGTTGGTCCTGGTGGGAGGAGGGGCCCAGGGCCTTCTCTGTCCCGGGTGTGCCCCGCTGCTGGGCCGGGAGACGTGTGTTGGAGGATGTCAGTGCAAGATGGAGGTGAGAACACCCCACATGCTTTGAAAGGGATTGCTGCTGGGGTGGGCTGCCCTGGGCCCTGCTGGAGGGCCAGTGACTGAAGGCTTGAGACAAAGGATAGCACGGAGGCCACAGTGCCACCACCAGCACTGTCCCAGGGCACCCGGCATGCTGGCTCAGTGTCCTTTTCCCTAACGGAGGGATGCCAACTCTCGGAACGGAGAGTTGGGTCAGAGCCCGGTGGGCCGCGTCTCTGACGGCAGAAGGCCCTCTGGCAGCCTCTCGGGTTCTGGCATCCCAACTGTCCTCCAGGGCTCCCTGGATCTGACGGGCTCTGTGGGGGTCAGAGCCTCCAAGCCTCCTCGGGCAGAGAGGGCAGCCAGAGGAGGCATGTGGGGGCTGCGTCCTCCCTTGCTAAGCTTGGATGCAGGTACTTAGGCGACCCCTTGCCCCTTGCCGGGTACTGAGACGCGGGGAGGGGCAGCTGCCCCGGAAATAGTCAGTGACTTCAGGCCCCTGGCTGGCCTGGCCCACTTTTGTCTCCTCCCCAAATAGCCCAGGGCTGGTGCTGGGCCCACCCAGGCTACCCAAGGCCCAGGAACTGGCCTGCTGAGCTGAGGATTACAGGGGAGCTGATGGGGACTCCTCCTACTGGTTGGGAACTTACCGTCTCAGGTCCTGGGGTGAAGTCCACAGTCATGGAGGTGGCCCAGATATCCACTCACCCTCAGTGACCTGTGCACATGCTGGGCAGATGCCGTTGGTTCCCATTTCTCTGGGGCTGGAGGGAGAGCAAGGCGAGGGACTGGGAGCTGGCCTTCCGGGTCGGGGCTCCACCAGAGCACAGGGCAGTGGGGCAGACCTGAGGCGGAGCACACATACCCAAATACGTGTGTCCGTGGGGACTAGGTCCAGGCTCGAGCACTCGTGTCCAGGCCTCTGCTCCCACCATGCCTTGATTCCAAGGTCCTTGTTCAGGTGCCGGGGTGTGTTGAGAACCTGGGGATTCCGGGGTTTGCCTGCCAGGGTATACTGGGGTATGCCTTGGGAGCATCACCTGTGAGAGGCGCGGGTTTGTAACAGAGGCTGCGGGGGATCCTACTCAAGCTTAGGAACCAGGAGGGCCCTTCAGAGGTGACTTGAATGAACATGGGGAGGCCATTTAGCTGTCACTGAATGCGTAGACCACCCTTGGGGAGGGGCATGACTTTTGGCAAGACCGCTCTTGTCCACTGAAGGTGACTCCTTGGAGGGGGCTTTCAGCTGTGAGCCAGCGATGGGTGATGCTCCTGGCAGCTGGGAATGAGTGTCTGTGTCATGGAGCGGGTCTGGGTGGCACCCTGCAGCATCCGCTGCAGGAGGGGACCTGCCAACACTGGATGCTCAGCCATGGCATGCTCTGGAGGCGAGCCCGGGCCCTGGACTCCAGAGATGACACCACCGCCAGCCCTGCCAGCTTAGTCTGGGCATCCAGGTGGGTGGGGCCTGTTTATCCCTGGCAGGGGTCGAGAATGCCTGAGAATGCCTGGTATGGAGAGACTGTCCTGTCTGGCTGAGAGCCTGGCAAGGGAGGAGTAGCACGTGTAGGCTGCAGGAGCCATGAGCATCAGCATTGGGCAGCCTCCCTCTTGCCTTGTGTCCCCCATCCACTGGTAGTCACTGTCCCCACCGCCAGTGAAGGAGTCCTCCCGTGGCTCCTCCAAAGCTTTGCTTTTCCCCCTCTACCTAAGAATTGTGTTGATATGCCCGTGTTCAAATAGGATCCAGTGTGTGTAGGCGGTGCTCTGGCCCCTGGTACCGGTGAGGATATGATCAAAGGTCCCTTGCCCAGGTTCCAGGGCCAGCCGGTAAGGTGGCTGCCACTGCTACCTGTCAGCTTTATTCTCTGTGTAGTTAGGAACCAGGTCTTGTCTGCAGTCAGGCCTGGCATGACTTGCTGACGGTGGCAGTGGCTCTGTTCAGAGAGGGCCAGTGCCACCTGGTCACAGGACAGCAAAGGGCCTGAGGACATCTTTCTAGGCACCGGGAGGCTTGAGTTGCTGTGCCACTGGTGCCCTAGGGTGTTCTGGCATCTAGTGAAAGGGTCCTTCGGAGACTTGTGGTTCCAGTTCTGTTTTCTCTGGCGCAATAGAAGAGACCCCCGTGAGGAAGCCCCCCCAGCACTCATAGCACCTGGTCAGCCCTCCTGCGCCCTGCTGTTGGCACTGCCCTCCTGCATTCCTTGGTCTTCCTCTGGGTTCTGGGTGATTCAGGTCCACAGACTCTTGCAGTGTCAAGAGGGAGGGATCGCTGGGAAATTCCCACCAGCATCTCAGCCTCAAGGAAATGGGTCATATTGTGTCTAGCCCCGAGAATGCAGGGATGAGCGTACCGGGGGGCAGTGAGCAGGGTCTGAAAGTTGGAGTGTGTGCCCCACACAGCACTGCCTCTGCTCTGAAGGTTTCAGGGTGTAAGGCCCGCCTGGCCTGGGGGTGCCTGCTGGGGAGCAGCGGGGACTGCGGACGGGGTACCCGCTCTGATCCTGCCTCTGCTGTGAGTGCAAGTGTGTCCTGGGAGGTACGTACATGAGTGGGAGTGTCCGGTTGTGGTCGTGTGCACGTGTACAAGTGGATGGAGGTGGGTATGAAGGTGTGCGCAGTTACGTGTGCGTTTGAGCCTGTAAACAAGTGTGTGTGAGCGTCAGTGGGAGTGGCCGGAGCGTGTGGGTGTGTGTGTGCAGGAACGCATGGGCACGCGCGTGTGTGAACGTGGCCAGGGTGAGTGTGGGGTGAGGAGTGTGGGGTGAGTGTGGGCCTCCGGAGGTGGTGGGGGGCAGTTTGCAGGGGATCCAGGGATGCCGCCCCACAGCCTCCTCCCTCTGGAGCCCGAGTCGAGGCCCAGTGAGGTCAGCCAGGCCTCGCTGTAGAGCGAGCGGAGCCCCGCGGCCTTCCCGGAGGAGGCGGTTGGGCCGGGCGGGCCGCGCGCATTCCTGAGCCCTGAGTCAGCGCGGCCGCCCCCTCCGGCCGGGCCCGCCCCCGGCGCGCACGCCCCTCGCTCCATGGCATTCCCGGGCGGGCGGGGATCGGCGCGGGCGCCCTCCCGGCGGCGGCGGCGGCGGCGGCGGCGGCGGCCCCTCCCCGGAGCCGTCCGGACCCCGAGGAGCCCTCGGCGGCGGCGGCGGCGGTGAGCGGGGCGCGGGGGCCGGGGCGCGGGGGTCGCGGCCGGGGCGGGCCGGGGCGGCCTCACTCCCGTGCCCGGAGGCGCCCGAGCCCCGCGGGGCGGCCCAGCCCGGGATTCCTCGCCCGACGCGCCGCAAAAATAGCCCCGCGGGCGGATTAGCAGGTCCCGCGGCGGAGCGGGCCGGACAGCGCGGCTCCACCCGCCGACAGCTGCGGCTCGGTCCCACCCCCCTCGGCTGTCCCTCCGCGGCCGCCGCCGGGACTCGGGAGGGCGGGAGGGCCCGGGAGCCGCCGACTCCGCGCCGCCCCCGCTCCGCGACCCCGGTGCCCGGCCCGGGGCTCCCCAGGATAGCGGGGGCGCAGCGGGGCAGCGGGCCCGGCCTGCCTGTCTGCGCGTCCGTCGGTCGCCGGGCACTGGGCGGGGACCCCGGGAGCGCGGAGGCCCGGCCGGGTCCCTAGAGCTCGCTCCGGGCGCCGGGCTGCGCGACTCCAGGTCCGGCCGGCGGGCGGGGCTGCGTCGGGAGGCCCGGCCCGCTGCTGGGGAACCCCCTCCCCCCCACCCCAGGACTTCCTGGCTGCGAAGATTCAAGGATGAAACTGGCTTTTCAGGTTTGGCCCAGCTGGATGCTGGGTTTTCCCCACCCCCTCGGAGCCCAGCCCCCTGGAGAGCCCCCAGAAATTGGGAGGACCGTAAGGACCCCAGCAGCGGGCTGCGGTCCAGGGGGTCCCCAGGCTGAGCCGCCTGCCACCAGCGGCCATCCCGGGGGAGCTCGGTCCCCTTCCCCCTTCCCTGAGAACCGGGCAGCGGGCTAGTAGGTAGGCACAGGAGCAAGTGGCCCCAAATGGAAGGTGCTGGGCCCCCCAGGCCCCATCCCAACGCTTCTAAGCAGCCAGCCAGCCTCCCATTGCACAGACAGGCCAAGTGACGGCAGCAGAGTTGGAGAATTGCTATGACCAACGTCCCTCATGCAGCATTACTGTCCAGGGGAGCTCATACTCTAAGTTGGTTCAGAGGGGATCACCCAGGTCTCCCCTGCCTTTTCGGGCACCCCCTCAGGGTCTTCTCAGCTCCCAGCTACTGCTCAGGGCGCAGCCTGCTGCTCTTGTCCCTGGATGTGAGCCCCCCCCCCGCACCCCCCTTGCCAGCTCCAGGTCCTATACCCCACCGTGGTGTCCGTGACAGGATCCCCTTTCTGCCCAGGGACCGTATCCTTGTCTTCCGGCTGCTGTGTTGCTTCGGTGTGTTGTTGGGCAACCCCCTCCTCCCTGAGGTGCTCTGGGCCAGGACAGGGTGCAGTCGGGGCCCCGCTGGGCTTGGCAGCCCTCCCCAAGCTGAGGACCCAGATGGTCTGCCCCTACCCCTGGGTGGCAGGTAGGCAGGCACACAGGCCTCTTGCACCCCAGCTCCTGGGCAGGCATGTCCAAGGCTTTGAACTCCCTCGGAGGCTCGGTGACCTCAGGTAGACGACTGTCCTCTCTGAGCCTCAGGTTTTGTATCTGTGGGATGGGTAGGGAGGCCCCTTCCCAGGGGCCTCGTGATAGGTCAGCAGGGTCAGGTGGAGCCAGATTTCAGGCAAGTATGCCAGGCTTCTGAGGACAAGCCGTTTGTTCTTCTAACAGACTTTGGGACTTGGCTTCCCCTCCTGGGGCCTCCCTGTACTGTCCAGCGGCTGGCCCGTCCGGAAGGAGGTCACTAAGCCTGAGGGTGTCGGGGGACCAGGAAACGTGTGTCACGTCAGTGGGGGAACTTGTGAAGGCTCGCCTGGTGCTTGGGCTGCTCCCCTGCCCCGAGCCGGGCGTGTTGGTAGGATGTGGGCCTTTCCCCTCGGCGGCCCGAGGCAGCCTTTCACCGAACTCCTGAGGTCAGCTGGGCCTCGGATGGTCGCAGCCAGGATCCGCTGTAGCTAAGTTGGCTCCCTGTGGCCTTGCTGACTGGCCGTGTGGCATAGACCTGCCACCTCTCGGAGTCTTGGGGCTCCCCACCCTGGGGCCAGAGCTCGTGTGGGCAGGGGCTTTGCTTCGGGTCGTCTGTGACTCCCGGGTTCACACGTGCCCGTAGAGCGCCCTCTGCACCACTCTCCCTGCGCAGGTCCCACAGTGTAATTACCACCAGGGATTCCTGTGCCTTCAGGGCCTCCTGTAGCGGGGAGCCTCTTGGTCTGTTACAGGCCTTTTACACACTCCTCTGGGGTGATGTCTGTCATGTGATGGGTGACGAGGGGATGTAGGGATTGGTGTGTCCTCCTGGGGATGGGCAGAGGACACTGTGCAGGCCATCAGCTAGATCTTAGGCTGCCCTGCTCCTTTCTGACCCCTTTTCCTTCACAGAAAACGTGTGAGGCCTGGGAGGCTCGAGGCGGGTTGAGGACCTGGCCGTTACCATGTGTAGCATGGGGCCGTTAACACACGGGATAGAGGCCCGGAGAGGCCAGGTGACTGGCTCTGCTGCACAGTAGCCTGTGGTATGAAGGACTGGACTGTGGGACACCAGACAGCTAGTGCTCCCCACTGCCAGGGGATTTCTGGGGTTGGGTCTCAGATTAGGGTCAAATGGAAGAGTGAGGGTCAGAGGTCAGGGCTCTAGTGTGGAGGCTGGAGGATTTGGCCCCTCCTGGGATCATGCTCAGGTGAGCTAGGGACACGTCTGGGCAGGTGTCCTGGGGTGGGGCCCATTGCTCCAGCTGACCTGGGCGGTGGGCGGTCCCCTGAGCAGGGTGGGGCCAGGGCCTGGTGGGTTTTGTCCTGGGGCTGGGGCACCCCTGCTATCTGCTCAGCCTCCAGCAGCCCCTCCTGGCACCATCCTGCCAGCTGGCAGAGGGGGCCTGAGTGCTCTAGTGGCTCCTGCTCACACCTGAGGATCTGGCCTCGCAGTGGTTCTGGCCAGTGTTTAGGCTGCGGCAGGCCAGAACTGCCTGCCATCTCCTCCTGCCTCTTGGTTACAGCCACCCTGGGCATCTCTGAAGGCTCCGTGTCCAGGTGCCGCCCGTGGCTTATGCTCTGGTCATGGATGCTCATGGGCCCTCCTGCTCCCCTTCCCTGCTCCTCCTTTGGCTGCCCTCAGGGAGCCCCCAGACCAGCAGGCGTTTGGCAGCCTGGGCCTCTGGTTCAGCTGCTGCTTCGCCAGCACCTACAGTGTGCCAGGCACTGCTGTGCTCCCTCATTTTCAGATAAAAAAAATGAGGCTTGCAGAGGGTTGCCGTTTCCCTGCTTGAACAGGGTCTGGCTCAGGCCAGGCTCTCCCCAGTGGCTTCCCTCCACTGGCTTCCTGGCCCTTTTATTTTTAAAATATATTTTATTTATTTATTCTTGAGAGACACAGAGAGAGAGAGGCAGAGACCCAGGCAGAGGGAGAAGCAGGCTCCATGCAGGGAGCCCGACGTGGGACTTGATCCCGGGACCCCCAGGTCACGTGCTGGGCCCAAGGCAGAAGCTCCACCGCTGAGCCACCCAGGCGGCCCTGGCCCCCTTTATACTTATGCGCCGTGCCAGCCCGGGGGGTCCCCACTCATCCCCAAAGCAGGGACAGGATTCGGTAGGATCTGCCCCTGTTCTCCACCTCGCCCTCTGTCCTGAGGCTGTAGCTACTCCCACCTCGCTCCCTCCAGTTGAAGCAGCCCTGGTGGTCTTGTGAGCTTGCGGGACCCTTGTCCCTCAGCCCCATCTCGGGCCCTCATGAGCCCGCGCACTTGTCCTGTGCTGCCCGGAGTGCCTGGGTGTAGTGTGCCCCTGTTTCGTGCCCCCTTGCTTGGTCCCCACCCAGTTGTCAGCAGTTTCTTCTTCACTTCTAGATGCCCATTTAGGTCTCCTGATGGGGCTGGGGCCTGGGTGGGCAGTGTTGAGCGTTGCCAGAGTGACTCAGAATGTGTGACCCTGAGTAGTCAGGCCCTCCCTGGGCTGTGGTTTCCTCCTGCCCTGAGGGGGTCAGCAGAGCAGAGATGCTGTTGGGATTCCCCCCTGAAGGGCTCTCTGGGAACAAGAGCCCAGTGTGTGCCTGGGGGAGGCCTGGACACTGAGCCACTGTCTCCTCTGGGTGGGTACTGTGTCCCTCCCCAGCCCAGACTCTTTGTCCTCCGGGCCTGCCCCTCCCCCGCCCCTGGGGCCCACTGTGGAGCACCCCCCTTGTGAATCCCAACCACTTGAGGCCCCAATGGGGAACCATGCACAGAGGGGTGGGGCTGACCCGGAACCCGCAGCACTAGGGGCAGGGTGGGGATCCCAGAGCACCCTCCTGCCTCCGCCCCAAACACTGGAGGGATTTGGGTGGAGGTGAGGGACACCAGGAGGTCGGGGCGCACGGGCGGGGATCTGGTGGCTCCCCTTAGAGCTCAGCTGGCTCTTGTGTTCCTGGGACCAGCTGTAGGCAGGCTGGCAGGTCCCCGTGGGCCTCACCACCCTTTTTCTGCTTCTTTGCTTGTCTGTCCCTGCCCCACCTCATCTGTGCTCAGCTCCTCCTCCCGGACCCAAGTGAAGGGTCTTTCTTAGGGACCCTGCACGCTCCGGATCTTGCGGACGACCGTGCACAGAGCGGCTCTGGGCCCAGCCTGCCCTGGCTCTGTGCGCCCGCCGGGACAGGGCCGGGCGCATCTGTCAGGGCGGGCAGGGGTGGGTGTGAGGAGAGGCCGGGGCGGCGGGAGCCGGAGGGTCGCCGATGCCAGTGTCGCCATGGGCCGCAAGGGCCCGTGCGCTGCTGGACGGGGCACCAAGTGGCTGAGGCGCCCAGATGTGGGCCGCAGGGGGTCCCTGGGGAGGCCGCGGGGCCAGGGGAGCTGCATGGGGCGGGGCTGGGGGACAGGGCTGGCGTTGCGGCGTCCCGGTACCGACCCGCTGGCCACCCTTCCCCAGGGCTCAGTTTGCCTGTTCGCAAAACGGGCGTGGGTTTTTCTCTCCATCTGTTCCCGGCAGCTGTGGGGCTGTTTCCAGAGGCATTCGTGAGTGGGTTCCCAAGCCAGATTTTTTTTTTTTTAAAGATTTTATTTGAGAGAGAGTACAGGCTGGGGGTGCGGGGGTGGGGGCGGTGGTAGGGGCAGAGGGGCCAGCAGACTCCACGGCGGTGCCCCATCCCAGGGTCCTGAGGTCGGGCCTGAGCCCGAGTCAGGCTTCACCGACGGCCCCCCGGCAACCCCCGAAACCTGAACATCACAATCTGTCTGGGTCCCAAGCTCTTTGATGTAGTTGCGATAATTTGGGGTGTCTGCCCTCCGAGTATTGCGTGGCCGCTCCCCTGCTATGCCGGCGCCCCAGTGTGTGCGGGGAGCCCGGGTCTCCTGGTGTGGCCCGTCTCTGTGGAGGGGCAACCAGTGCTGCCTGGAAAGTGCCCTTTCCGGGGGGGGGGGGGATAGAGTCCCAGGGGCCATGGTCACATGCTCATTGCCTCACCAGCCCTGGGCCAGGCGCGGGGAGACCCAGGGCAAAGCCTGGCCTCTGCTCTGGGTCCCGGGTCTCAGGTGCTGAGGGGGTGCTTGGCGCCCGGTGGGGGTGGGGCGCCCCGGGGGTCCCCTGACCCTGTAGCCGCGGCCACTCCTGTGAGACGGAGGGATCGCGGCCCTGGCTGAGGTGCCCTGGGTCTTCTGTGCTTGGGGCAAGTGCACGCGGTGAAAGGGCAAGGTCTGGGTCGGGCAAACTTGGGGTATGCGGAGGCCCTCGGGCCGCCTCTGTCCTCCGCTCCAATAGACCGGCGGGCTGATCCTGTGGGGAGCGGCTCTGCCCCATGCAACGGCCTGCTTCACTGTTTGGCCACCTCAGTCGTTGCTAGATGTCACCTCGCAGGGAGGCATCACTGCCCCAGCAGCTGTCATGTGCTGCGTTTTCTTTTTATTTTTTAAAGATTTAATTTATTTATTCATGAGAGACACACACAGAGAGAGGGAGAGAGAGACGCAGGCAGAGGGAGAAGCAGACCCTGGCTGAGCACAGAGCCCCACGAGGGGCTCGATTCCATGACCCTGAGACCATGACCTCAGCCGAAAGCCAGCGTCGATGCTTAACCTATGGAGCCAGCCAGGTGCCCCATCGGTACTTGTAGGGTCAGGGTTTGGCTGCACCGTAAGCTCCAGGAAGGCAGGGGTTTTGTCTGGTTCCGTTTCCGTGTGTCTCCAGCAACATATCCCTAAGCCCCAGGAGTGGCTCATAGTGGGTGCTCACGTGTTTGTCATGCACCTGTCTCCCAACATGAATGAGTTTGTACTATCTGGGCACCTCGCTCAGGCCCCGCATGTCTCTTGGGATCAGTGCTAAGCACCGAGCAGGAGCTCGGCCTCACGGCAGGGCCGTCCCCGGCCCAGGAAGCCTCAGGCAGTGGCTCAGCACGGCTCTTGAGTGACCCCACGCCGCATCCCCAGGCCCGCCCTGCCCCGCGCGGAACCATGAGTGAGGCCCGCAGGGACAGCGCGAGCAGCCTGCAGCGCAAGAAGCCGCCCTGGCTGAAGCTGGACATCCCGGCCGCAGCGCCCCCGGCCCCGGAGGAGCCCAGTTGCTTGCAGGTAGGCCCGGCCGGGGGGCTGCGGGGGGGCCCCCTCCAGCTTCCTCACTCTGACCCCGCCGCCCAGCCCCTGAGACGTCAGGCCTTCCTGCGGAGCGTGAGTATGCCGGCAGAGACCGCCCCCGTGCCTTCGCCCCACCCGGAGCTCCGGCGGCCGGGGCTGCAGCGCCAGACGTCCATCACGCAGACCATCCGCAGGTACCGGTCGGCCTCGGCTGCTCCGCTGGTGGGGCTGGGGGGACAGAGGGCATACGGGGTCCCCTCCGGGTCCTGGGGCTGGGAAGGGGGCCAGGGTCCCCCCGACTCAGCTCCCTCCTCCATCTCAAGCCCCATGTCGCCCTGTCCTGCTCTGGGGACACACTGCTCTCACCTGCCGCCTTCTCTGCTCCCCTCCAGCACTCGCTCTCTCCTTCTCTGTCTCTCCCATCCCAATGCTCTGGCCCCTGAACAGCCGACAGGTGCGCTTTGGGCGTGTCCACACTCTGCCCCTCTTGGGACCCCCTGCTGCCCGTAGGGCTCTCCCCCAGCGCCGGTCTCTCTCTCGGTCCCTGCTCAGGTATCGGGGCAGGGCATGAGTGTGTGGACAGCAGGCGGCGGGTGCATGGCTTGCGGTCTCTGGGGAGCTGCCACTGTCCTTGGTGTTCCCTGGGCACTCCTAACAGCAGGTGCTGGTAGTGTTTCTCCGTGCATGTTCAAGAGCTGGGGGCTTGCAAGTGGCCGCCGCCCAAGTTCTGTGGTGTCGCAGGTCAAGCTGCTGCCCAGGGCCTAGCTCTCTGGCCAAGGGCTGAGCTCTGAATGCCGTCTGTGGACTCGGTGCCTCCCCTTGAGCACCCGTCTCTGTGGTGTGTGGAGGGTCTGTGTAGGATACTCACTTGGGCAAGGCCTGCCATGCACGGTTCTAGTGGGAATGTGCAGTTGGCTAATTGTGTAGGGGGTGGCCAGAGCCAGAACCTATTCATCCTCTTAATTAGGCCCAGCCTACCTGGAGCCTGGGCCCCACAGTGATTGGAGGCTTGGGTTGGGGCATGTTTCCAAGAAGAGGGCCTCTGAGGCCCCTCCCGGGGCCGGGGGAAGATCTGCCTTCCCCTTGCTGAGACCATCCCATGGCAGGGGCACAGCTGACTGGTTCGGAGTGAGCAAGGACAGTGACAGCACCCAGAAGTGGCAGCGCAAGAGCATCCGCCACTGCAGCCAGCGCTATGGAAAGCTGAAGCCTCAGGTCATCCGGGAGCTAGACCTGCCTAGCCAGGACAACGTGTCCCTGACCAGCACCGAGACCCCCCCTCCACTGTATGTGGGGCCGTGCCAGCTGGGCATGCAGAAGGTATGCCCGTCCCCTGCTGCCTCCTGCCAGCTTCTCACTCTGCTCCCTGGGCCGGGCCTGGGGCCACAGCCACCTTGGACAGAGGAGATTCCTCGGAGCTCATGGTGTGGGAGGGGGTCAGATGGCCCCATAAAGGCACCTAAGATACTCTCCAGGGACCAGGGACCAGGGGAGGGGACAGGTCTTGGGATTGTACCATGGGTCCAGTCTCTGGATGAGAGACCCTCCCAGGATGAAGAGCAGTGCAAAGGCCCTAGGTGAGGATGGGGGGACCCTTTTAGGTACCTACACGGCTGTCCAGGGACCCACTGGGGAGTGGGAGGGGCAGCGACTCTAGGGGGGGAAGGAGCCCCCAGAGCGATGACCAGACCTTGACTTTTAACGTCTCCTTCCCTCTGCCAGATCATAGACCCCCTGGCCCGGGGCCGGGCCTTCCGCGTGGCGGATGACACGGCCGATGGCCTGAGTACCCCGCACACACCTGTCACGCCTGGTGCTGCTTCCCTCTGCTCCTTCTCCAGCTCCCGCTCGGGCTTCAACCGGTTCCCGCGGCGACGCAAGCGTGAATCAGTGGCCAAGATGAGCTTCCGGGCAGCCGCGGCCCTAGTGAAGGTGGGTGCCGGGGCTGGGGTGGGGTGGAGACTGCGCCGGCCACCTCGCGGCATGCTCACCTCCTTGCTGGCAGGGCCGCTCTGTTAGGGATGGCACGTTGCGCCGGGTGCAGCGCCGAAGCTTCACTCCCGCCAGCTTCCTGGAGGAGGACACAGCTGACTTCCCTGACGAGCTGGACACGTCCTTCTTCGCCCGGGTAAGAGCACAGGGCCATCCCCCACGGCCCCTCTGCCTGCCTGCCCCACCCTGACCACGTGTGTTTGCTCAGGAAGGAGTCCTCCATGAAGAGCTGTCCACGTACCCAGACGAGGTGTTTGAGTCCCCCTCGGAGGCAGCGCTCAAGGACTGGGAGAAAGCCACGGAGCAGGGCGACCTCACGGGGGGCGCCCTAGACCGCAGCGAGCTTGAGCGCAGCCACCTGATGCTGTGAGTGCTGCTGCCCTGTGCGCAGTCGGGGGGCTGGGGGCTGGGCTCGGGCTGGCAGGAGCAGCTGGGCCCTGGGGTGCTGACGCTCTGGCGGGCCAGGGAAGGAGGTGGCTTGTGGATCATGAGCCCGGCTTGTGCACTGTGCTGGTGGGACCCGAGGCGGGGCGCCGTTCAATGCTCAGCTGCCCACCTGGGCGACAGGAACGTAATCCCAGAACCCCTGGGCTGGGCGGAATCCAGAGGGGAGGAGGAGGGTGCTGTAATGCATGTTTGTAGGTGCTCCAGGGACTCTCGTAAGGGTCAGGTCCCCCCGCTTCCGTCCCCACAGGGGCTCGGGACGGATTGTGCTGCTAAGCTGGAGGCTGAATGGCTGCGTAGGGCCCTCACTGCATGGAGCAGGTCAGGGTGGGAAGGTCACCCTGGTGCTGCTGAGGGCTTGCAGCAGGCAGGGGGGTGACTGTGCCCCTCCCCCCAGGCCCCTGGAACGAGGCTGGCGGAAGCAGAAGGAGGGTGGAGCAGCTGCCCCGCAGCCTAAGGTGCGGCTGCGGCAGGAGGTCGTGAGCACGGCGGGTCAGCGGCGCGGCCAGCGCATCGCCATGCCGGTGCGCAAGTTCTTTGCCAGGGAGAAGCGGCCGTATGGGCTAGGCATGGTGGGCCGGCTGACCAACCGCACGTACCGCAAGCGCATCGACAGCTACGTCAAACGCCAGATCGAAGACATGGATGACCACAGGTAGGCACGCAGTGGGAGTGCGGGGTGGGGCGCAGCTCGAAGCCGGCCAGCTCCAGGTTGGGGCCGGGTCTCTGGGTGGGGGTGCTGCCTCTGCTGACGCGCCGCCCCACAGGCCGTTCTTCACCTACTGGCTCACCTTCGTGCACTCGCTCGTCACCATTCTGGCCGTGTGCATCTACGGCATCGCACCTGTGGGCTTCTCGCAGCACGAGACCGTGGACTCGGTGAGCCCAGGCACCCTCCCCGGCCCAGACCCGTGGAGTCTGGAGTCTAGGCTCTGAACTCCCTCCTGCTTCACTCTGGGAGAAGAGGGCCCGAGTGGGTTCTGTGATCTCTCTCCCCAACCTTGCAGGTGCTGCGGAACCGCGGGGTCTATGAGAATGTCAAGTATGTGCAGCAGGAGAACTTCTGGATCGGGCCCAGCTCGGTCAGGACAGGGCCTTGTGGGTGTCGCGGGTGTGGGGGAAGGGGGGGGACCCTGGGCTGGTAGGGGCCAGGGCCGCAGCAGCATATCCCATTTGTCCCCAGGAGGCTCTCATTCACCTGGGTGCCAAGTTCTCGCCCTGCATGCGTCAGGACCCGCAGGTGCACAGTTTCATCCGTGCTGCGCGGGAGCGTGAGAAGCACTCAGCCTGCTGCGTGCGCAATGACCAGTCGGGCTGTGTGCAGACATCGGAGGAGGAGTGCTCGGTGCGTGCCCCGCCACCGTGCGTTTGTGCTTACTTTGGGACTTAAAGCAGAGTCCCTCCGCTCACGTTTACGCCTTGCCTCCCTCATCTCCTGCCTCTTCATGTCAGATGACAGCCGTAGCCAGTCTTTGGTTTGGGTGTGTTCTTTCTGCACGTGTCTCAATTTTGTGCACGTGTCTTAAGTTTACGCAAGTGGTATTCCTTATTCTTTCCACCGAGCCATTAAAAGAAACCCAAAAAACAAAGAAGATTCATCCAAAAATTTTTTTCTTAATTGCTTTTTTAAGAAGTATTTATTGAGACGGCATAATTAGGGGTGGGGGTGGCAGAGGGAGAAGAAGGAGACTCCCTGTTGAGGGCAGAGCCGGGTGCAGGGCTCAATCTCATGACCTTGAGATCAAAATCTGAGCTGAGGGACGCTTGGGGGGCTCAGTGGTTGGGCGGCTGCCTTTGGCTCAGGTCATGATCCCGGGATCCGGGGTTGAGTCCCACGTTGGGCTCCCTGCATGGAGCCTGCTTCTCCCTCTGCCTGTGTCTCTGCTTCTGTCTTTGTATCTCTCGTGAATAAATAATCTCAAAACAAACAAACTGAGCTAAAACAGAGTCGGATACTGACTGAGCCCCCCAGGCTCCTCTCATCCAAGTTTTTACTGCATCATCTGTGGAGCTGCTATAGTTTATACCAGTTCCCTATTTTGGTTGTATTTTTAAGCTGATACGAATTCTGCTGTTGAGATCCTTTTTTGTTGTTGTTGTTGAGATCCTTTTAACAGTTTCCTAACATGCCTGTATATTCTGGAATGTAATTTTTTTTTTTATATATTTTACTTATTCGTCCATGAGAGGCAGAGAGGCAGAGGGAGAAGCAGGTTACACGCAAGGAGCCCACTGCAGGACTTGATCCCAGGACCCCCAGATCATGCCCTGAGCCAAAGGCAGATGCTCAACCAGTGAGCCACCCAGGCGTCTTTTATTTTTTTAAGATTCTATTAATTATTATTTTATTTATTCATGAGAGAGACAGAGGGAGAGAGAGTATGCACAGAGGGAGAAGCAGGGTCCATGCAGGGAGCCCGACGTGGGACCCGATCCTGGGTCTCCAGGATCAAGCTAAGGTGGCGCTAAACCGTTGAGCCCCCCCAGGCTGCCCAGATTGTATTTATTTAGTTGAGACAGAGAGAGAGACAGAGCACAAGTAGGGGGTGCTGGGAGGGGCAGAGGAAGAAGCAGACTCCCCATCAAGCAAGGAGCCTGATTCAGGAATTGATCCCAGGACTCTGGGATCATGACCTGAGCCGAAGGCAGACGCTTCACTGAGCACCCCCAGGTGTCCTTGGAGTGTTGTTTCATGGAGATTGGGTTGTGGGTAAGGGTGAGAGTCTCAGTGGCTTTGCTTTTAATTCCTGCCTCCTGAGACTGCACTGGTCAAGGGGTGGGCTCTGACCAGGGGTTGACCCTGTGTCCTCCTACAGTCCACGCTGGCGGTGTGGGTGAAGTGGCCCTTGCACCCCAGTGCCCCAGACCTTGCTGGCCACAAGAGGCAGTTTGGCTCTGTCTGCCACCAGGACCCCAGGTCAGTCTTGCTGGGGGAGGACCGCCTTTGTCCATGGCTTCATGGGGTTTGGGGCGGGGGGAGAGGGCACAGCCCCCCTTGTTGTCGAGTTGGACAGGTGTGGATGCCAAGGAGACAAAGCGAGGTCTGACCACATACTGGCCTCATGCAGGGTGTGTGATGAGCCCTCCTCAGAGGACCCCCACGAGTGGCCAGATGACATCACCAAGTGGCCGGTGAGCTACAGTGGAAGGGTTGTTTGGGAGTCACCCTTGTCAGTGGGGTAGGAATCCACACTTCACCAGTTAATGATGCCAGAGCGATCCCCATCGTGGGACCACCCTGTATATTCAGATGCATGTTCCTGGCCTTTGCCCAACCTGTCTGCCTGCCAACACCCAAGCAGGTAGCCAGAACAGGGGAACCAGGGGGAAGCTTGGGAGGTCAAGTGTCATTATTCCAACCTGACAGATGGCTCATTGGTCTCAGGGTGTGGCAGCATGCCTGCAATCAAGGGGGGCCGGTTCCCCACCCTAGGAGCCTGTCCATCTTTGCCCCAATCCCCAGGCATGGTGTGGGGCCCAGGGTTGGGAGAGGCCCTAACCCAACTCACCTGTTTGTAACCCAGATCTGCACCAAAAACAGCGCTGGGAACCACACCAACCACCCGCACATGGACTGTGTCCTCACAGGCCGGCCCTGCTGCATCGGCACCAAGGGCAGGTAGATGTGTGTTGTGCTGGGGCTGTGCCCTTCTCCCTCAGCAACTTCTGAAATAACCCAAGATTCCAAGGGACCTGGGTGGCAGTCGGTGCCTCTGCCTTTGGGCCGCAGCAGTCCCCTCTCCAGGTCCTCTCAACCCTGGCCTGACCTTTCAGGTGTGAGATCACCTCCCGGGAGTACTGTGACTTCATGAGGGGCTACTTCCACGAGGAGGCCACGCTGTGCTCCCAGGTAGGCCTCCAGGGTGAGCGTCCCTCCCTGCTCCCTCCCAGCCACAGTGGGTGCTGATGGGCCACTCTGCACAGGTGCACTGCATGGATGACGTGTGTGGGCTCCTGCCCTTTCTGAACCCTGAGGTGCCCGACCAGTTCTACCGCCTGTGGCTGTCCCTCTTCTTGCACGCTGGGCAAGTGATACCACGTGGGCTGGGCGGAGGCAGGTGGGGTGGGTGGTCCCAGGCACCCAGAGGGGCTGGCCAGAGATGGGGAAGGGGTAGTCCCTCTGCTGAGTGCTCGCCCTGCCCCCACCCATAGGATCCTGCACTGCCTGGTGTCTGTCTGCTTCCAGATGACCGTCCTGCGGGACCTGGAGAAGTTGGCAGGCTGGCACCGCATAGCCATCATCTACCTGTTGAGTGGTGTCACTGGTAACCTGGCCAGTGCCATTTTCCTGCCATACCGGGCAGAGGTAAAGCTGTCCCCCCGGGTGGGGACCATCCCGTGGGCACCCACTCTCCATCATAAACTGGGTCCGTATCCGGCACCAAGTTTGGGTCCCTGGAGAGCCCAGCCTGGGAGCATCTCCTTTGGGCCCCTCAATCGTGATGCGCCCTGGGTCTCGGGAAGTGGGATGGGGAGACGGGGGCCCAGGCTGGGGTGGCCTGCTGGGCCCCAGCAGCTCACAGCTACCCACGCTGCCGCCAGGTGGGCCCAGCCGGCTCGCAGTTTGGCATCCTGGCTTGCCTGTTCGTGGAGCTTTTCCAGAGCTGGCAGGTCCTGGCACGGCCCTGGCGTGCCTTCTTCAAGCTGTCGGCTGTGGTCCTCTTCCTGTTCACCTTCGGGCTGCTGCCCTGGATTGACAACTTCGCTCACATCTCGGGCTTCATCAGCGGCCTCTTCCTGTCCTTCGCCTTCCTGCCCTACATCAGCTTCGGCAAGTTTGACCTGTACCGCAAGCGCTGCCAGATCATCGTCTTCCAGGTGGTCTTCCTGGGCCTCCTGGCCGGCCTGGTGGTCCTCTTCTACTTCTACCCCGTGCGCTGCGAGTGGTGCGAGTTCCTCACCTGCATCCCCTTCACCGACAAGTTCTGCGAGAAGTACGAGCTGGATGCCCAGCTCCACTGAGTCGGTGGGCTGCTGGGCCTGGGGCATGCACCGGCAGGCCAGAGCTGCCCAGGCCCACCCCGGGCCTCACGTGCAGGGCTTGCGACCTGCCTGCTGCCGGGCCCTGACCTCTCGTGCCTTGTTCACCCTGGTGAACTTATTGTGCTTCAGGGCATTTATTACACTAGTTCCCACGATTACCTTCTAACTAGTTTCTTGACGACCACCTCAGGTGGCCAATAAATGGACCGGGAGCGTTTTAGCTGCCACTAACTTACTGGAGCTGCCTCGTCTTTCTGGTTTCTGGCTAGGGCCGTGGAGGGAGAGGTTCTTCAGGCCTCTGCGCACCCCCCTCCCCTTACAGTTCCCCAGAACAGGGAAGTAAGTGTGAGATATACCTCCCCGTGAAGTCCCTCAGCCGGGTGGACGGCTTTCTCCTGCCCCCTTCCCCAGGGTGACCGGCAGCTGACAATGAGAAGAACCCAGGGCTGTGCTGTCTCATTCCGCCCCCCCAACCCCACCCCCGCCGCCTGGCACACGGAGAGGCACTCTGACCCCAGCCCTCTCTCTCTAGCCAGCAGCTCCAAGTTCAGCCCCAGGCCACCTCCCTTTCCAAGAGCCAAAGGGTGAAGTGTGTCATTATAGATGAACCCTGTGAGCCGCGGCTGGAGACCTCAGCCACATGCTGGTGGGTGCACAGCCCGTTTCTGCAGAAGCACACACAGAAAGCCAGCATCTGCTTTTATTTCCCCTTGCTGTAGAAATCACAGTAAAAAGGTCTTATCGCGAGGGGATGGTCTGGCCACAGAGCTCAAGTGGAAGCATTCTGGACCTTAGGACTCACCTGCACCATCCTCTGCCCTTGCCTCCCCTCTGTGCCTGGGCAGCAGTGGTCCCTCCTGCTCCAGGAACTGTGGCTTTTTGACTTTTCAAACTAAGAAGCAAACGATTTATTTGCCCATCTGCCATGTGACTAGGATGTTTGGACCTAGGGCTTAGCTCTGTTCCAGCTGGGTGCAGGCCACCAGCACCTAGTTGTCTTTCTGGAGGCTCATTTCTGCCTCAGCTTTTTGATGAAGGACACCTCATCCCGGTTCCGGATACCATAACTGGAAAAGAAGAAGAGCTCTAGTGTGTGATCTGCAGAAGGTATGTGTGGAGCCTCACCTGAGACTTGGGAGGGTATTTAAAAAAAAAAAAAAAAAAAAGGAACAGCTTGTGTCTGGAAAGGTGAGGAGTGGCAGTGGCCATCGTCTCATGGACCTAGGTCGTGCCAGCAGGCAGCCTCTCACCTTCCCACACACTGCCCTCCTCTGGCTCTAGGAAGCCCTGCTCTACCACTGGTGAGCAGTACTCACACTGCCCCCACGCCTCCCATTCCAGTAGGGTGAGCCCTCAGGAACCTCCCTGCAGGAGGGTGTCGGTCGAGCCAGGGACTCTCTTGGTCTCGCAAATTCTCCAGTGACTGATTTAAGACTCCTCCTCCCTCGGAAGAGGCCCCAGTCTTCTGGCAGAGCCTGGGTACTAGAGGACAACAGACCAGGTGCCTCTCTGCAGCTCAAAATGTGGCGTGAACTTACTCTCGAAGCTTCTTCCTGTCCTCTGTGAGCTTCTCTCCTGCAGAGGTCAGGTAGTAGGTCCTCCACACATAGGACCTGCAAAATCCAGATGAGGATCCGGGTAAACCACAAGCAGGGTGACTGGGCAGCTGGGACGCAGTAGCTGTGTGCGAGATGGGCTCGGGATGCTCAGCTCTAGGGGGCCCAGGGCAGGCGGCTTCTTCTTGGCTTGTCCTGTACCCTGTACACACCAGGCCCGAGGTAGCTCGAAGGAGGCACCGCTCTGAAAGAGCTGTGTGGGGTGGCTGGGGGCCAAACACACCTTCCTAATGAAATAGGCTACAGCACGGAGACAGAGACGACCCATGCTGCAGGAGTGAGGAGACCACCCGGGGGAAGATGGGGTAGGGCCGCTGGCAGCTGCACTGTCTGTAACCAAGGAGACGACTTATGCTAGAAATGCTCCAAGGTGCCCTCATTTAAGAAGCCCAGTTGCCTGGGTGAGGTGATGTAGATGAAAGAGAACTGAGGCAGGACTCCCAGGCACCGTGGCACCCACCGCGCCGGGACGCTCAGGACAGGGAACTCCTCGGTGCTCTGTGGCACACGTGCAACAGCGGCTCCACTTACCAGCTGATGTGCTGAATGCCCCCTTCACGCTCCTGCCTGAGCTGCACGTATCTCTGAATGGCCTTCTTCAGGTCCAGGACTGTGGCGTTCTGCACCACAACCACAGCTGCGGGAGAAGAGCCATGTTAGGATCCACAGCCACAGCTTCGGACGGCAGGGAAGGAACCAGAAGCTCTGTCCAGACTGTTTTGGACGGAGGCTCAAATTCAGGTGGGGTAGGCTTGTGGTTGCCCCGATGCCCTTTGACGTACATGGCTCCTGAGTTTCCCCTGAGCAGCCATGGCAGCGTCTTGTCTGCGCGACAGCTTGGACCGCAGGGTCCACAGGGAGAGGGCGAGCACTTACGCATTATCTCTCCATCCATCTTGCACACGCGGACTGTCATCGCTTGGCCATATTCTAGTGCTATCTGGGAATTGACTTCTTCCAAAGTAACCTGCAGAAAGACCAAGGGTGGAGGTGGGAGCCTTGGCTGCCTTTGCTATCCCAAACCGCAAGAGAAGACAAGCGGATAGCATCCGATAAGCAGTGCCATATCTTACGACGAGAGACAAGATTTCTTACTTCTATGCTAGGGTTTCCCGGTTGCACCTACATTTTAAAAGTGTTTAATGTGCAAAGTGCATTAAAGCTCAGGAAAAGAGGAGTGCTGAAACAGGAGAGGGTGAGCGCCGGATCTGGGCTCTGGGGCTGGGAAAGAGGAGGCGCGGTCACTCCGGGATCCAGGGCGACACCGGGCGGGGAGGCGGGCGGGGGGGGGGGGGTGTGCGAGGGTGACCAGGGCGCCCAACCCAGGAGTCAACGTCCTCGGGCGGGGCGCGGGGGCGCGGGCCTCGATGCGGAGTCCCGGGGTGGAGCTGCTCTCCCCGCTTGAGCCTCAACTACGGAAACGACCTTAGAACCAGCACCAGCACCTGCACCTGCCGCGCAGCCGCGCCCGGGGCACCCGGGGCTCCGTCGGGGTCCGCCTTGGGACCGGACGACCGTCCGCCTGTCCCTGTCCCCTGCTGCCCTCGCTCGTGCTCGGGTCAGTGAGGACCTTAAAGGACACGGGAGAATCGAGGCCCGCCGCATCTTCACCTCTGGCGCCCACAGTGGGAGGTCGGGCGCCGAGGCCTGGCCGCGCACCTGGATCGGGAGGTCGCAGAGCAGCGGGTCCTGCACCACCATGGCGAGCCCCTCCTGGAACACGTCCACCGCCTCGGAGTGCGGCAGCGCCTCCTCTTCGTCCTCCTCGGCCTCGGGCGCCTCGGGCCGCGCCGCCGCGGCCTCTGCCTCGGCCGGCTCCAGGGCGCCCGGCCAGCCCCGCGCTCCGCCCGCGCCGCCGCAGCTTCCGGCCGCGAGGGGCGGGGCTGCCACGGGGACCAATGGGAGGCTCGGGGCGGCCTGCCGCAGGGGCTGCTGGGAGCGCCAACCCGGCCCGGCCATTGGGACGGCGGCGGCCCGGGCCAATGGGAGCTCGCGACGGGCCCGACGCCGGCGCCCCGCGGCCGCAGGGGCTGCCGGGAGCGCGCTGGGCCGCCATGCTGCTCTTCTGTCCCGGCTGCGGGAACGGGCTGATCGTGGAGGAGGGACAGCGCTGCCACCGCTTCGCCTGCAACACCTGCCCCTACGTGCACAACATCACGCGCAAGGTGATCGCCCGCCGCCCCCCGCCCAGCAGCCGGCGCCCGCCCCGCCGGGGTGCTCCAGCGGCCCCGCCCCCCGCCGTATCGGGAGCGGCCTGGCTTCACCTGGCTCCCGTGGCGGCGTCCCCGACGGCGGCCCGGGCGGCCTCGTCGGAGCCGTGGCCGGATCAGGCCCGCCCTGTGCGCTGGCGCGGCTGACGGCGGGTCCGGGCCGACGCCGCCAGCCCCCGGGGAGCAGCCCGCGCCGCGCACCGACACGGCCGCCGGGCCTTTGCACGTGCTCCCGCTGCCCTCCCCGCCCCGCCCGCAGCCCCGCCGTGCTCGGGTCGTGCCGCGCAGCGTGGCTCCGGCGGACTCGGGTCACCTGCGGACACGCCTCTACGGGACTTGCGCGCCTGGGGTCGGTGCTGCGGCCCCAACCCGGGCCCTGGACGGAGCCGGGGCGCACCGCCCGCCCCGAGCTGCCCGCGGGAGTTGGGGCCGCCGCCGCGACGCCCGGGACGGAGCCGGGGGCCTGCGCGGAGGGCCCGGGCCGAGCGTGGACGGGGGGTGGGGGTGGGGTCCCGGCTGCGCCCGCCTCTTGGGCCGGCCCGACGCTGGAGCCGCTGGAGCCCCTGGACCCGGGCTGAGCCCTGCGCCGCGGGTGTAGAGACGCGGCTGCCCAGGACCGTGCAGCCCGCGGGGAGGAGGGCAGTCGGCGGCCGGGTCAGCACCGCGCCCCTCCCCGCGGCCTGAACACCTGCCACCGTTCGCCAGGTCACCAACCGGAAGTACCCGAAGCTGAAAGAAGTGGACGATGTGCTCGGCGGCGCGGCGGCTTGGGAGAACGTGGACTCCACCGCAGGTGAGAGCTGAGGCCGCGCTGCCTTTGAGGAAGGAAGCTCCTAAAAATAGAGTGTTTATTTTTTCCTGTAGTGATTTATTTCTTACACAGGCAATATTGGCATAAACCCCAGAGACGTACAGGTGTGGGTTAGTCTCAAAGCCACAGCCTTTTAACATCGCATGACCTTGGTGGCCTCTCTCCGTCGTGAGAGCGTGAAGGGAGCCCCGCAGCATTTGGCCTCTAGCGTGGTCCGCAAGTGGCGGCTGTGCGGGGAGCAACCGACGGCAGTAATGAACGTCGGAGCCTAAGGAAGAGTATATGGTACATTTGTTCAGCTGTGGATTTTTTAAAATTAGTTATCTCTAAAAAAATTTTATTTATTCATGAGAGACACAGAGACAGAGATATAGGCAGAGGGAGAAGCAGGCCCCATACAGGGAGCCCGATGTGGGACTCCATCCTGGGACCCCCGGGGTCACACCCTGAGCGGAAGGCAGATGCTCAACCACTGAGCCACCCAGGGATCCCTGGTGTAGATTTTTATTTTTAATTAATTAATTAATTAATTGTTTGTTTGTTTATTTTTCTTCCTGGTGTAGATTCTTAAAAGTTGATGGCAGAGAGCATTCAAATGTTTATTTCAAGTCTTGTTTCCTGTCTGATAGAGGTAGATGTGATCAGGGAAGGAAAGAGGAGAGCCCTAAACACATTTGTGTTGAGCGGAGGAAAACCCAACTTCTGTTTAGTATTATCTTTTCTCCCCCATAGAAGAACATCCAAATCTGATACGGTAAAATTAGCATTGGCAGAATTTGCCAAAAAAGAAAAGAAAATGATTTTGGTACCTAATGTTCAAAGTGCTGTTTGTGAGTGTTTGAAGGTATTATCAAGCATAGGGTCAGTTTCCCGAACTGAAGTCACTTTGCCTTGAGGTATTTGGCAAAGGTGTGGGTTGTATGGTGAGGTCTTCATAAGAACGGCCTGAGGAACTGCTGCCGAGATGGGTCCCTAAATTTAATGGGAATTGGATTTGTCATCCCCTGGGGGCTCCTCCGGGAAGTTGAGAGGGCCTAGGTGATGGAGATGCACTTGGAAGAATCTGCCCAGAGTGGACCCCATCATGAACATGGTAGCCATAAGCCACATTTCATGTCACATTTCCAGCTAGTCTTCAACCAGATTTGAGAAGAAAAATGGGACTCAGGGAGGGGAGCAGGAGTGTTTTCCAGAGTCACAGGTCCCTCAGTGTGAGAGTGTAGTGGGAATGATGCCACTAATTACAGCCTTTCAGTCATGGTGCAAGGTGCCCTAGGCAGGGGATGCCAGATGATTGGGGTCAGGGAGGGATTTGGTGTGTTAATACCTACTTCTAGCAGGTGTGTTTGGTCAAGAGCATCTTTTTTTTTTTTTTTTTTTAATAACGTGGGTCACTTGTTTTTCTTGTTGCCAGAGTCATGTCCTAAATGCGAACATCCTCGTGCCTATTTCATGCAGCTTCAGACTCGCTCTGCAGACGAGCCAATGACCACCTTCTACAAGTGCTGCAATGCTCAGTGTGGACACCGCTGGAGGGACTAGGGCCAGGATCCAGCTGTGTCATTGTCTGCCTACCTTGTTCCCTAGGGTCGATTCACAGCCAGGAGTGTGAACTGTTTGTCCTGAACCGTCTCTGCTGATGTGGCCAAAAGCTAACCCTTTCACGGGAGCTGGTCAGGGTACCAGCCCATCTGGCAGTCAGCGGATGAGCTCATTTATATCCAGGGGGATTGTGTGTGCAGGGAAGGGTATCCATAAGTAAGTGTGTTCTTTTTAATATACTGCTTGTGGATCTTGTAGGTATATTGGCTAATTGACATCTTTTCACCATTATCCTTCTTAAATATGCACTCCGATTGCACAACTAATAAAGTAAAATGTCATAATGTAGGACATTAGATATATCTAAGTATTTAACTTAATTGTAAACTTATCACTATCTTTTCTGAATATTTAATTAAAATGGAAAATCTAATACTGCTTTTCTAGTGTTTATTTTTTTTTTAAATTTTTTGCCAAGAAGTATATTTTATTTTCGTTAATCATACAAATAATTTGCTATAATATTCCAGGGCAAACTGCAGAGTTTGGCAGTCTGACTAGGGCGGGGTGGGGGTTGGGGGGCGGCCCTCAGAGACCTGCAGGCTGGCAGCCTTCAGCATGGAGTGCCTGGGTTCACAGCACAGCTTGTCACTCGTGGCCATCTCACAGGTGGCTCTTCCTCTACATCACGACCCGGGTGTCTCGAAGATGTTGTGGGTGGGGAACCCTCTAGATGCTTAGGAAATTTTATTCTGTTTCTGCTGCTCGATGGTCTCTGGTTGGCAGGGTGTTCTCCAGCATCTCCATTTTCTTTAGCTTGGCCTTATCGAAGCTGGCGATTTCCCCCGTGTCCAGTTTCTGCCATTTTCTTAAAGCGATCTGTGGAGTTCCACCCCGAGTCCAGTGCTGGGTCCTCCCACTCGTGTTGCTGCAGCAAGAGACTGCTTTCTCATTGTTTTGAGTGCTTTGAGAAGCAGACATCAAACAACTGCCATGCTTAGGGCTCTCCTGGTAACAGAATACTGATAACATGCTTTTCAATTTATCATTTCTGTTCTTGTTTCCTAGGATTGCAATAAATTTATTAGGTAGACTATATTTATGCTTTCTTCATTTTTTTTTTAAATTATTTATTCATGAGAGAGAGAGAGAGAGAGGCAGAGACACAGGCAGAGGGAGAAACTGGCTCCATGCCAGGAGCCTGATGTGGGTCTTGATCCCTGGTGTCCAGGATCAGGCCCTGGGCCGAAGGCGGTGCTAAACCGCTGAAACACCTGGGCTGCCCTTCATCTTTTTATTTGTAAAAGGAAAAGGACATCCTGGACTGGAGGGGGGTAGGGTGTTAATTGGTGGATGGTTTTGTTTCTTGCTCAGGACTTCAGACCTAATTACTTTTCTAAATCTCTTAAAAATGAAGTCTCACTTGTGAAATCATGGGATGCAAATTTATACCTCTGATAGAAATATTTACGTTTTTGAGACGGTATCTTTTCCAGACATGAATAATCTAAGTTTGGCACGATGGTGATGGTTTGTTTGTTTTTTTTTTTTAATTAATTAATTAATTAATTTATTTATGATAGGCACACAGTGAGAGAGAGAGAGGCAGAGACATAGGCAGAGGGAGAAGCAGGCTCCATGCACCGGGAGCCCGATGTGGGATTCGATCCCGGGTCTCCAGGATCGCACCCTGGGCCAAAGGCAGGCGCCAAACCACTGCACCACCCAGGGATCCACCGTTTGTTTGTTTTTAAGTAGGCTCCACATTGGAGCCCAATGCAGGGCTTGAACTCATGACCCTGAGATTAAGAACTGAGCTGAGATCAAGAGTCAGGTGCTGAACTGACAGCCACCCAGGTGCCCCAACATGATGGCTTTCTTTTGCTGTAACATGTAGATCAGGTTCTGAGCCCATCATCTCTTGGTTTGGTTATTTTCCAAAACAGTTTGTTGTGGTGATGATGAAATTTTATAATGTGGGTGTTTCCTTTAGTATGTTCTGTTTATGCCATCAATTGGTTGGTGTGTGTGTGTGCACTGTCAGTTTTATTTCCTCAGATTTTCTTTCTCTTTTTTTTTTTTTTTTAAGATTTTATTTATTTATTCATGAGATACACAGAGAGAGGGAGAGAGAGGCAGAGACACAGGCAGAGGGAGAAGCAGGCTCCCTGCAGGGAGCCCGACGTGGGACTCGATCCCAGGATTCCAGGATGATGCTCTGAGCCAATCAATGGCAGGCGCTAAACCGCTGAGCCACCCAGGGATCCCCTCCTCAGATTTTCTGTGTTTGCTGTTGGTCAGTGGTGAAGATCATGCACTCTGAAGTTAGCCTACACGTCTGCTTCTCAGCTGGGAGACCTCAGTCAAATTGCCAAACCTCTGCCTTCATTTCCTCACGTATAAAGTGGTGATAACAATTTCAGGGGTCTACAAACTTTCTGAAAAGGGCCAAATGTTATTTTATTTATTTATTTTTAAAATTATGTATTTATTCATGAGAGAGAGAGAGAGAGAGAGGCAGAGACACAGGTAGAGGGAGAAGCAGGCTCCATGCAGGGACCCCGATGTGGGACTCGATCCCGGGACTCTGGGATCTCTGAAGGCAGATACTCAACCACTGAGCAACCCAGGCATCCCAGATGGTAAATATTTTAGACTTTGTGGGTCAAGACTCAAAGTCTAGGAGAACAAACTTTCACAACTTTTTGATAGACAAGATTCAGAATGTAATCACAGTAATTGAGTACAGCATTTTGTAATGTGGGGTCTGTTGAAAATAATGGATATCAGGGCGCCTGGGTGGCTCAGTTGGGTGTCTGCCTTCAGCTCAGTGTGTGATCCTGGAGTCCTGGGATCAAGCCTCATGTTGGGCTCCCTGCTCCTCATCCCCCCACCTTGCTATCTCTCTCAAATAAATCTTAAAAAAAAAAAAAAAAAGAATGGATATCATTTTGCTTAACTGGGGTTCAAAGTTAGCATTTCTTATCAAACTAGATTGCAAATATGCATCTGTTAACGCTGGTTAAGTGCAAGAGAGCAAATGAAGTTAACTGTTGCCATTACCAATAGATTGAATGGAGCCAACACTGATGACAGATGCAAATAATTTCCACAAAGAATTTCTTGTAACCTGTATCAGCAGATTCCAATCCATGGTCTACTGAAATAGTGTTTTATCAGCTTTGAAAATATTCTTGCCTATGGTTGTTGCTTGTTCTACGCACACCATGCATACAGGCTAATTCTTCAGTCACTTCCCAGCTCAGTGCTGAGGCATTGACTTTTCAGAGAAACAGTTGAACAGTATCAGTAACATTGGTGGATTCATCCAGATTCAAGGAAAATCACTTCAAATCATTCGCCTCATTTTTAACTATTGATGTTGCTCCCAGTGTCCTTAGCTTTTACAACCATTCTCTAAAAGGCATAGTCATATTTATTTTCTCTGGACACACTTCTTCAGCTGCTCTAATTAAGTACAAGTCACCATCATAAGTGGCTTTCCTGGCTTGTTTAACCAATGAGTCACCTGGAAATTTAATTTGATTGCTTCATTTTCATATTTAAGTTTTTTGAAGAAATTCTGTGGTGTGTTGAGAATAGTGCCAGTGGCTTTGTGCGTGTTTGGATAACAGTCTGCTGCAGTGTCATTCCATAGTAAACAGTCCTTTGCCATCCAATTTGATGATGCAGTAATCTACGCTGTGCCGTAAAAAATGTTACATTCAGGGTCCACTTTTCTTGTTTTGTCACGATGGGTATGCACTGGTAATAGGTTAAGGGAAAAAAAAAACACATATGTATATATTTATACGGCTGCTTCATATTTAGAACTGACTAGTCATAGTGATTTTCCAGGACTCTCCCTGGCTCCCTCCCATCACCCAGGAAGGGCACTGGGTTAACTTCCACAGATGTCCTCTTAGGGGTTTTTCTTGTTTTCTGCACTATTACGATGTATCCTTTTTATTTAAGATGCTGTGTTTTTCTCATATATTTTCCTTTTAGTTCTTTTTTATAGTGTGTATCTCTCCTACCATATTTCCCATTTCTTCCTTGGGAACATATTTTCCTTTACATCTTTGAGCATAGTTAGAGTAGCTACTTAAAAACCTGTGCTGGGGGGATCCCTGGGTGGCTCAGCGGTTGAGCGTCTGCCTTCAGCCCAGGGCCTGATGCTGGAGACCCGGGATTGAGTCCCGCATCGGGCTCCCTGCATGGGGCCTGCTTCTCCCTCTGCCTGCTTCTCCCTCTGCCTGTGTCTCTGCCTCTCTCTCTCTGTCTCTCATGAATAAATAAATAAAATATATTAAAAAAAAACAAAAAACAAAAAACCTGTGCTGTTTCCAACCTCTTAGTCCTGGGAGTCTTGTCTATCGATTACCTTTCCTCTTAAGTGTGGGTCACCTAGTTCTGTTTATTCACATGTCTAATACTCTTCGATTTATCTTGGCAATTGTGAATGATACAGATTGTAGATACTAGATCCTGTTAGGTTTCTCTGGAGAGTGTTGACTTTTTATTTGTATTTAAAGCAGGCTGTAAACTCTGTCTCTGATATAGGCAGCAGCCCAAACTTCTGTTCAGGTGGTTTAACCTTAGCTGGGTTGCTTGGAGTTGGCCTATACACATGTAGTTCAGAAGTCATCCAGAGACTTTGGTAAAGTTTGTGTTTATTTGTTTGTTTATTTTAGGAAGTAGAGTTTAGATGTAGAATTTGGTGCGCTCCACCCCTTTGGGATATCCTCCCTTTCCAGCCTTTGTGGTCGTGGTGTGGGTTGTGTGGTCTGGGGGACTTAAGGTAGTAAATTCTAGTTTCAGCCTCGGGTGCTCTTCACTGGACATGGAGCCTGCTTAAGGTTCTTGCTCTCCCTCTGCCCCCTCCCCCTCTCAAAAAATAGATGTGTGATTTATGTTTCTGGCCATTCCTAAGTTGTTTCATGGGCTTGAACTTTTGATTTCATCTCTCTGTGGGTCCTGGTTGTTCTCAGACTCCAGAGCTGTAGCTCTGGGGTATCCAAACCTTACCCCAGATGTTTTGATGCACAGAACACACACATGCACCCTGAAATGTGACCTTATTTGGTACCCTAAAGAACACACAGCCAATAAGTAAATGAAAAGATGCATATCTTCACTAATAACCGGTGAAGTGTAAATGAAAGCAACACTGAAATATCTTTGCCTATCAGATAGGCGAAGATTAAAAAGACTGATAAGGTACACTGTTGGTGACTTCTGGTGTAGACGGTGGCATGTTCTTGGAGTGCCACTTGGTAGTACCTGTATTTTAAAATGCTGAACTTTGGATCCCACAGTTCCATCCCTAAAAATTCTTTGTGCAGAGATACTCATTCTGCTGATTAAAGATCCATGACCAGAACTGTTCACTAAGTTGCATATATGCACCCGAAATTAACATAATGTTATATGTCATATCTCAAAAAATAAAAATAGTGTATAGAGGCAGCAATCCAAATGTTCATCTGTAGGTTTATTGAACCGTGGCACGTACTACCATTAAAGGCAAAAAACAGGTTTTAATGTGCTGACCTAAAGGATGTTGAAAATAGCCAGAGGAACAAGGAGTCTGCAACGCTCAGCACAGTGTGAGTCCATCAAAAATGTGCATTTGTTTGCACGTCTTTGGAAGGATTTGACCCAACTTCTCACAGAAGCTCGCTCTGGGGTGAGATAAAGAGGACTCAATTTTTATTTTTCCTGTATCATTTGTTTTCTTTAAGAGTGCATCACTTTTGTGCTTAGCACCCTCTCCAGGGGAGTTTGTCGGAATGAACATAACAGACAATCTGCCAATCAATGGACAGGTCATCAATGTCCATGTTTGGCAACCTTGGGTGTTATGGGGAATGAAGGGTCATCCCACCTCCTAATTCCCAGGTTTATGATTACTGGTGGCAGTCGTCTGTCAGCCCCACTTGGGACAGCTGCTCTGCTCTGCATCGTGGTTTCAGATGTGGGCGGCCTGTGAAAGCCCGCCGTGGGAGGCTCACGTCACTGCTCACTGCACTTATATCCTGAATCAGGCTGAGAGGCTTTGCTGCAAACACAGGAACGGTCACCTCCAGGTCTGGAGGGTTGGGTTCCCTTCAGACTTGCCATGGGACCCAGCAGACGCATCTGGGAAGGTGAGTCTGGCAGTCAAGTCAGCATGAGCCGATGGCAGAGAGGGGCAGGCAGCCTGGCCCTGGGAGAAGCCTGTGGATGAACCTTGGAAGCAGTGGGGACCATCACCCTAGTCTTACCTCCTCCAGTGTCCTGATCTTGGGTGCCTCCCAGAGACAGCATTTTGGCAATATTTGCTAAAGAATGACAGGCTGTCACTTCCAGTCCTGAGTATTGCTGGGCAGAGGGAAGAGTACTAAGTTTGTTAGGCAGGGTTTTTAGGTGTGGAAGAGACTCTTCTTCCTCAATAGCTGAGCTAGGGGTTGTTGTGGGGCCAGATGGTCTGAGCTGTAAGGACCATGAGTGGAGATGAGGTCCCGGTCTTGGGGTTGGCAAAACACCTTAAAACCCTATGTCCTGGGAGGGGTGGGCCTTCGGGCAGAAGAGGAGCCAGAGTCTGGGGATCTCCCCTTGGAGCTGTGGGCGGGCAGCGGGTGAGGGTGGGATCCCAGAAGGAAGGTCAACTTGGCCAAGCAGAGGAAGGGGAGGTGAGGGTTCGTGCTTAAGTCATGTCCCAGAGCGCTCTTCCCAGGGGTCTGAAGCATTAACACCATCGAGAGGCAAGGTCAGCATTTCTTACCCTGTTGGGGCACAACATGAATCAGGTCTCCCCTGGAAGAGCCTGGTGTAAAGAGGCAGCATAGCTACGAGCTTTGCTGACGTGCTTACAAAGGAGCTATGAGGACATTTTGGGGCAGAGAAGGTCAGTGTTAACTGTGGGAAGAGCAGGTGCATCATTTTCCTCCCTTAGCCCCCAGGTCCCCCAGAACTGTGTCAACACCCTTACTCTAGACCTTTCCCCAGCACTACCTGCTTCCCTGCTCCTGCCATGAGCTGACTGGCCTCGCCTGGGGGTGTCTTGTCTGGCCAGAGAGAGCTTCGTGAAGGAATAGGCACACGATGCTCAAGGAAGTCAGGCAGGGGGGATAGTGTGAGGTAGGTTAGGCCAGCAGGGGACCCAGAGTGAGCTCCCCTGGCCCCCATCCGCCTGTGCCCCTCAGACTTCCATCCTCATCTCCCTTCTTCCTTCTGCCCTCTGCCCTGGGTCCCTCCCCCTGTCCATGTCCACCTGAGGCCGCCTGGGCCCAGCTTGTCTGTCTCCACAGCTCCGGCCTGGTGTTGCCACGGCTGCCAGACATGCACCTCCCAAGACCCAGATACATGAGGGTTTCAATTGCTTCCTCTTTCCCCAGAAGAGGGAAGAAAGTGCTAGATAAATGTCCACTGAAATAGCAACCTCCGTTCCTCTATGTCTGCCAGCTTTCTGAGTGGGTACGCAGAATGACAGGGATAGCACTCCGTTAAAAATGAAGAGTCTGTGTGAGAGGGGACAGTAAGTGGACCGGGTGGAGCCAACTTGGGAGGGCGTGTCTCAAGGCACCGGGCCCTGGTGGGATTCCCCTGGGGGCTGGGGTGGGTGAGGGGCTGTGTCTGTCTGGAGACCTGCCCCTGGGTCTGACAGTGTGTGTGGATTCTGAGGCAGGGGTCCCCGGCTTCATGGTGGGCCAGGAGAGCAGGGTAGGAAAGCTGTGAGGCCCCAGCAGTCAGACCTCACAGGCTGGACCTTGGCCCTGAGGTCATGGAGGAGATGGGTCCTGAGAAGGGAACAGAGTGCTCATGGGCTGGAGGCAGTGTCCTCAGACCCGGTGAGACAAGGGCAGCGCTGGGTGGTGGCATCAGCTGTGCTGCGAGATGGTCTAGTGTTGTCTGAGCTGTGACCAGATCTCCCGGTGTCCTCCCACTGCCTGTTCCAGGACTGGGGAGCGTGTGGGTTGGGGTTTCTACGACGCCTGGCCCAGTGTCTATAGTCAGAGGCGTGGGTAGCCCTGAGGGGAGACAGAGCAGTGATGTGTGCACTGGGCATGGTGGGCAGCTCCCAGGCTGTGTGGACCCTGGTTGAACATGTGCCGAGCACAGAGGTACCAGGTGCCAGGCGTTGGGGAAGAGCTGCTGCTGTCCCTGGTCTTGGCTTCTGCTCCTCTCAGAGGGTGGCGGCCCCGCCCTGGCCAGCTCGCTGTGTAGACAGAAGCGTTCTCTGTGGAAAGAGTTCTCAGGGGACGAGCAGGGACCACCCCCCCGTGTAGGTCTCTGTTGCTCGCCCAGAGTGGGTCCTGGCACTGGCAGCTCTCAGCTGTCCCTGCCCTGGGGTCTGCGGAGCTTGGACCCCCCACCCCCGCCCCATGCTCCCGAACCATCTGCTCCTGGGTTGGCCCGTGGCAGGGCTGGTCCACTTCTGCACAGACAGAGGGGTGCCTCCACCCAGGGACCCCTCAGCTGGGCAGTGGCTGCTGTTCCTCAGACCCCGCAGATCTCGGTGCTCAATCTGATCCTGTCATCACCATCCTGACCGTGGGCTGTTGTAGGCTGCTCCCCCATCTCCACCCTGTCACTGCGCAGGAGGGGACAGATGCTGTTGGGGTAAGCTTGCTACAACCTCCCGTGCTGTGGCTGCTGGTGCCCGGGGATGGCGGTGCAGTCTTCCTGAGCACGGATCTTAACAGGGGTCTGTCCTGTGGGCACCTGGACGTCTCCTGGGCCATTGGCATGGCGTCTGCTGCCTGAGCGCGTGCAGGCTCCTGGAGGGCTTACGTGCTGTGGTCTGTGAGCGCATCTGCTGCTCTTTGCCTCCTTATCAGCCATCGGGCTTGCATAACCAGGCTGGCCCTGCTTCCTGCTTAGGAACTATCAGTGCACCATCTGGAGCTACAAATGGGGTGACAGGACGTCAGCAGCCTCCCCGCACCCAGGCGCTTCCTAGCAGAGCCCCTGTCCCCAGTTAAGCCCCCATCCCCCCAGGGATTCTGTTGCCCAGGTGGGCCCCCACACTAGGGCCCTGCTCTCCTGAGGCGCTCCCTTTGTAGGGCAGGTAGCTCAGAACAGGGGCGCGGCCGGCCGAGCTGGCGGAGGGGCAGCGCACAGCCTCTGCAAGTGGGTCTTTATTTGTGGGTCCAGCAGGGGAGGGCATGGGAAGATGTTGGCCGCGTGACCTGGGGCAAGGCTTTCCCCGCCCCAGGACTCACCTGTCGGTAAGTAGGGACAGTGAGTCTACCCCACGGGGCTGCTGGGGGGACTCAAGTGTTCCACTCGTGCTGCGCCGGGCCCGAGTTCGTCCTGCCCCAGCTGCCCTGTGCGATAGGGACGGGAGCCGTCCTGGCAGGGGGTGCCTGAGCCGGAGAGGACGCTTCTAGGCACACTCAGCCACGCAGCAGCTCAGAGTCTGGAACCCTTCAGGAGGAGCCGTGGGCTTGAGGGGAGGGTGGCCATGAGTCTGCGCTGTGCCCAGCGGTGTCTCGCAGCGCCAGTGTCTCCGGAGCACAGCTGGGGCGGTGGTGCCCCATCTCTGCATGGCCTGTGGTGACGGTGCAGGTGGTGACCAGCTCAGAGCTCGCGGCCAGGAGCATGCCCCACAGCGGGGGGGGGGGGGCAGCCCTCGGGGTCTCATGGGGAGCATCCCTTGGGGAGCGCTCTCATCCCAGTCCTTTGCAGGCTGGTCCCTGGAGAGTGAAGCCCTGCTGCCAGAGTGGAGCACCTGGCTCCTGATCTGCACCTGCGTCAGCACCTGGGTTGGGCCCGGAGCCTCCGTCCACGGGGAAGGAGGAGGTGAGGGCTGGCACCCATCTCTGTGTGAGGTGGGTTGGTAGAGAGCTTGGTGGGCAGGGCTGCCATCTCTCTCACCCCCAGGGAAGGGTTTGGCGGGAAGGGTGTTGGGCGTGTCCTCAGGGACCTGCCTGGACTTCATTCCCGCCCATGCGCCGGGGCTCAGAGCCCATCACCTCCCAGCCTTGCCCGTGATGCCTTCCCTTGGCATCATTCTCGGGGGACTGCCTTGTCAGAGTGTCAGCTGCCAGACCCTAACCCTGCCCGGAGGCAGCCACGGGGGGCTCCAAGCCATCACTGTTCCCAGGGCTCGAGGCTGGATCTTTCACTTGCCTCAACAACAACGTCCTAAGGATCAACTGCCACTGGTCTGCCCCAGAGCTGGGTCAGGGCCCCAGTCCCTGGCTCCTCTTTACCAGGTGAGTCTGGAGGGCCAGGCTCCATGAGGGCTGTGATGGTGGGATCCCCACAGTAGCAGCAGGCCTGGGCGGGTGCGGTGGGCCCTTGGTACCGACCTCCTCCCTTTCCAGCAACCACGTGCTGGGCAACAAGCATAGATGCGTCTTCCGGGCCAGCGAGTGCACTGTGGTGCTGCCGCCCGAGGAGGTGCTCGTGCCTTCCGACAACTTCACCATCACTTTCCACCGTTATGTGTCTGGGAAGGAGCAGGTCAGCCTGGTGGACCCACAGTACCTGCCCCGGAGACACGGTGAGGCCTGGGCTGGGTGCCTGGACAGGGAATATCCTGGGTTCAAGGAGATTGGGAGACAAGATCTCATTGCCCTTATCCTCCATGGCCCAGCGAATGTTCTCTGTCCCTGCTAAGAGAGGCCCAGGGCTGGGAGCAGGCTGGGCCCCTGGGAGGGCAAGAGCCCACTGCTTACCGGAGAGGCAGGGCTTTGGAGGAGGATGAAGATGTAGTGCTTCAGGTTGGGGTACAACTTGAGTCACCTGAAATGCACTTCAGTCATAGTAGGAGGGACTCCAGTAAGACACTGGCCGGCACTTCCGGCAGCAGCTTGTGAAGGAAGATGCGGGCAAGATTTGAAATCACCTTGTCTGGCTGCAGGGGCTGGAGGAACGCACTGTCCTCGTGTTGCACCTAGGCCCTCCCTGGGGGACCTGCCTCCCAGTGAGGCCGGTGATCTGGGAGGAGAGGGCTTCGACCATGCCCCCACTCCCCCCAGCATCTTTCAGACCCCCCAGTCCTGGGCATCACGACAGACATGCCCTCATGTAGCCTCACTGTGTTTCAGTGAAGTTGGACCCTCCCCCGGACTTACAGAGCAATGTCAGCTCTGGGTCCTGTGTCCTGACCTGGGGCGTCAGTCTTGCCTTGGAGCCTCTGGCCGCCATCCTCAGCTACGAGCTGGCCTTCAAGAAACAGGAGGAGTCCTGGGAGGTAATGCTGGGCTGACGCTCTCTCCTGGGAGCAGCAGCTCAGTGCACCTGCGTTTAGTGCTTGTAGGCCTGTGTGCTGTGCATGTGTACCTGTGCCCATGTGCGTGTGCACGGTCACGTATATGTGTGCGTGTGGGTTCTTGAGGGTCAGTGGACCCTGTCTCACCCTCAGCGCCTGCTAACTGTCCTCTGCCCCACAGCAGGCCCGGCACAAGGATCACATTGTCGGGGTGACCCGCCTCACCCTTGAAGCTGTCGAACTGGACCCTGGCTCCAGCTATGAGGCCAGGCTGCGTGTCCAGATGGCCACACTGAAGGAGGAGATGGGGCAGGAGCAGCACTATGAGGGCCAGTGGAGCGAATGGAGCCAGTCTGTGTGCTTCCCATCTCCTCAGAGCCCTGCCCAAGGTGGGGTCTCCCTCCCAGAGGGCCTCCCCTCACTCGTGCATCGCACTGTCCCACCCTCTCGCCCTCCTGGAACCCCCTCCCTGAGGCAGTCATGCCCCAGCTGACCACCCTCCCCTGGAGACAGGAGAGTTTTAAGGAGGAAACAATCACCTGCCAAACGTTGGGCCTCTCGGAACCTGTGGTTGTTGTCTGTCACTGGTGTGAGTGTGGCCCCGGGTGGCACTCCGGGCCTATGCTTCTGTCTCTGGAGCCTGGACGTTGTCTCCTGTCCCAAGGGAGGGCAGGGCTGACCCCTGTGAACTGGTGGGAAGGGGTCTGACCCCGATGACCTTGTAGACGGAGGAGGTGAGGGCCAGGGGCGGGCGATTCATTAGCAGGTGCGACACAATCCCTGTGGCCTATGAGCAAATTTCCAGTGTGGCCCAGGGCACTCCTAGGGGTGCTTTGCCATGTGGAATTAGGGGAACGTCCTGGTGCCAGAGAGGCTCACAGCCCTGGGCCCTTCCTTCCCGTAGATTCTCACCTGTTCTTGCTTCGGGGACAGCTCGACAGCAGCACCCTTGTTGCTGTGCCCATCTTTCTACTGCTGACCAGCCTGACCTACCTCGTCGTGTTCAAGCTTTCACCCAGGTCTGTAGCCAGGGTGTGTGTGTCTGTGTGCACACGTGCTATTGTGCTAGCATGTCTCTGTGTGAGTTTCTGTGTGCGTGTCCATGTGTGTGGATGTGAGTCAGTGTGTGCGTGTAGGTGTGTGGTAGGTGGGGCATCTCGGGCCAGACTGGTCATCCCTCCCCACCGTCTGGTCTTGGATGGGGCGGGGGTTTTGAAGCCTCTGCCCTGGACCCATGGAGAGCTCCCAGTTGCCGGGTGTGTTGAGGGCCCTATGGCTCCAAAGAGGCTCAGAAGGATCCAAATTCATTGGGCCCAAGCCACCCAAGAGCCTCATCTCTGGTCTTTGGAAGTGCTCTGTGGTTTGCTCATGTTTAAATGCATTCTACGAAAATGCAGTCTTGGGAATCTGCTGTGCTCGGAGCCCTGGTGAATGCCCGAGAACAAAACAGGCGCGGCCCCGTTGACAACCATCACCCCTGTCAGGTCATGGGAGGGGGCCCATAGGAAATGGACCGGGTGTGGACTGGCAGCAGGAAGTATGTGAGGAAGTGGGAACAAGAGAGTGGGGTGTTGGTGGGGAGGGGATCGGGAGGAGATGCTGGATGGGCCGTGAAGGCCAGACTTGACCTGGGAGCACAGGAAAGCTTTTGAACCACGTGAAACTATGCGACAAGGCCTGGTTTGTATTTTGAGAATAGATTTGAGTGGGGTGGGTTAGGACCCACCTGGAGGCCTTGGTGGTGTCCAGAGGGTGGTGATTTGCTTGGAGCTGGCGGGAGAAGCAGAGAGGGGGCCATGTGGAGGGAACCGGCAGGCCTTAGGAAGAGAAGCTGAGGGGGCGGATGAGCTGTGACCGTGGGCCCCTGAGGCGGGGACTTGCTGTGTCCTGAGCCACATCTTTGTGGGGGGCCAGCGGGCCTGTTGCTCAGGGAGAAGTCAGGTGGGGCAGCGGGCTGCCTCCTGGCTGCTGGGGGCACACGTGTGGCTCCCTCTGGGAGGAGGACGCCAGGGCTCTCCCTGTGGCCTTAAACCCACCTCGCAGCTCACCCTGTAAGGACACGTGTCTTGGTGTAAGGAGCCCTGCAGGGTCATGGGCCCGGGAGGCCGCACAGGCACGTGCTGGGTCTTGCCCTGAGAGCAGGTCTGCGCCCGGCTAGAGGCGAGAGAGGCAGCAGCGCAGATGACGCAGGGCTGCCTCTGCTGCAAGGGAGTGGAGCTCCCACGGGACCTCAGGCCTCCTGAGCTGGGGCCTCTGAGGACCCCCTCCCCCAACCCCTTGGGTGTGCGTAGGCCTCCAGCTGTCCTCTCCCGGCCTCAGGATGAAGAGAAGCTTCTACCGGGAAGTACCCTCTCCGGCGCCCTTCTTCCAGGCCCTCTACAGTGTGCACTGCGGGGACTTCCAGGTGCATGTGGGCCCGCAGCAGGGGTGGGGGCAGGGCTGGGGTTACCCACGGGCCTGGCCTGCCCAGGATGTGGGCTTCGGTGAGAGTGGGGGCTAGTGTGGGGGCCTTGTCAGTGCTTTGAGCTTTTTTGGTATACGTAGTGGGTTTAAATTTACACGCTGTGTCTCAAATGCATCAAAACAATTAGCTGTATTCTCTATTGCGGGTTTCTTTTTCTTTTGCGGGGAGCAGCCCCTGGGAGGTAGATGGTCATTCTGTGGTGCAGACTATGGTGGTGTCTTGCAGCTGCCACGTGTCTTGTGCCTGCTTCTTCTCTGAAGGTGTCTGCGGGGAGGGCCTGGTGCTGGTGCTGTCCTTGGGGCCCTCGGTGGTCTGCGGGCTACTGCTCTGGTGGTCGCTGGGGAGCGCCTGGCCCTTCCTTGTTCCCCTGGGTAGCATGCTGGCACCCTGGCCACTGAGCACACTCCACATCCCCCCCTTTGTAGTGCCCCGGTGAGCGCCACCAGCGGGGTCTTCGCATCAGACCTCTTCAGTTCCCTCTGGCCTGGGGGCTCTTGCCCTCTGGGCTCCAGCAGGTGGTTTCAAGTTCCCCACTGCGGGTGGAGGATGGCATGTGATGCTTCCTGGGGTTCTTGGGCCTGCTCTTCCCCAATCCCCCTGCCATTGCTGGGTTTCCCTCTGCCTCATCATTGTGTCTCTAGAAAGGGAGCACAGAAAACAAAATTTAGAAAGGGAGTCCAGTTTTCAGTTTCAGATTGTTGTCCAAGAGTATAACTCGAGGCTTAAAGCGGAGCATCTTGTCTTTGGTGGAGGCCACCTCCTTCTCTCGGGTAGTGGCCGTCTCTGTCCAGACCCCTGAGGTCATGTGGGCTGCACGCACCCAGCCCTCCTCTGGAGACCCATGTCACCTGCCAAGTTATTTAGACCCCTGGGGGGTGGGGTGGGTGTGGGGGTGGTCTGGAGCCATGGGCGGGCTCTCCAGGGAGCAGGGCGGTAACAGAGGGCAAGGTATGTGTGGTCCATTTGGTGGTGGCTCCTGGTCTCACCTAGGACATACTTCCCTTTGGGAAGTGGGGGGCCTCTTGTGGCCCCACGGAAGGGTCCAGGTCTGCCTCCCTCAGCCCAAAGGTGCCGTTCCCGACAGCGTCTCCATGTGAGTGTGTGAGTGTGTGGGTGGGGGGTCCAGGAGAGGGCCGCAGTCTCTGTAGCCCATGGAAGCGCCTGGAGCAGCAGCCAGGGACTTTCTCTGTCCTTGGCACCTGTCACTACCTGTACCCTCTTTCGGGCTGCTGTGAGCACCGTGTGGTGAGGTGGGTTATTACTGAGGGTCCTGGGCTACGGATACGCTGGCACGTGGAGGTAAGATGGAATGTTCTGAGCACAGGCATTGTTTGGACTCTGGGCGAGGATTTCAGGAGAGCTTCTCAGAGGAGGAGGAAAGGCTGCTTCCAGGGAGAGTCCTACCCACACCCCATGCTCTCTGTTCTAGACCTGGATCAGGGCCCACAGAACTGGCCTGCTGCCGAACCCGGACCCTGTCGGTCCCCCACAAGGAGCCTCGGAGTCCAGCGACCAGGAAGTCATTGCGTGGCTGACCTATGACCCAGTGGATCCCTGGCAGTCAGTGGTCCCAGAGGACGAGGAGGAGGGCCCTGGCGCCGGCCTCCCAGAGGCTGTGCTGAGAGCAGGGCATGTGCTACAGGGAGGGCAGCTGCCTGCCTACCTGCCACAGGAGGACTGGGTCCCTGCGAGAGCCCCCAGGCCAGCTCCCCCACAGTCAGAGGGCAGCAGTGGTGACTACTGTGCCCTGGGCTGCTCTGGGGGCTGCCACCCCTGTACCTTCCCAGGAAGCACACGGAGCTCTGGGCCCAGCCTGGTTTTGGCCCACGGCCTTTCTGGTGACCAGCAGAGCCTGGATGCCTGGCGAGGAAGTACCTGTGTGGGAGTCAGTCACGGTGAGAGGCAAGACCCTGCTGAATGGGTCGCATGAGGACCTCAGGGTGGTCGCCTCGCTTCCACCCTCTGCAGTCACCGGGGTTGATCTAGAGCCCGGACTTGGCCAGCTGCATGATGTCCATTTTGCGGAAAATGGACCAAAGTCTCTCTGAGAATGGAGCCCCTGCACAGACATCCTGTCGGGACGGGACGGAGGCCAGCGGGTGACCCCCTCCTCCCTCCCCTCCCCTCCTCTCCCCTCCCCTCAGCATCCTGCCACTCAGCACCCCCTCCCCAGCCACCACTTCCCTCCCTGCTATCTGGCTTCACTCAGACCCTTCAGAAAAGAAGGGTGTGGGCCCACAGCCTGTTCTGCCCTCACCTCTTTAAAGGGTCCACCTGCACCCAGCAGACGCAGAGGAGGTGCTATGACTTCTTTCTGTGCCTTCCTGAGGTCCCTCTCCTCCTGAGATTAGAAGGGGTCCAGTGGGTCTTTCAAACCGCTGCTGGCTGGGAGAGGGGCCGGAGGAGTACGAGGGAATGGGGTCAGTCTATTCTCAGGCTCTCTGGGGTTGGAGGTGCTGAGGTTTTACATGTAGGGTCAAGTGGAGGAGGAGGTGCCTGTCCCTGGGGCTCTGGTGACCCCTGTGGTCCACGCAGGAGAAAGCACTTGCAGCTCCAGGCTCCCAAAGGCACAGGCCCCCCTGCCTCAGACAGGCTTCCCCCTCCCTTCTGCATGCCACTGGCGCCCCCGGGGTTTGTGGGGAGCCTCAGAGGAGCCAGATTGTGGTCAGCAGCGGGGAAGCAGGACCCAGAATGTATTTTTAGCTTGTAGAGAGCGGGAAGGGTGTGGACGGAAGTGAGGTGCAGGCATCTTTAGTTCTAACCAAGGATAAAAAAAAATAGCTTGAATCCACTTCCTGGAGCCCACCCCTGGGGAGCGCTGGGCTGGTATCAGAGCAGCATCTGTGTGGCCCCCGTGGCTTCCCAGGGAACCTGCATGTGACGAGTGACCCCCACAGCTGGGACACCTCCTCTGCGCGGCCGGAGACACTGTTTCTGTGGATCACATTTTCTCTCAGTGACACGCAGAGACCCAGCTTTGGGCTGCAGCTTGAGCATGCAGCCCCTTGGAGGCTGCGTGACCTGCCCCTTTGGCCACATTGCTCTGAGTTCCCCTGAGCGAGTCACCTGCACACCTCTGTGCCCAGAAAACTCTGGCTTCCCCCTTTGGAGATGAGATGACCCTTGGACACTGTGGCCCCGAGGTCCAGTTCGCAGCAGAGCCAGGTTGGGAGACCTTGGGAGGAGGAAGTCGCTGAGCACCGGTTTGAAGGAGTCGGAGGGCCAGCGACCGGAGCCCCAGTCCTCGATGCGGCTGCTGATTCCAGGGGGTTGGGTGCGCGGCGCCGCTGGAGCTTGAGGGCCCCACACAGGGCTGGCTGGACCACGGAAGGCCCGGAAGGCCAGACTGAGGGCAGCGAGGGCAGGGGACTCTCCCTGACGCGGGAAGATGTGCAACGGTTTCTCTTGGTTTGTTTGTTTTTAAAATTTTTTTTTGGTTTGAATTTTTAAGCCATCTCTACACCCAATGTGGGGGCTGAACCCACATCCCTAAGATCAAGACTTGCATGCTCCACCGACAGCCAGTTGGGCGCCCCGCTTTCTTGGTTTCCAGTGTGGTGAAATCCATGTAGTCCAACCCTCTTTCAACGTGTGCAGTTCGGTGACATTCAGTACATGCTGATGTCTGACGTTGTCACTCCCACAGGAAATCCCCTGCCCGTGAAGCGGTCGCTCCCCCTGGGCCCTCCGGAGCCCCTTTCCAGCTCCCCGTCTCCATGGATCGCCTCTTCTGGGCATTTTGTAGAAATGGAGTTACAGGGTACGTGACTTGCCCCACGGCCTTATTCCTCAGTGTAGTGTTTTCAAGGTTCGCCCACTTCGCGGCATCAGTGGCCTCACCCTTACTGTGACCCTTGCGCTGTTACCAGGTTTTCCCTGTTGCAAGCAGCACTGCTGTGAACATTCATGGAAAAGTTTTTTTGGTACCTGTTTTCTCTGTTTCTGTGTGTATTCCTAGGAACGGAATTGCTAGATCACATGGTATGATCATATCTATGTTTAGAAGTTTTGAGGAACTGCCAAACTGTTCTCCACAGTGACTTCAGCATTTTACATCAATGGTGTACTTGGGTTACAATTTCTCCACATCCTCACCAACTGTTATTAGTGTCCTTTAAAAAAATATATTTTTTAAGCTTCTTTTTTTTTTTAAGATTTATTTATTTATTCATTCAGAGAGAGCGAAGAGAGAGGCAGAGACACAGGCAGAAGGAGAAGCAGGCTCCATGCAGGAAGCCCAACGTGGGACTCGATCCTGGGTCTCCAGGATCACACCCCGGGCTGCAGGCGGCACTAAACCGCTGCGCCACCGGGGCTGCCCCTTTTAAGCTTCTTAATTTAAATAATCTCTGCATCCAATGTGGGGCTTGACTCACGACCCTGAGATCGAGAGTCCCATGCTTGGGGTGCTTGGGTGGCACATTCGATTTTAAGTGTCCGACTCTTGGTTTTTGTTCAGGTCATGATCTCGGGGTCACGCGATCGAGCCCCGTGTAGGACTCAGCACTCGGTATGGCATCTGTTTGGGATTCTCTCTCCCTCTCCCTCTGCTCCTCTCGGTCATTCTAACTCTCTCTAAAATAAATAACTAAATCCTAAAAAAAAAAAAAGAGTCACATGCTATTCCAACTAAGCCAGCCAGGCATCCCTTAAATCACTGTTCTGGGTATAAAGTGGTACCTCAGTGTGATTTTGATTTACATTTTCCTGATGGTTGGTGATGTTGAACATCTTTTCATGTGCTTCTTGTGTGTCTTCTTTGGAGAAAATCCTGTTCAAGTCCTTTGCCTATTTTTAAATTGGGTTGCTTGTCCTTGTGGTGTTGAGCTGTAGGAGCTCTTTATATATTCTGATACCAAAGTCATATCAGATATTCCATTTTCAAACATTTTCTTAAATTCTGCATGTTATTTGGTGCCATATACAATAAACCATGGCCTAATCCAAACCCAACAAACACATGAAAAGATGCTTAACATCCTTAGACATCAGGGAAATGAAAATGAAAACCACAGTGAGATGCCACTTCACACTCAGGGGATGGCTGTCATCTAAAAAATGGAAGTTAGTTTTAGCAAGGATGTGAAGAAATTGAAATTCTCATGCTCTGTGGATGGAGTTGAGAAACAATACTGGTGAGGGGTACATATCAATGTGAATATTCACTTAAAAATGTTGAAAATGGGATGCCTGGGTGGCTCAGTTGTTGAGCGTCTGTCTGCCTTTGGCTCAGGGTGTGACCCCAGGTTCCTGGGATTGAGACCCATATGGGGCTCCCTGCAGGGAGCCTGCTCCTCCCTCTGTCTCTCTCTCTGTGTCTCTGTTGAATAAATAAATAAAAATTCAAAAAATATGTTGAAAATTGTAAATTTTGTTATGTATATTTTACCATAATTAAAAATAAAAATTAAGGAGAGAAAAATTTTATGTTATACATGTTATCACACCCTCAAAAAAAATCTCTGTAAGGATTGGTCCTGCAGGACACCTGGGTGGTTCAGCGATTGAGCGTCTGCCTTCAGCTCAGGGCGTAACCCAGAGGTCCTGGGATCGAGTCCCACGTCTGGCTCTCTGCGTGGAGCCTGCTTCTCCCTCTGCCTGTGTCTCTGCCTCTCTCTCTCTCTCTTTCCATCTGTATGTGTGTCTCTCATGAATAAATAAATAAAATCCTAAAAAAAAGAAAGAATTGCCATCCTAACAATATTGAGTACAGGGCACCTGGGTGGCTCAGTTGGTTAAGTGTCTGCCTTCAGCTCAGGTCATGATCCTGGTGTCCCAGGATCAAGTTCCAGGATCCAGCCCTGCATTGAATCCTGCCTTGGGCTCCCAGCTCAGTGGAGAGTCTGTTTCTCCCTCTGACCCTCCCCCCTCTCATGCTCTCTTTCTCTCTCCGATAAATAAATAAAATCTTAGAAAAAAAAAAAAGCAATATCAAGTGCTTTGCTCCTGGACAAGGAATTTATTTGCAGTTATCTATGTTTTTGTTTTCATAATTGAAGTATTTTTATTTTATGTACAGTGAGTCGACATTAAGGGGGTATCCTGGGGACACCAGTGTAGCTCAGCAGTTGAGTGTCTGCCTTCGGCTCAGGGTGTGATCCTGGAGTCCCGAGATCGAGTCCCGCCTCGGGCACCCTGCAGGGAGTCTCCTTCTCCCTCTGCCAGTGTCTCTGCCTCTCTGTCTCTGTGTCTCTCATGAATAAATGAATAAAATCTTTTTAAAAAGAGGGGGTTATCTTGGATATCTGCATTGAGGCAGAAGGATGGGGATCTTGAATGGGATGATCCATTCAAGGAGACTCATTTAATCCAATTTACTGAAGCTGGTATCCCTCATGGACTGACAGAAACTCTGGCAGCACCTGTTGAGGCAGTATTTCCGGGTCAGACTGCATGGGTTTGAGCAGAGGTGGAAGAAAGGAACCCTGACCCAAGTTCCTCAGATGGCTCCAGTGCAGCTGCTGGTGAGCCATCCTGCTCTCTCTTGGATGCACGAGGCAAAAGGCGCATTTATTTATATGTTATTTGATTTCTCTCATCTGTGTTTTAATGTTTTATGAATATTTTTATGTACATTGTTAGATTTATACCTAAGAACCTTAATTTTTGTGCTGTAATTTTTTTTCATTTCATGTCCATTTGTTCTGTATATCATTGCTGATCATCTCAGTTAATTTAGGCTGCTATCAAAATATCACAGACCAGGTGGCTTATAAACAATAGACATTTATTTCTTCCAGTTCTGGAGGGTGCATGTCTGAGATTAGGGTATCTCTGGCAGCAGACTTGTTGTTGTTGTTTTTTAAGATTTTATTTATTTATTCATGAGAGACACACAGAAAGAGAGGCAGAGACACAGGCAGAGGGAGAAGCAGACCCCATGCAGGGAGCCCGATGCAGGGACTCAATTCCGGGACCTGGGGACCACGCCCCTGAGCCAAAGGCAGGCACCAAACCGCTGAGCCACCCAGGGATCCCCCAGCAGCAGACTTGTATACTCACTTGAGGGAAAGGTGCTGGGGTCTCTTTTATGAGGAGACCACACCCTTATGACCTAATAACCTGTTCTAACACCATCACACCTTTCATTTGGATTCTAACACTGAATTTGGAGGGAACACAAACACTCACACCATAGTCCTCATGTCAATTGACTTGTACATTGACCTTGTAGTTTGTTTTCAGTTGGAATTTCCAAGTTATGACACTGAATACACAGAACTCTAAGTTTCAGAGATTCCCCAGGCTTTCCTAAGTAGGTGAATTGGCCATAGCTAAACTGTGAGCTAGTGGTGGGGATGTCCAGACAGTTTGGTGTTGTGAGGACAAAATAGGGAGACGGTCCTCAGGGCGGCTTCCCCAGTGATGTGTCATCAGTAGGCGAGCACAGAAACCTGTTTCTGACTTTCTCACGGGTTTATTTGTACTTTCTCCTGTAGCATTTCAGCAGGACATATCTTACAGACGTGTCCCTTCATCAGGGCTTTGGCCTTTCATAGCCATGGAACACCATAGTACTTTTCACAGATTCTGCTTCTTGGAGAGGAGAACCTCTGAGAGCATCTGGCTGCAAGTGTGAGTGGGGCCTGAGTAGGTATGAGTGGGGTGGCTGCCTGGCTACCCTGGGCCTCACATGAGGTCCTCTCTCTTCCGATGTTGACAGTTTGACAATTGTCAATATGACAGTTGGATGCACATTGAAAAGTTGCTGTGTTGGGACACCTGGGTGGCTCAGTGGTTGAGCATCTGCCTTTGACTCAGGGCGTGATCTTGGGGTCTGGGTTTGAGTTCTGCATCTAGTACCACATGGGGCTCCTTGTGGGGAGCCTGCTTCACCCTCTGCCTGTTGTTTCTCTGCCTCTCTGTGTCAAGCTTTGTAGTATAGTATCAAGCTTTGATACTATAACCAGAACACTTGGGTGTTTACTATGAACTTACTTGTTCCTGGGGACTTTTCCAATGGGAGATTTCCAAGCCTTACTGTGACCTTTTCCTGTTCATTGGTCTGTTTCTGTTTTCATCATGTCAGGGCCCATTTTGTTACTGTGTGTTTTTACTTGGAAGTTACCCATTTTCTCTAGGCTTCCAGTGTTCTCTTATTAGATTTTAAAAATATTTTAAATTTTTAAAAAAGATTTTACTGATTTATTCACGAGAGATACACTGAGAGAGGCAGAGACATAGGCAGAGGGAGAAGCAGCCTCCGTGCAGGGAACCGGATGTGGGACTTGATCCCAGGACTCCAGGGTCATGCCCTGAGCCAAAGGCAGACACTCAACCACTAAGCCACTCAGGCATCCCAATTTTAAAGATTTTGTAAAAAATTAAATAAAGGAAACCTTGCTTAAATTGGAGCCAGGAAGCCTGAAGGGGGAGCTCTCACACACGTGCCACGGGTTGAACCACAATCAGCAGAAAGAACTTGGTCTAAGTGCTGCCATTTTTCTTTTTCTTCTTTTTTTTATTTACGATAGTCACACACACACACACACACACACAGAGAGAGAGAGAGAGAGAGAGAGAGAGAGAGAGAGAGAGGCAGAGGGAGGCAGAGGGAGAAGCAGGCTCCATGCACCGGGAACCCGACGTGGGACTCCCCGGTCTCCAGGATCGCGCCCTGGGCCAAAGGCAGGCGCTAAACTGCTGAGCCACCCAGGGACCCCCCTAAGTGCTGCCATTTTTAAACGGTGCGCAACAATACTCCCTAATTTCCTATTTAAACCCAACACAAACTGACCTTACCTTTGTCTTTTGTTTGTTGTCCTGAATTGCAGTTCTTCAGCTATTCCCAAAGCAACTCATTTTGCTGGTAAAATAACTGGTAATTCTATCTTTGAGGTTGACAGTTTCTCTGTCGATTCTATCCACATTAAACTAAGGATGAGCTTATATTGATGTCTCCAACTGCATCCACCATCTCATGGATGTTGTAACCTTTTCTTCTTATCTGTAACTCTAAGGGTGATAAACCTATTGTTAAGAAACTAAATCCAGGGCAGCCCTGGTGGCTCAGTGATTTAGCGCCACCTTCGGCCCAGGGCCTGATCCTGGAGACCCGGGCTCCAGTCCCACATCGGGCTCCCTGCATGGAGCCTGCTTCTCCCTCTGCCTGTGTCTCTGCCTCTCTCTCTGTGTGTCTCATGAATAAATAAATAAAATCTTTAAAAAGAAACAAAATCCACCTGAGTAAATTGAAAGATCCAGGTGGCTTTATTCAATGATTCATGAGTCTGGCAGCATCGTATCTAGCAAATAGATGGCATCTCCATGGAGTTGTAGAAAAGGAAAGGCTCTTTAAGGCAGAGAGAGAATGGAAAAGAAGATATTATTAGCAACGAATATGTCATTTTAGGCATCTGTATAACTTCTTTGTGCAGATGTGTGTTCAGATATACCTATTGTCAGGTTTTTTGTTTTCTTATTGTTGAGTTCTGAGAGTTTTTTGTATAGTTTGAATACAAATCCTTTATCAGGTATGTGCTTTGCAAATATTTCCTTGCAATCTGTGGGTTGTCTTTTAGTTCTCTGAGCAAGGTCACTCACATAGTAGGAGTGTTAATTTTATGAAGTTCACATTAACAATTCTTTTTTACTTTTGTAAAATTTGCCTGTGTCTCTGCCTCTCTCTGTGTCGCTCATGATTTTATTTATGAGAGAGAGAGAGAGAGAGAGAGAGAGAGAGAGAGAGAAAGAAACAGACTCAGCACTGAGCAGGGAGCTCCACGCCAGGCTGTGTCCCAGGACCCAGGGATCATGATCCCAGAGGCAGGCTGACCGTTAACCGACTGAGCCACCCAGGTGCCCCATACTTGTGTATTTTAAATTTATGTATAATAATTTCACTGTAAGTTATAAAGTTTTTGTCTACATTTTATTCTATATCCTTTCCTTTTTTAAAGAAGACTTTATTTATTCATCTGACTCAGAGAAAGACAGAGCACCAGCAGGCAGAGCAGCAGACAGAGGCAGAGGGAGAAGCAGACTCCCCGCTGAGCAAGTAGCCCGGTGCGGGGGACCCCAGGGCCCCGGGATCAAGGCCGGAGCCGAAGGCAGACGCTTAACCGACTGAGCCACCCAGCGGCCCGCATTCTATATGCTTTCCAGGTAATTGTTCCTTAGGTATTTCTGGAGAAGCTGGGATATTGTACTCCATTTCCCTGAGAAAGTTCTAGCATTTATTGGATTCAGCTGGGCCCTGGGAGGGGCGGGCGCTTCTCCTGAACTGAGTGCCCTCGAGTCCTGCACCGCCCCCGCCCCGGGGTGCCCCGGCCCAGCTCCCGACCAG